ATCAGTTCAGGGATTGGAACATGAGTGAGAGAGAGAGAAATGGAGTTTAATGTCCACTCGACACAAACTAAGACATTTTGGGACTAACATATGGTTCAATTTTATTTCAATAATTCTCTTGCGCGTAGAGGGTCTTTAGCAGTGGGAGGAAAACAGAAGACTTGTTGATTCCAACTCGGCACATGTTAGACTAAGATCACCAATTAGGGAGATTTAAACAGATTATTTAGCTGATCAGCAAACCAGTGCTTTTAAATCAGATAAATGTGACAGCAATTAGGTCGGCATGAACAAGATTAGCCTAATATTCCACACTTAATGTTTTGCTGTCAGCGAATGGAATACAAGTGATGGCCTCGGCTTAACCTACTACAGTATAAATGATCTGGACAATTGCCTTGCTTAATGATTGTTGATCGAAGAGGTAAATGTCTCAAGTTCATGATGAAGATTGTTACGAGATCATTATCTGAGAAAGTAATTGTTATGAAGTAAGCCGCAAAGTAATAATAAATGTTACCAGTACTCATTTAAACAGTAAGTCTAGAAAAGCTCCAATATAACCGAATCCTGACTGGTTTGAAGGAGCCACATCTTTAACTCAATATAATCTAAAGTCTAGAAAACCTCCAATAGAACTTATTCCTCACTGGTTTAAAGGAAGAGAAATAGGGTTTAAAGTCCACTTGACACAAACTAGGTCATTTCGGGACTAACATATGGTTCAATTTTATTTCAATAATTCACTTGCGCCTAGGGGTCTTTAGCAGTTGGAGAAAACCAGAGGACTAGCTGGTACAATACCTGAGGAAGACAATTTAAGATACAATTTGATTTCTTATATAATTCTAGTGAATAAAGAGAGAGAGAGAAAGAGCGAGAGAGAGAGAGAGAGACTAGGTCATTTCGGCTCTAACACATGGTTCAATTTTATTCCAATAATTCGCTTGCGCGTAGGTTTTTTTTAGCAGTGGAAGGAAACCGGAACTTGAAAAAAAAACCCACAAGGTTGGACAGGCAACCCTACTCCTTGTCACGTACAACCGGTGAGTCCGTTGACTCAATGACAAACCTCATGATTCAATGTGCATGTGCTAACCGTTCAGCCATCTGGGCCCCCCATCCCCTGGCTTCATCCACAGTATTTGACAATACAAACACAACTTATTGGTCAATAGCAACAATGATGTTGTTATCTTATCATGAAAAATTGGGCTTCTGATATCCAATATTTAAGCCAAAATGAAAATTTTAAAATTGGCACACGAATCATGTGCCAGAATGCTTTCGTCGAGCTCCAGTGGTATGAAGCGACGCGATGAACGAGGCTAAATATATACCATGTGGGAGAATACTACCGGTGTAATCAGGAATAACCAGATGCCAAAGACTGCAATTCAATTCAGACTCTTCACGTATTTCACCGAACATAACTGGTTAGAAATTAGAATAAAAACAGAAACAATTGAATGTAAATCAGTTTATATATATCATATTACATTATTATATGCGCTGCGACCCATTTGTGTCAATTTCTAAGTGCCAAATATTAGCGATTTAGCTTCTTTAAATGCAATGTTTGACCAATGATTGTTTGTTACAAATCCAATATATAAACTTGCTGTCCTGACATCTCAACAGTCAATAAAGACAAACAATATATATAGGAAACTGCAAGTTTTGCCAAGCATTTGCTTATATATGCAATTTGTGTATATTAAACTTTTCCTTGTCATTAGCTAGTTTCGGATAGATATAAGTTAAGTCATTAGGTGAATTAATAGTGATGAAATTACCACATCTTATTCATATGAACAGATTAAGATGCAAAATTTAGACTAGTAATCATAAATCAGTCTACCCCAATCTGGTTGGGCAATATTTTAATTTTAAAGGTTGCTGGGCAACGCACCATATGTCCTCAGCTGGCACAGCACTTAAAGATACATTATGGGAGATTTTACTAGAGAGTTGGCCATTCTTGCTATAACAGTTCAAAAATAGATGATGAAAGAAGAATATATTGAAAATTTCAGTCAAATTACTTTATTCTGAACAAAGTTATCACCATTGTAATTTTTAACTAAAAATAGAAGTAAACTCTCTCTTCACCGCCTCCGAGAATGGCCGATTGTTTGATTAACTCCACCTACATAAACTTGATTATCCAGTAATGTTTTCAATGGCTGTGGTACCGTTAGCATATTCGGTTTGAGACCGGGTTGCAATTCAATTCGTATCACATTTATTTTTACTACAAATTAAAAATAAGACCTTTAATATATAGATAAGAAGCGAAAGTTTGAAAGGAATGGACCAAATGAATGAGGCATAATTATAGCCGACTTCTTGTTAGCCTGCATGTACTCTTGTTGTACTGTAACTGGTAGACAAATAGGAAACAGTGATCCAATGGGGTGATATTAGCTGCGATGTTTATCAATTTCCATAATTTTTCTGTAAACGCAAGTGACAAAAGAGCGTATAATACCGACATCCAAACTCTCATTTTAACCACAACTAAACATAATATCAAGGCCGTATATATCGAACTTTCAATAAAATTGACTGACATGCGGCCTCGCTCAACAGCGGCATCGCTTCGTACACTCTTATCATTTAGCCTTGATCTAAAATTTCCGGGAGTATGACGTCAACGTAACAGTTAATCTCCGCTTACGACGCCATTTAAAAATTTAATTAATCAATGAAATCCTGTTTAAATCCAAGCCGAATCCAAGCCATCCGTGGGTCTACAGAGTTGATTTTATGCTTGTTGTGTAAATAAAGATCTAATTTATAATTTCTATGACATCTGAAGCCTAAATAAAGACTTGCAATAATCAGATTTAGCTCTTGCATAATGTATGTTTATGTAGTCTGGACAGTCTATAAGGCAAAATCTATAAAAGGTACATAATATCATTGCTGAAATTCAATAGGATTCTTTGTTGCACTAATTCAAACACATTTAAATTTAATACAGATTGGATGATCTGTTTTGTCATTACAAGGGCCATAACTCTTGAACTACTAGAAGTTATTAATAGAAATTGTTGGAATTCAATAGGATGCATCTTCTCAAAAACAACATAGAAATCTTAAAAATATCGATCCATGATAAATGAAGTCTGCATGGTGTTCACAAGAAATTCTGGATGACGGACGGACAGATGGGTGTGGGCGTATAAAAAATAAAAATTTCTATCCAACAAATTTCAGCTATTGATATTTGAACTACCGGTGGTACTAAGCTCACAGTGTTTATCTTGGGATTTGACACAAGAGTAGAACGGGAAACTGCAATGAATTATTCAATGCCTTTATACTTTTCTTAATTATTTCAAAGATAGGCCTACAACAATTTTAATTGAGTTGGCCTACCTACACAAAGTGAATTACTAATGTATAAAAAAAATATACCGTAGCAGATTAATGAATGATGTGGGTTGGATTCTCTGAACAAATCCTGATCCATTGTTAACCCTTGTGTGGACATGTCGCACAAAAAACCTTGTTGGCAACAAGGGGTAATCTAAGACTTTTGTATGGATAATTTTATTCAATCAAATATGATCAATCTAGAGCTTCATATAAAGACTGAAGAATAATCAATCAAAGTAAAAAAAATATATGAGGTATCAACAACAGTGAGGATAGGAATTAAGGTATTTTTGAAACCATTAAAATCTGCAAATAGCTTAATTGTCATTTCCATGCAGAATCATCTTTTGACAGGGTTGGTAGATTTGTTTTCAGATCTAAATTAAACTAGAATGCTCAACACAATATCATCAGTAAGAAAGATTCCAAATACAAAGCTTGCACTGTAACTAGCAAAATGTTTAAAGGACGGGGATGGGTGTGGGGGTGGGGGTGGGGTGTCCACAAGACCCCTGGTTTTCAATAATGTAATACTTTTAGTTTCTTGTCAAATGGTGAAAGTTGCCCCTGCCTCACTTCCGTTCTATTTGCAGCATTATACCTAACGTTAAGTAGCTGACAATGTATAAAATTCTCGCTAGACAATTATGAACCAGTTCCCCACAAATGTTAAGGATATGGTCGTGGGGTCCTGAAATACCCCTTGTATACGCACAAGGGTTAAGAATGCTTGATACCAATAAGAGGATAAGCCTACTTGTGCTTTTAGAATAAAACCAGTGATTGATCTCCCATAAAATTTTTAATAATTAATAACCCTTGAATATATACTTCCTTTCGGAAAGGTCTCTGGAGAGAGAAAGAGAAATAGGGTTTAACTTCCACTCAACACAAACTAGGTCATTTCGGGACTAATGGTTCAATTTTATTTCAATAATTTGCTTGCGTGTAGGGGTCTTTAGCAGTGGGAGGAAACCAGAGGACGCGGAGAAAACACACAAGGTTGGATATATGCAATGGATTATTATAATTTTGTGTCAGATGTGCAAGAAATGATCCCATTTGGCGAACAAAGAAGAATTACTGTGATAATAGCTATAGAACAAAGGTGGGATAGAGCTGTATTTTCATACATGGTAGTTTACGACTTTGTCTGCCCAGAAAGAAATGAGGGCATCCTAAATCTTGTAGAACTTGTACCTCGATCTCTATTTTTTCAGATGAGTTAATTAATAATAGCCTAATCTGTAATTGTATTTGTAATCATATATTATTTACAAAATTCATAACCTCGTTTAAATTCGGAGAGTTTTTTGGGGAGAGAAATATGTTTTTTTTATCAGCTCTTCACCAGCCAAGTAATGGTATATAATAGAAAACGATTACTGTGGCCGTGGCTACTGTGGGTTATAAAACCTTCCTTGTTTTGCTCGAACTCCGAAGGAAGGCGAAGAAAAAGACGATGCAGTTTGATTTTTATGATTGTCATTTGGATTAGGGGCCTAATAGACAAACAAGAAAGTCGGTACATTCTTGTTTTTATATGAAGTAATAAACAGCTCTAGAATCTAAATCAAATATATAAAATTTAACTCATTTATTGTGTTTTAACTTACGATTTACTGAAAAAGGTCTTCTTTAAATCTAATGACGCCATGTTGTTTAGTATGGGAAAGGGGAATAACTCTGAATAAGGTGATCTGGTCTTAAACCAGCCTTGTTCACCAACACAATCACTGAAGTATCGCTTATGGTCATCTTTTTGATGGGAGATGCTAATTGTAGGCCGGTTGGGGAGGTTCGGGCATCTCTGGAGTCCAAAATGGCCACTTTATATAAATGAGTATTTTGGGGAATACTAACCCTAATTTAAATGATGCATATCAATTTCATACAGATCCGATAATAACTTTTGTCGTTCACAAGGTTCAACAAAGTGAAACAAGGGCCATAACTTTACAAGTAATTAATGGAAATTGCTGAAATTCAATAGACTTCTTCGTTTCACTAATTTAAATTATGCATGTACATATAAATTTCATACAGATCAAATGATAACTTGTTGTTCGCTCGTTCACAAGGTTCATCAAAATGGAACAAGTCATAACTCTGGAAGTAATGGCGGAAATTGATGAAATTCAATGATTCTTTGTTTCACTAATTTAAATGATATATGTAAATTTCATACAGATTAGATGATAACTTTTGGGGTTCGAGCCTTCACAAGTTCAACAAATTGAATCAAGGGCCATAACTCTAGAAGTAAATAACGGAAATTGCAGAAATTTAATAAGCTTCTTTGTTTCACTAATTTACATTATGTATATACATTTCATACAGATCGGATGATAACTTTGGTTCTTCACAAGGTTCAATAAAGTGAAACAAGGGTCATAACTCGAGAAGTAATGATGAAATTGATGAAATTCAATAGGCTTCTTTGTTTTACTAATTTAAATGATGTATATAAATTTCATACAGACAGGATAACTTTTAGGGTTTGACCGTTCACAAGGTTCAACAAAGTGAAACAAGGGCCATGCTGAAACATGATAAAACAATGTTTATTTTAAATTGTATTCTATTAATTATTGTATATCAAATGTAGCATTTTGACTTAGTCAAACCATCTGTAATTGGTTTGTGTTACCTGTTTCTATTGATTGGAAGTTTCTAACATTCATGTGGCTGTATAAACCCACAAAGCTTTTTGGTGCACTCTGCTCCTTTTCTTAATTTCTCTGACGATACAGATCCATAAATGTGAAAACCACCAAAAACGTATAAGTTACATGCTAGAGTCTGGGTAAAGAGTGAAGAGACTGAAAAGGATATCAAAAACTGATTTTTAGACCGGAAGTAGCACTTTGGATAGCACAACTGTGGAATTGTGGGGGATTATGCTAGGTTCCTACTGTCGTGCGATGTGTTACCATAGGATTGTCCCTTTTGAGTCCACGATCTGCTACCGTACAGATACTTCCGGATACGTTTCAATACGATCAACATGATTACTACGCCTGACTACAATATATAAGACCTGATCACTGATAGGATTACCACCGTTACTCCACGATTTTAATCCTAGTGCGAATCGTGATTGTGGGAACCTAGCATTACATAAAGTGTATTATGAGGGGATAACACAACTGTTGAAAGTAGAAGATTATAGAATAGTGTAAATGACATTAAATTATTTAAAGGAGCTAAATCGCTAATATTTGGGACCTAGAAATTGACACAAATGGGTCACAATGTAATATGAATGTATATAAACTGATTTACATTCAATCGTTTCCGTTTTTACTCTAATTTCAAATCAGTTATGTTCGGCGAAATACACCAGAAGTGTTAATCGAATGGCTATCTCTAGCGTCTGGTTATTCAAGTCTACAGCGATAATATTTATTGCGCGTGCTCGCCAGATAAGAATATGGCTTCACCGATTGGCATGACTTGTGGAATATGTCTAGCCTCGTTCTTCGAGTCCCCTATTACAAATGGCACTGATACACATTATGGTAATTCGTGTACCAATGGTAAAATGTTTATGTTGTCTTAAATATTGAATAGCCCATCTTTTCCCAGTAAGATCACAACATCAATGTTGATTTAAATTGACATATAATTCGTGTTTTCAATGTTGAAGACTTTGGATGATACTGAGTTAGGGACTTAGCTACTTTAAATTAGTAGACTGAAAAGATAGATAACAAGAAGTTACAGAATTTATATTTAATCTATCTATTTACATTATTTACATAATAACGAAGACAAAATTTGTAAGCAGTAAAACGGAGTATATATTGTAATAAAACAAATAGATACATGATTTAAAAGAACTATTCAAGTTTAACTTAAACACACAATAATTTAAATACCTAAATATCGTGAGAAAAAACATGTAGTCTACCGTCATATTCAAAGGGGGTGGGGGGGTGGTTAGCACATGTGCATTGTATCATAAGGTCTGTCATTGAGTCAACTGACGTGTTTCGATTACCCGGTTGTACGTGACAATGATTAGGGCGCCACTTTGTGTGTTTCCTCCTGCTGCTAATTACTGAAATAAAATTTAACCATTAGTCCCGAAATGACCTAGTTTGTGTCGAGTGGAACTGTAAGGTAAACCACAAGAAATGTCAAAGGTAATTGATTAATCAATTGGGTCAAAAGTTGCTCGTATGACCCCTGAGGCGACCTTGCACTACAACCGGTCAGATCTTCATATAGTCAGTAGCGGCCATCGAAAGTATAAAAAATTGAAATGAAATATTGATCTGTATTTTAATCCGATTGCTTTAACCGTAACATCAAACAAATGTGAAAGTAACGATGCCTGATTTGTGCCCGATTTGCATTATTTGGAAATATCAAATTTCTCACGGCTTAATCCACACTAAATATGTACTCAGATTGATTATTTAACATTTAATTAAGAAAACAAAATCAAAATATCCATTTTTGCGTTTAATCATCAATGGACGTTGAACAGCAGATCACATTCAAATCCAATGAAAATCGGACAGATAAGATGGCATCGGGAGTTGATTAAGGTCTTTTCATGTTAATAAATATCTAATTAATAGTTTATATAACAGTTCAGGCCTAAAGAAAGACCTGTAATAGGCAGATTTACCTCTTGCATAATGTATGTTTAATTGTCTTTTAGTATAAATGAATGCAGTAAAATTAATTGATTTGATTACATCACACTCTAAATCCAGTTATAAATAAAGTCGAGCTAGTATTGTTTAATATTCCATTTTTAGCACTTATTCTCTTAGATAATCTATTAGACTGAAGTTAAATCAAGTCATGTTTATTACACATTTGAAAATATATAAGGCACTTGATAAATTTCATTTCGATCAGTTGATTGTATTGAAACCTATGACTTGAGTTTCAGTAATTAACTTGAATTTAATTCCTCTTTCAATCTTTCTTCAAGTTGTATTATCCGACTGTTGAATGACACAGAAACTGCTTGTAACTGAAAAACAAGAAAAATGAAATTGGGTTTAATATCCTACTGTTCTGCTCAGACTGGGCTAATGAAGACTGGTATACGCCATACAGTGTGCTATGAGGGAAATTTTGCCCGGACAGCGGCACTACCGCCTACTCATATATCGAATTCCAACTGTTGAGGGATCTTTTATGTGCATGCCAATGTGTACACAGGACCTTGGTTTTTTCGTACCATCCAAACGACTAGACAGCTGTCCTTGTCAGGCCCTCCAATCATGCACCACTGACAAGGGGAAATCACAGCAGAAAATCCTGATGAAAAGATGACTAGTCATCACCATCCCATGCCTTTGCACTTGTTTGGAAGGCTTAAGTTAAAACAACATCTTTATGTTATTGGTAATCTATATAAAAATATATCAGATTAATCTAGAGCTGGACGATATTGGTAAAATCAAATATCGCGATATTTCCCCAAAAAACGACGATATATCACTATATCGCGATATTTTAGTTTTATTATAAAAAGCTAACAATATATCGTGATTTATCACAATATCCCGATATTTTAGTTTTATTATAAAAGATGTGATTATATAAGTGTTAAAAACAGGTAATTCCCTCCCCCTAAGGGTGCATTATTCCTGTTTCAAAAGCACAGACCGAGAATTAAGTTCAAGGGTTAGGGTTTTGGCTAGGCAAATGTGGAGAGTGGTGGGGGAGATGTCCTAGAACCATGTTAGGCTTGAACTTCGCAATGTTCCGCCAAAATGTTGAATAACATGTGGGTATGAGTAGACTCAAAGAACCAGGCGTAATTTCTCCTATTCGGTACACTACAAAAGCGCATAACTCTGGAGTTTGTCTAAATCTCGAATATCTAGACGCAATTTAGTTTTATTTGCAAATAACATTTTACTTTTATTTAAATCGGCTTCAGTTTAAAAATTGGCAAAAAAAACACCAAAACAAAATGATAGTTAACTAACAAACGGCATCATACGTTTAATGGTAATAACAATTTCCCAACGGTGCCAATGATAAATCGACCGAAGACGACGAAGAGAAGATATTACGCCATGACTTACTTGGCTGGTTATTCGAGTGTTGCACAGCATTAGCGACGGGTTTGACATTATAATGACAAATTCCAACGGCACGAGGAGAATGTCTCTATAAATTAAATAATAATTTTTCAATTATGAATTTATTTTTCAAGTTTAATAATCGAGAAAACCACTAGACTATTCATGTATTTAGTAGGCCTTGTCAATGAACAAGTGACAAGTCATCCGAGTCATCGATCGTGACGTAATGTCGTAAATTGTTCGATGTCAATCCCAATCCCATCCCAAATGCAGCACATAATATCGTGATATATCGTGTAAAATACCGGTATATTAATAGAAAAACACACAATACGATATATCATTATACTGCGATTTTTTAGGTGGTTTATAAAATATCGGAATTCAAATTTTAATATCGCAATTTATCGAATTACCGAAAATATCATCCAGCCCTAGATTAATCTCATATTCCAACACATGGAATATCAATGGGACTAGTCAGAAGATTCATACTCTGATCATAGTAGTTCGTCAAGGCCGATTCGTTACTCCCTGTAAGGTTTATACAACTTTGCCTATCTCAATCAGCTGCTGTATGCTAAACAATAAGCTTATACATCAGAAAATTTATTTCCATGGAAACACAAAAATTATTAAATCCGAGAAGTTCCAAGTTAGCAGAAAAAACCTACTATAATAGGTTGAGGTGTGTACAAAGTTTCATGAAGATAACTTGAATAGTTCATGAGATATGCTCTGGAAACAAAATTGTACATAAAAAACTAAGTCAAATTTGTTTCTATGGAAATACAAATCCAAGACATTCCTAAATAGCAAAAGGCACAACTACATGTACTGTAATAGGTTGATGTGTGTACAAAGTTTCACAAAGTTATCTTGAACGGTTTATGAGATATGCTTCAGAAACGAAATCGGGGCAGACGGACGGACACACAGCCCTGATAATTGAAAGTTCTCTTTGAACAGAAAATAATTACAAACTAACATCTGCCTCAATTGAAGTTGGATGGCCGAATGGTTACCGCATGCGCATTGTATCATACGGTCTGTCATTAAGTCAACTGGTGTGGTTTCAATTCCTCCTTTGTATGTGACAAGGAGTAGGGTCGCCTGTCCAACTTTGTGGGTTTTCTCCGGGTACTCAGGTTTCCCCCCACTGCTAAAGACCCCTACACGATGTTGAGCAGGTGTCATTGTTACAAGTCATTTAGAGTATGCTTCATTCATTAACAGGTTAAACACCTCAACCTACGGCCTCTGTGGTTAAATGAAATGAAATGAAATGGAGTTTAACGTCCTACTGTTCTGCTCCTAACCTGGGCTAATGAAGACGGGCATACGCCATACAGTGTGCTATGAGGGAAATTTTGCCCGGACAGCGGCACTACGGCCTACTCTTATATCGAATTCCAACTGCCAAGGGATCTTTTACGTGCACGCCAATGTGTACACAGGACCTCGGTTTTTCATCCCATCCGAATGACTAGACAGCTTTCCTTGTCAGCCCCTCCGTCCTGCATCCTCAGTGGTTAAACCTGTAAACTCATGACAGCCTTGCTATAAATATAACTCCCAAAATAGTTTGTTGTACAACCCCAAATTACCATACACAATTTTCTGTTATATTATATTATTATACAAATAATAACAAGTTCATAAACTATAACTTTGAAAAGTCCGGCCTACACATTAACCATAGCCAGATTGACATATGATGGCAACAATGGGGATGCTCAATTCACATTCCAGAATGTCACGAATTGATAGAATTGCAACTAAGTGACAGGGAATTCAGTCCTGTCAGTTTTGTCAGTCCTGACTACGGAGGTGATGTGAGTAGAATCGTGACATAATTAAACACAACGAATATGTTAGGGCTGGAAGGTTGGTTGAGATATTTACTTATTCAGTCGACGCATGCCTTCTAGCCCGAAATACCCCTTTTCACTCGATTGACACTACTTTTTGGGATTGAGAGTACCCCCAATATATACATAAATAACTTACTTTTAATATTTCTTGTTCTAACTGTTTGTAAGATTGGATGTTACCATTGTTTAGATGTTCATTAGTCATTTCTCCACTGTCTAAACGATAGCTAAAATAAATTTTAAGTAAATCAATGTAGGGTTATTATTACTAGAATACTCAAAAAGTTTGAGAATTTGTTAAAAACAACACAAACCAGACTAAAATTATACATTTTATTTCAAACTAGAGATTGCAGAGGAAAACAGCAGGTTGGACAGGTATACCTTCTCCTTGTAAAATACAAGCATCAGTTATAAATGTATCTATTAGGTTCCCTGTTTTCATATGGTACCTCATCTTCAATAGACGGCTTGATCTCGCTTTAACTACGTACATCTTATCAAAACCTTCATGTAATACCCTGCATATTTCGGCACTAATTTTGATTGGATATTCACACAGCTTGGGAGACTATCAGATTCATCGCAAATACAAAGTCTCACGCTTTTAAATTAAAAGTCTACCTGTGATAATCGAGTTGCAAAGTTCAAGGATCGTTCAATGTCAAGGCTTCTGCGGAGGTCGCCATGTCACAACCTCTGATTGAACGCTACTGTTCAGTTGTCTGCAGATAACGTAGCTATAAATTCAGGAATTGTAAAGTAATCTAGCAACGTCCAGATGCTCTAAAACTCGTAGTCTTTGCTTCAGAAACATGATGGTACCTGTTAGCCAACTGATTTCATTGATCTCGTCGCTTCATTTTTAGTTTTAATGTCGCTAGAGTGCTTTTCAACTGAAGTCTTTGATTTGGTGTTATAGTTGTTTTTTTTCTTGTCTTTTAACTTATTATTTTTAGGCCAATGAGAATGGTAATGTATATTATGTTGGCCCACCATTTTACTTGCGAATATGTCAAGCCAAACATTGACAATATTACTAATATCAAACAAGCCAACAGTGAGGCTGATGTCCCCCGCCGAAATAGGAAAATAATCAAAGTAGGAGAGTTATTGTTTTCCAAAGTCTCGACCAATCAAATTGCGTATCGCTCTGCCCACCCTGAGCAGAAAATGCTCATTATCAAACTTAGTCAAGGTATTACTGTAATGAAACTATACACCAAGTTTCATCAATCTCACTTAATTAGAACTAAAGTTATCGTGTCCCAAAGCATCAACCAATCAAATTGCTTATCTCTGCTTACCCTAAGCGGAAAATGCTCATCTTCGAACTCCATCAAGGCATTGACCTAATCAACACATACACCAAGTTTGAACATTCTAGCTCAATTAGGAAGAGAGTTATCGTGCCCCAAAGTATCAACCAATCAAATTGCTTATCTCTGCTTACCCTAAGCGGAAAATGCTCATCTTCGAACTCCATCAAGGCATTGACCTAATAAACACATACACCAAGTTTGAACATTCTAGCTCAATTAAAAGTTATCGTGTCCCAAAGCATCAACCAATCAAATTGCTTATCTCTGCTTACCCTAAGCGGAAAATGCTCATCTTCGAACTCCATCAAGGCATTGACCTAATCAACACATACACCAAGTTTGAACATTCTAGCCCAATTAGGAAGAGAGTTATCGTGTCCCAAAGCATCAACCAATCAAATTGCTTATCTCTGCTTACCCTAAGCGGAAAATGCTCATCTTCGAACTCCATCAAGGCATTGACCTAATAAACACATACACCAAGTTTGAACATTCTAGCTCAATTAGGAAGAGAGTTATTGTGTCCCAAAAAGTGTGACGGACAGACAGACGGACAGACAGACGGACGAACCCATTTTAATAGTCCCCTGCTTTCTTCGAAAGGCGGGGGACAATTAGTATTAGTTGAAATAAAATCTAAGACCGTTGATGGGTGGAAGAATCCCTGTACAGTGCAGGCAAGATTGGATCTCAGTGATACGGTTGGGGACCGAAAGATAATAATAAAGCAGCCGTTGTTGTTTGTATTTCAGAGGAGAGCCAAAAAAAGCTCCCCCCAATCAACGAATTGAAAAAATCGCTCCCCTCAAAAAACTCTCCCAGTTTTGATAAGAAGAGTGATTTAGAAATTAAGGCGAGTGATCTGATATTAAGGAGAGTGATTAGTTATATGCATGGGAAATGATTCTAAGATCAATAACTGCATGTAATGGGGTCATTCCTGGTTTCATAAATGATAATAAACCCCCCAAAGACTATGTAAAGGAGAGCGATTTTCAGTTTTAAGGGGAGGGAAAAAAACTCCCCTCGGTCGACATTCAGGGCAGCGGCAGGTGCTCGAGAGCAATCGCTCGCCTTAAAAAACAATGACTGAATAAAGTAAAGGTAATATTCCCCTAGCAACGAACTTGACAAGACTGCGTAGTAGACATAGAATAGTTTTAACCCAGGAAGCGTTTCGTGCACTTGCCCTAGCAATGAACTTGACAAGACTGCGTAGTAGAAGTAGAGTAGTTTTAACCCAAGAAGCGTTTCGGGCTCTTGCCCGCCCTTTACTTTATTAGTTGAAATACTTACAAAGAAAGTCTGTCAATATACAAGCTGTATTTGTTTCTCAAATCATCCAATTGAAATGTGGTAGTCCTATAGATTCGTCCCAAATCACTATTACAAGCTTCACAGATTAATGGATTGTAAGAACTGAAAAGTTAGAATTGGTTCAAATGTATTGTTTTCGGAGATGGAAACAATAGCAGTAGGCTACCTACTGAAGGGCAGTGCAATTTTTATTAAACAAATAATGTTCTAGACAGAGAAAGCCATGTGAGTGATACTCCTTACAATTTATTGAAATTTGGGAGTACAGGAAATACCTGGTAAGAACTTGATTGTAAATGATGACTCATCATTCAGTTCTCACAGTCATCAATCAATGACTTTTGTCAATCTGATTAAAATACAGATCTATATTTCGTTTCATTTTTTTATACTTTCGATGGCCTCTACTGCATGGAGATCTGACCAGTTGGCGGGGGAGTTCGTGTCAGGGGTTATACGATCAGCTTTTGACTCTATGACGTCAGATATTTGATTAACCAATAAATGTTGATGTTTCTAGTAGGATACCCAGAGTTCTGTGCATCGCACGCCAAGAACTCACTGTAACAGACCGTTTCATTGGCTAATCCCTCACATCATCTAAAACACAGGTAAAATATAACAATTCTTCCAGATCCTAGTGTAGTAAAGACAAGTAAAACAAGACTGAACTATAAAACAAGAAACGAAATAGGATCTGTGTTTTATCAGATTGTGACTTTTGTCAACTACATGTAAAACTAATTATGGAAATGAAATGAAATGGAGTTTAACGTCCTACTGTTCTGCTCCTAACCTGGGCTAATGAAGACGGGCATACGCCATACAGTGTGCTATGAGGGAAATTTTGCCCGGACAGCGGCACTACGGCCTACTCTTATATCGAATTCCAACTGCCAAGGGATCTTTTACGTGCACGCCAATGTGTACACGGGACCTCGGTTTTTCGTCCCATCCGAACGACTAGACAGCTTTCCTTGTCAGCCCCTCCGTTCTGCACCACTGACAAGGGAGAACCACGCCGGAAAATCTGGATGAACTTTCTCGGCCAATGCAGGGATCGAACACCCGACCTCCAGGCTAGCGAGCTAGCGTCTTACCCACTTAGCCACGTGATCCCCAACTAATTATGGATGTTGAAATAGTTTACAATTGGATAACTAATTAAACTATAATTTTACCTTCCTAGATCAGCTGAACTTGATGATGAGATTAACTTCTCTCTTACTCTAACTTTATTTGTAACCCCTGTAAATAAAATCAAATCCTGCAATTATTCTAAGGAGACTCTATAAGCCTTATACCAGGAAAAGAATGTAGCTAAAAGAATCTTCTGGTTGTTTTAGCTACAGTTGTTGGTCTCTTCTATCAAATTGACAATGGGAGAGAGAGAGAGAAATGGAGTTTAACGTCCACTCAACACAAACTAAGTCATTTCGGGACTAACATGGTTCAAGTTTATTTCAATAATTCACTTGGGCGTAGGGGTCTTTAGTAGTGGGAGGAAACTGGAGGACCCGGAGAAAACCCACGAGGTTGGACAGACGACCCCTATTCCTTGTTCCGTACAACCGGGGCATTGAAAACCATGGCAGTTGACTCAATGACAGACATTATGATAGAGCGTGCATGCGCTAACCATTTGGCTATCTAACCCCCCAAATTGGCAATGGAGGTAGGCATTGCCTTGTACATCCTCAATAACATAGTTACAACTTACCACATGTAAATGAATTAAAATCATAATTACAATTTGTGTGTGTTTCTGATGGATTAGATATCATGCGTGAGTGAACAGTATCGCAACTCGAAAGAGCAGGCCTGCAAAGTCAAATCCTGTGTTCCACAAAATCAAAAAAATATAATTGTATGTTACGAAAAATTGAACAGGCTCAATCTGTTTCTAGGAGGCATTGCGAAGACTGATACCTCTGTAAAAGATGACTGCCTTATCATGTGACGTCACATCACATGGTGAAGATGGGTATATGCCATACAGTGTACTATGAGGGAAATTTTGCCCGGACAGCGGCACTGCGGCCTACTCTTATATCAAATTCCAACTATCCAGGGATTTTTTACATGCACGCTAATGTGTACACAGGACCTCGGTTTTTAATCCCTCCTTAGTCATTTTCATGCATGTTGGTTTCACTATAACAGTATTGCCCGTGATAGAACAGATCAAAGAATAAAACTGCACTATGATGGACTATCAGTGACTAGCGATTATTCACTGCTGATCAGTATCAGTGTGAAATAGGCTATGCCGGATTACACAGCATGGTAGCACGTCATTTCGGTCCCGCGTCATTTCCGACTCAACACAGACGACCTTTCGGACTCAGTTTGACGACAGTTCAGACTTACTTGACAACTTTTCGGACTCGGTCTGGCAGCGTTTCGGACTCGGATGAATAATTAAAAGACTGTTAAAAATTTGTGTGATATATTTGTAATAGCTGTTTTTGTTTTCGTTTTATGTGAGTGTGGTAGTTGTTTTGTTTTATTTAATTGATCAACGATTCTTGAGACCGCTAATAAAAAGATAACACTTATTTTACACTGCTTGTTCTATTTTGTTTTGTTTAATCGGCGAGTATTGAACTTGACAATAAAATATTGTTGAATATTTGTGTATATTTAGTAATACTGCTAATGTTTTTATAATTGTAAAAGCCTAAATGTCTTTTACGTGGGCCGGAATAATCGAATCAACACACGAACGCCATTATCGCTAAAGGACTGTAAGGTTTCTTTGGGCGTACTACAATAACATAGGGATTATCGGTTAATCAGCTTTAATTATCCCATTTTCCAAAAAGAGTTTTCTTTGTACGCAATAATTTATCGATTGGTACTGCTATCTATGGCAAGCTTGTCGAGATTTGCATGTCAACGTGTATCTTACGGATTATCGTTAAAAAATTCTAGAGGCTTGTAAAAACAGTGCATGTCGAGTAAATATTTCCTTTTTTTTTTGTGTAGGTCATTTTGAAATAAATTCTACAGCATATTATTTTTTTTAAAAAAAATAAAATACGTTTAGGGGAAACGATGATAGTTGTGTTCAACCTTTCCTTTCAACTTATTCCGAAGTCCGAAACGTCACCTGCCGAATTCGAAACGTCGAGGCCATATTTTTTTTGAGTCCGAAATGACGCGTGACCAAAATGACATGTAAATCCACAGTCCACAGCATGAGGGGATACTTAGTACCGGAATATCAATTATCTATCCATGTAAAAAGAAAGAAACAATAAAAATGTGTTGTTTTATTCAAAATACAAGTTGTTTTTGGTAAATCTATGGACCCAACACAGGCTGAGGCCCGAGCAGGGTGTAATGACAATGTTGACATTTCTATCGAACTCACTGTCCAGGGTTATCAAACGTAGCGAGTTGTTAGCTATCACTGGACATATTGTGTCACCAACTATTGTTCTGCAGTTTTCACACTGAAACACCATTGGCAGATCATTGTTCTTTTCATCGGGCGAAGTCGAGGAATTCATTTTAGTTTGGCATTGCAAACTTCAAACCCAATACACTTTAATTTCCCGCCATGATTAAAAGCTGGCCGAATAAATTTCGTAACATAAATTTCTTAGGATTTTATTCAATAAATTTTATGTTTAAAAATCTTCTAATGCAAAATAAATCATCTACTTGCACGAATCATAATTTGAAAAGGCTTTTCTATTTTCAAAAGTCTTAGAATTATGAAATAGAATATTAAGACTGTAAAGTACGAAACTACATGTAAACATTTTGATTGGACACGTGGTATTACCTTGAAGGCCGTGACGAGAACATGTAAACAGATCTTCTATTTTGATTGAAAGTGCAACTGATTGACCTAAATATCTTGACCTTGCTATGTCAATGACAAGAAATTAAATTATTGAATTTAGTCGTTATGTATCCCCACCCCCATCCTCCACAGAAAAATGCTCCAATTACAATTAGACATGGCAAAATCATATTACATAAAATGAAATGAAATGGAATGGGGTTTAACGTCCAGCTGTTCTGCTCGGATTGGGCGAATGAAGTCGGGCATACGACATACAGTGTGCTATGCGGGAAATTTTCCCTGGGGAACAGCACTAAGGCCTATTCTTTATATCAAATTCCACTTGCACGCCAATGTATACACAGGACCTTGGTTTTTCGCATCATCCGAACGACTTGACAACTCTCCTTCCTTGTCGGGTCCTCTGTCCTGCGCACCACTGACAAGGGGAAAACCATATGTCGGAAAATCCAGATGAACTTTCTCAGCCAATGCAGGGATGGAACACACGACGGCCAGGCTAGCGAGCCAGAGTCTTACCCACTTTAGCCACTGTGGTTCCTTCAAAATATAAAACTGGGTATTGCCAATAGGTACATGTAGTGTAGAGGTTGCAGTCCCCCCCCCTCCCTTGCTCACATATTGCACTATAGTATTATATAATCCCTGCCGACATGTTATCATTCATTCTGTTAAAATGTGCATCATTTCTTCATATAGGCCTACATATGTAGTTCCGCTATAACGTCTATATAAATGCAAAACTTGTGTACCTCTTCGAAATGTTGGTCTAACAATATCTGAGGATGAAAACAGTGTTAGAGTCTCTTTTGTTTATGTACTTTAATGTCTATAAAATGTTAGGCTATACATATTACTGTTTGTAATTTATTCTAATTTATTCCCTTGTTTTTTTTTTAGATCTTTGGAAACTATATACCTACTTTAGTTTAAATATTTGTTTTTTATGGTTTAATATTGGAATAAATAAGCCTGTCACATTACAACAATTTCCTGTAAGTACATGTACATTGTAGAGACTTGTATAAATAGGTAGGCCTAATCAAGAGTTACTGCGTGGCATTATGATTAATATACTTGGGTTGGATAGCTGAAAGATTAGCGTGTGCGCATTGTATCATAAGGTCTGAAGTCAACACCGTGGTTTCGAATCCCTGGTTGAATGTGACAAGGAGTAGTGTCGCCTGTCCAATCTCGTGGGTTTTCTCCGAGTGCTCCAGTTTCCTCACACTGCTAAAGACCACTATGCACATGCGAATTATTGAATTTAATTGAACCAAATGTTAGTCCCAAACTGAGCTAGTTTGTGTCGAGTGGACGTTTAACCCCATCTCTCTCTCTCTCTCTCTAAATTTCTGTTGAGTTCTAAAATAATCTTTACAATGAGAGCAAGAAAATTTTAAAAAAACATATCTGTTGTATTCCCCATAAAGGTATTAATTAGCTACTTTCTTCTGTTTTGTTACATGTTTTGCAGTTTATTCACGGTATTAGAAATCATATATTTAGTAACTTGTTACACCTGTTGGTCTAGTTATATTCATCAGAAATAAAATGAAATGGGGATTTAACGGCTACTGATTTTTATCAGAACAGTTTTGTGTTTTTTACTAAGGGAATCGCAGTGTCACAATGCTCGGATGATTAATCTAAATAATGTGCGGTAGGCATATGTTTGGAACCTACCTTTATTCAAAATGTATCTTGAAAGGGTTTGCCTTTTCATTTATTTTACTGTGCATTTGTTCATTTATGTAGGTCCTAATTTAATCTGATTAAAATACAAATCTTTATTTCGTTTCTGTTTTATACTTTCAATAGCCTGCACTACATGAAGATCTAACTAGTTGTCATACGACGTCAGGCATTTGATTAACCAAACAGCGTTGATGTTTCTAGAAGGATACCCACAATCCGCGCATCACATGCCCAGAACTCGCTGGAAGAGACCGTTTCATTGGCTGACGCGGATTATATTACAACTAGTGTAGTAAAGACAAGTAAAAACAAAATTTTGAACTATAAAATAACGAAACGAAATATGATCTGTGTTTTAATCAAATTGGTCCTACATAAGCTTATGTTTGAATTTGTATTATAGATTAAAATGTATGCTGATGAAGACTGTAGCGAAACTGTGAATATTAAAGAAATGTTGAATCTACAAGTAGCAGAAGTTGAAATGTTAAAGAGTATGTACCCACAGAAAGGAGAGTTTGTCTTGGATGATGAATACGCTGTGAGAGAAATTCAAGCTTTTGTCGACGGAGATTTAGATTATGAACCAGAGAACAGAATAGGTTTTACAGTAAATATTATCACTAATGTAAGTATGAGAATTGTCTGAGAATCAACCTTTTCACAATTAGCGTGTTTGCGCTGTATCATAAGGTCTGTCATTGAGTCAACTGGCATGGTTTCGATTACTTGGTTATACGTGACAAGGAGTAGGGTCGCCTGTCCAACCTTATGGGTTTTCTCCGAGTCCTCCAGTTTCCTCAGACTGCTAAAGACCCCTATGCGAATTATTGAAATGGGACTCTCCAGATAATTTGATTCTCTGAAACCAGTATGTAAGTCAAACACCATATTGTGTTATGATTAAGTAAATGTTAAATTCTAATTTTTTCCTATGTTTTCATATATGGTTGAGTAGTCTCGGTCATCCAGAACCTCCTACTCTTCAACCTACGGAGGGTCTGGGACCTTTGTCAATATTTGATGAAAAGTTCCATTGCCCATGCATAATCGGGAGGTTTTTTTTTTATGTGGTTGATTATCCAGTATCTTTGGCCATGTCATGTAAGAGTTGCGCCCCTTCCCGCAATAAATCCCATAATTCTTGCAAAACAAACATGAATTGTGACAATGAATTAGGATTAATTTTTAAAAAACCCCATAGATATGGCACATGAAGAGAGAAATTTTACAATAGAAAATATTGGATATTGAACTGCCAATGCAATCAAACAGATTTTCTGAATTGCCATTCTTAAATTAATTTCATGGGCACTAACATCTTGTTTTAAGGCTAGTTACCTCCCTTAGACTGTTTATGATAATGTAAAAGACTGGTTAATCTAGCCAATGACCTATTTTTCTCAAATGTTGACAACTCATCCAAACTAATATTCGTAGAATATTTTTCTGTATGATAGAGATTAATGGTTTTGAGGAATTTTCTAAGAAGTAACTGCAGTATTGTGTTTTACAGATGCAACCAGTAGAATTTGTTGTTCATCTTCCCCATGAATATCCTTCCTGTCAACCAGAACTCTTTTTGCGAACGCAAGATTTAAGTCGTACCAATAGTCGAAAACTCAACGATGATTTAATTGAGTACATGCAGAGTCTTGATAAAGGTGAAATTTGTATTGGTTCGTTAATCCAGTGGCTACAGGAAAATGTGAATGAATACGTGTCGGAAATTCCTGTCGAAAAATCGCGTACTAAAACTATTCAACAGGATGATGTGTTTTCAAGGATGTGGATCTACAGTCATCATATTTATAGTAAATTTAAACGCCGAGACATTATAGACTGGGCACAAGAGCTAAGAATAACTGGTTTTTCGATGCCAGGAAAACCAGGAATAATTTGTGTAGAAGGTTATAGCAGTTTAGTTGAGGAATTCTGGTACAGAATACGTAGAATGAACTGGAAAAAATTAGCTGTCAAAGAGAAAGAAGACTATAAAATAGACAATGAATATGATTTTAAAAAATATAAAAAATTTCCTAATTTTGAAGAAATAGCTTTTGAAGTTCAAGGTGGTAAAGCTAGAGAATATCACATGAATTTAGGATTATTTTATGAATATTTAGTTAAGCATGATGCAAAATATATTTTTTCACTTTATTTTGGAGTTGAGGGAAAATCAAATGCAGTTGATTAGCATTTTTTTTTTAAATTCTTTAAAATATGAAAAATACACAATAAATTTTTAAATCTTTGAAATATTCTTTTATTTACAATTATTTGATCGATTTGAAAAATAAAAAAACCCAAAAAAACTTAAATCTTTGAAATGAGTTTTTTTAAAAAAAATTTAATCGATTTAAAATTAAAAAATACACAATGAATTTAAATCTTGAAAAAAAAAATTACAATATCAGTTAAAATGTGTTTTTTGTTTTTTTTCTCTTTAAATTGAATGTTAAAAATCCAAGCTTTGTACTGTCAATTTGATCAAATCACCTTGTTTTTTAGACTTGAAAGGGCTGGACTGTCCAAGTCTTGATATTACTATACATGTACATGTATCGTTGTTCAAAATTTATAATTAATTTGGTTTAACCATAAACTTTTAAAAAGATTTCATATAATGAATATTTTATTTTTAAAAGGTTAAACATACATTATGGAAGAGCTAAATCTGCCAATTGCAGGTCTTTCTTTAGGCCTGAAATGTTATATAAACTATTAATTAGACATTAATTAACTTATCCAGACCATAATCAACGCTCGATGTCATGGCTAGCCTGCGATATTTATTGGATTGGATTCTGATCTGCTGCTCAATGCTCATTCATGATTAAATCCAAAAATGGGACTATATTTTTTATCGTACTGACTTATCGTAATGATGATCAGGGCTAGGCCCAAAATTCAATCGCTAATATCTCAGTTCAGAGTAGAGCAATTTGACTGAAATTTTCAGCATATTGCCTTTACATTATATAATTTTTAACTATCATTGTGAGAACTGCCAGCTCTTTATTTAATCTCTCATAATGTATCTTTAACTATTTAAATGGGGTAATTTTGCTCAATGAAAGTAATTATACAGATCTCATAAGCTGGACATGTATAGCCTATATATTGTGTAAATCTTTCAATTATCAGAATTCATTGACTTGTTCACTTCTCACTAATCATCTTACATATATTAATATGTATTATCTTATCTTTAAAAATAAAACAAAACTTCTCTTACTGATATTTTGTTTCCAACTCGGAAAAGATTTGGTGTTGCATCCCCACAAGTCATTCTGCACACAGAGCTCAGTCTACTTCATACTTCGAGAATAGATCTCTGTCCTAAATGGCCGCCATATCCAAAAATTAGTGTACTGTTTTGTAATGTGGTCCTACTTCGTTTAACATCTGGCATACACACACAAAGACTAATGAAACCTTTTCAATTTTATTAAATGAAAGCAGATTATATACATCTCAAAATTCTCGAAATAAACTTAATATTTTCGACTAAAATTGTTGATTTGGGATCGTAAAATGTCTGTCAATTAACTTAGTGTCTGTTCTCAAACATAGCTAACTGTAGACAGACAGCCTAAGTTTAGTATGCCCCACAAGTATAAAAAAACAAAATGAAATATAGATCTGGGCCCTTATTCACGAAAACTTAAACTAAGATACAATCGAAATTTTAAGAAATACTGCAATTCGATTGGCTGACCAGTAAAATCAATTTGCATATATCCAATTTGCATATTGGTCAGCCAATCGAATTGCAGTATTTCTTAAAATTTCGATTGTATCTTAGTTTAAGTTTTCGTGAATAAGGGCTGTGTATTTTAATCAGATTGAGTTTTTTTCCAAGATTTGCTGTTGCACTCCACAAGTATTAACTATGCAAGTTAAACATGCAGATTAGTTTTATCATATAAACAAATTATTTTTGATTACAAACCTAGGCATAATCTACTAGCCTATTTCTCTAGATTATTGGCTTATTGCCTACTAATCTGTCAGATTGGATTAATTATATGCTGATTATTAACTTGGTGTGGGGGAGATTAAGGATTAACACATAGAAACCAATAACAAAAAAATCTATGTGAAGAGTTCATTTGTTGATGAACCAGTTGACATATTGGTACATGTGTATCTTGATAGAAAATTTGGTTTCTTCTTTGATTTATAATATTTGAAGCTTTCTGTTAGGGAGTGAATTATAATAGTTGAAGCTCGCTGTTAGGGAGTGATTTATAATATTTGAAGCTCGCTGTTAGGGAGTGGGTTATAATACTAATTGAAGCTCTCTGTTTGTGAGTGATTTATGATAATGAGTGTTTAATAAATGTATGTGTGTAATATGTAAGAGACTGGACACAAACTACATCAAGATGAAGAACTATTTTTACGTTTTATTCTTCTGTTTCCTGGTTTGGCAGAAAACATCAGGTAAGTGATATATGTTTGATGTGGGGAATTTCGATATCTCTGCTTTTAGGCCTTATGGATAGCAATGAATACAGCACCATTTCAGACCATACAAAAATAAAATTCTGGTCCTCAGACAATCGTTATACTAATAATCTGGTTTGTATTTTTATTTTGTCAAACGATCAGTACTGGGCTAAATGACTTCTCATAAACATCAGGTTTCAAGGCACTACATTTATCTCTGCTGTAATGTATGATTATCCAGTTTCATTTATGAAATGACATGGGGTTTAACATCCTACTGTTCTGCTCCGTCTGGCCTAATGAAGACGGGCATACGCCATACAGTGTGCTATGAACCATGTGTCAGTCCCGAAATGACCTAGTTTGTGTCGAGTGGAGGTTAAACCCCATTTCTTTCTCTCTCTTTCCCTCAATGAAATTGTCACCCAAGTCCAATATTTCATCTAATATTAATAATTCACGATTGGCATGATGTCCGATTGACATGATGTTCGTATATTATTTGAAATAATGGTACACAACGCTAAATGGATGAGGTCACATTTGTATTTTACGGTGAAATATTAATCAAAATCCTATTTTAAGTGGAAATCATGATAAGAAAGTTGGGAGGACAATATGTGTGGGGGAGGAGGGGGGGGGGTTCTATTCTAAACCGTAGATCATAAATTTGGTTATGTATGTATGTCATGGCTGTGATCTCGATCTTGAATGGTTAAATTTCTGTTTTATTTTTTTGTTTAGGAACATGTACATTACCAAGTGATTTAGTTGGAACGTGGATTAGCAGTACTAAAGGTTTTATAACGTTTACCAGTTCATCCATCAGTGGATATACTATCAGTAACTTCGGACAATTTGAATTTAACTGCACAGATTCATATGGTTCCAAACTAGTTTTAAAGTAAGTAAAGCTTTTCTCTTTTTGTCCTTCCATCCATACTGGGGGGTTGGATGGCTGAATGGTTAGCGTGCGCGCGCTGTATCATAAAGTCTGGCATTGAGTCGACTGGCGTGGTTTCGAATCCCTGGTTGTACGTGACAAGGAGTAGGGTCGCCTGTCCAACCTCGTGGGCTTTCTCCGGGTCCTCCGGTTTCCTCCCACTGCTAAAGACCCCTATGCGCAAACGAATTATTGAAATAAAATGAAACCATATGTTAGTCCCGAAATGACCTAGTTTGTGTCGAGTGGACGTTAAACCCCATTTCTCTCTCTCTCCATCCATTCTGTCATTTACGGTAGTGGGTAAGTAGGTAAGAGAATGGCTCGCTAACTTAGAGATTGTGCGTTTGATCCCAGCATTGACTGAGAAAGTGTATTGGGATTGTCCGACATGGTTTCCCCTTGTCAGTGATGCAGGACGGAGGGCCTGGCAGGGACAATTGTCTAGTCATTCGAATGGGATGAAAAAATGGTCCTGTGTATACATTGGCATGTACATATAAGATCCCTTGGCAGTTGGAATTCGATATAAGAGTAGTACCAGAGTAGTACCGCTGCCCAGGCAAAATTCGATATAAGAGTAGACCATAGTGGAGCTGCCCGGGCAAAATTTCCTTCATAGCACACTGTATAGTGTATGCCTGCCTTCATTAGCCCAGTCGGAGCAGAACAGTAGGATGTTAAACCCCATTTCATTTTTATTAGGGTAGATTTACATGGATTCTCGTGTCCATGAGATACCTTTAAGTCTTGTGGGTTCCAGTTTGATGTCTCACTGTGATAATGAATCCACCTATTTTTTTCTGGTTTGTTCGTTCCCATGGTGATCAGTTTTAGATCCAGTCTGGTCATCTTATACTCTGGACCATTGTTAAATAAATTTTGGTGAATATTTGTAGTTTTGGATTACACCATTAGTGCCCGACTCTCTCTCTCTCTCTCTCTCTCTCTCTCTCTCTCCCCAGTTACTTTACGAATTTTAAGTAAATATTTTTGAAAGGTCAGTTAAAAATGACATTTTCAAGTTTTTACTAAATCCAGTGGTAAATCACGTTCAAATCTTCTGTGATCTCCCAATTAATCTTTAACAATGTAATTTAACCTGTATTTTGATTAAAAATGTAATTTTACTTATTTTACTTATATTTTGATTGAAATTAATCCAATTAATTTATGTTTTCAGGTCTTCTTCATTTTCGTATCTAGGATTACAGTGGGAAGCGTATTTATGTTTAGATTTAACGTCTGTTTCGTCATATTTATATACTTATTACTTAGGATCAGGTAAAGTAATATAACTAAATCCCAATGATTTATATATTTATTACTTAGGATCAGGTAAATTAATATAAATAAACCTCATTGGATTTTATGTGTTGATAAAGCTAGTATTGAGATGTAACCCATCTTGTTTTCTAGCTACTGCCCAAACTGTAAGCCAAAAATTAAACTAAAAATTAATAATCAAGCCACCTTCGACTTCACCTTTTGAAACAAAAATTTAATTGTATAGAGCTTTCCCCATCAGTCGCCTGTCCAATCTTGTGGGTTTTCTCCGCGTCCTTCGGTTTCCTCCCACTGCTAAAGACCCATACGCGCAAGCGAATTATTGAAATAAAATTAAACGATATGTTAGTCCCAAAATGACCTAGTTTGTGTTGAGTGGATGTTAAACTTCATCTCTCTCTCTCTCTCCCAACCTCTTACCCCAACCCCACCTAAGTTATCAACAAATCAAACCAATTGAATGTTAAACTATCTCTCTCTCTCTCTCTCTCCCTCTCTCTTTCTCTCTCTCTCTTGTGTTTTCCTCCAAGGATATTGATGGCATTATAGAATAACTTGAGTTTCAGTTCAGAACCTCAAGAATCATCAACATTCATTGTTCCAATCAAATAATAAATTAACTGTATTTTTCCAGTGTCTGAAACTGATGCCCAGAATGAAAGAGTGAAGATATTTGTATTGGGTGTAAATCCGGCTGCTTCAGCTGTCTGTGATAGAACTGGTGGTAATGATATTGGAACATATGATGTTCTACTTAAAAATGGTAAACTTGAGAATTTTCTTCTTGGGCTCTCACAATTGTAATAAGACATGGATGCAGACATTATTAAAATTGATTGGTAGAGCACCAACATACTAATAGAGTGGGACGTTGGATGGCTGAATGTTTATTGCGTGCGCGTTGTATCATAAGGTCTGTCATTGAGTCAACTGGTGCGGTTTCGATTACCCGGTTGTACGTGACAACGATTAGGGTCACTTGCCCAACCTCGTGGGTTTTCTCTGGCTCCACTGGTTTCCTTCCACTGCCAATGACCCCTACACACAAGCGATTTATTGAAATAAAATCGAACCATATGTTAGTCCCGGAATGACGTAGTTTGTGACGTGTGGACGTTAAACCCCATTTCTCTCTGTCTCTCTCTTTCAGATTCAACAACAAGTGCTATGATTTCATGTCCAACAAGTTTACAGGCTTACTGGTCATATACTATAGATAATGGTAATGGAACAGACTGTTTAAATGATTCCTATCTTGATGTGTGTTCAGATGATAAAACTTTAAGTTTTAATTATACCAGATGTAGTAGTAATGTAGGTTATTCTGGTAAGTGAAGTGCATTTTGTTATATATTTAGCAAGCATCTCAAAGACGTAATGGTTGGTTTCAAAAATCATATATATTATTGAATCTCTCTGTTGAGTATAACAGGTGTACGAATTGTTTTAAGATGATTTTGTTATATTCAGCTAGCATCTCAGAGGCATAATGGTTGCTTTCCTATCTGATTAAAATACAGATCTATATTTCGGTTTTTTATACTTTCGATAGCCTACACTACATGAAGATCTGACCAGTTGTAGTGGAAGGTTGCGTCAGGGGTCATACGAGCAGCTTTTGACCCTATGACGTCAGACGTTTGATTAACCAATCAGCATTATGTTTCTAGTGGAATACCAACAGTTCTGCGAATCTCACGCTAAAAACTTGCCATAAAAGACCATTTCATTGGCTAATCCCTCACATCGTCCAGAACGCGGGTTATATAACAACTCTTCCAGATCCTAGTGTAGTAAAGGCAAATAGAACTAAATTTTGAACTATAAAAAATGAAATCAAGTAGGATCTGTGTTTTAATCAGGTTGATAAATCAGTGAATGTATTAAATATAGATGGATGTTTTAATACTATTGTTTTTGTTGTTTTAGCGGATGGATCATTATCATGTTTATATGAATCTACCAATGGAACATCATCGTATCTTACTCTATATAATAATGATAATAATAATACAGATGAAACTACAACTTACAGATTTACATGTCTGGTCAGTTTTACAAGATTCTCATTTACATATCAAATATTACAATAAGGCCATACTGTACAAATATTACAATAAGACCATACTGTACAAATATTACAATACGACCATACTGTATAAATATTACAATAAGGCCATACTGTACAAATATTACAATACGGCCATTCTGTAGAAATATTACAATAAGGCTATACTGTACAAATATTACAATAAGGCCACACTGTACAAATATTACAATAAGGCTATACTGTATAAATATTACAATAAGGCTATACTGTACAAATGTTACAATAAGTCCATACTGTAGATATATTAGAATAAGGCCATACAAAATAATATTCTGGTTATCCAACAATCCTTACCAATAATCTGATACAGGAAGGAGGTTTTTATTTTTGTATTTTTATTTTGTTAAAGAATCACTACTTGGCTAGATACATATCTAATTGTTGTTTATAGGAATGAATGATTATCCATTTTCATTTATGATTGTCGTTAATATTTATTAGGGTAATATACTTGATAAATGAGTCTATTGAATCATTCAGTTAGGTTCCCTTTAAGATAATTATAAGGGTATCTCTGGTTGGTCAGCATTAACCCAAGTATTGTTGTGTATAGTCATTGATTATCTCCCTTTAGTCTCCCATTTACATATTTAACAGTGGAGAACGAATGACAGGATTTTAAATTTGTCCAGAAATATTACCTGTGTTTGGCTTCAGTCAAACATACAGGTACTCTATATCAGGTTGGAGTTAATTCTATGTTATATTATATTTACAGGTATATGAAGTAACATCTAATGGTATATCTATGACACAGTATCCACAAGCTTGTTTAACCAATCAAACTACACAGTCTGTTACATCTCCTGGGGCTGCCATACTACTCTCTAATAAAGGTTAGAGGTCAATTTATATTCTTATTTCAGAAATGAAATGGGGTTTAACGTTCTACTGTTCTGCTCCTATACCGGGCTAATGAAGACGGGCATACGCCATACAGTGTGCTATGAGGGAAATTTTGCCCAGGCAGCGGCACTATCGCCTACTCTTATATAAAATTCCAACTGCCAAGGGATCTTTTATGTGCATTCCAATGTATACTCGGGACCTCGGTTTTTCGTCTCATCCGAAGGACTAGACAGCTGTCCTTGTCAGACCCTCCGTTCTGCACCACTGACAAGGGGAAACCATGTATCATCAAATTATACATAAAACAGAATCGTTAAATTATACATTATACAGCAGTATCATCAAATTATACATTATACAGCAGTATCGTCAAATTATACAGCAGAATCGTTAAATTATACATTATACACCAGGATCGTCAAATTATACATTATACATCAGTGTCGTCAAATTATACATAAAACAGCAGAATCGTTAAATTATACATTATACAATGATACATTTTAAATAGATGGCAGATACAGACAGAAGGTTGTAAGAAATTCAAATGGCATGTGTCCGCCCCCATCAGGGTGTGTTAAAGTGGCATTTATTTCTTCTTTATCTAACAGTATTTGTAATAAGCATCCAATGTTTTATATCTTGTAAAATTTAATAAATTATAAATATTTAATTCCAGAGTCCTGTCGTAAGTATCTTTACATACTGTACTTAAATATTCATATCAATTATATTATCATACATTTAATTCCTTCATTAGTCTCTTTATGTATACATTTCCATTTTTATACACCCACATTTTCATGTGGACGTATATTGTCGTCGCTCCTGTCCGTCTGGACATCCGGACGTCCGTCCACAATTGTTTGTGGACTCTCTACAGGTCACAATTTTTATCCGATTTCGACGAAACTTGAAATATAGGTTTATCTTCCTAAGATCTCGGTTCCTTTCGATGTATCGGACCGTAACTTCATGGATTATGGCACTTGATTGGACGAAAAATCACGTTTTTAACTTGTGGACCCTTTAGAGCTCACAATTTTGTTCCCATTTTGATGAAACTTGAAATGTATGTTTATAACCCAAAGATCTTGCACATATCAGATCGTACCTTCCTGAATTATGGCCCTTGATGTCACGAAAAATCGCTTTTTGTTTAGCTTGTTCTCGATCCATCTCTTGAAAAGTGTTGGTGTATCCTGTCTGGCAGCCGCTTGGAATCTGTTAAACTGCATCTCACTTTTAGTACATACTGTAGATTAAAGGTCACCGGAAAAGCTTCATAAGGTTTTTTAAATAATGTAAGTAATTATGTCTACATATCCTTTCCATAAGTATAACACAATCCCAAATGTCAATATTACCTGCCACAGGTAAATTTCAACGTTAGTAGGCCTGGTCGCAACTTTCCGTCAATAAAACGTTATGACTACCCATGGATAACGGTGGAATTACTAACATTGAAATTTACCTGTGGCAAGTAATATTGACAAACGGGTATATGTTATACTTATGGAAAGGATATATTGACATAGCATAGCTCAAGCTGATTCTTCATAAGTACCAGTATATACATGTAGATGTATTTTTTTTGTGTTTCCTAGCAATAGCAGTAGTAGCGTCTGCCTCCTTGTCCTGGGTCTATGCTGTTGTAGTTTTATTGGTGCTTATTCTTCTCATATTTGTTGGCATCGGTGCCTACAAGGCCTGGAAGAAATATGGTGAATCAGAGGATGGATTACGTGGAGTTAAAGTAGATAAAGAACCTTTTGCAGATAAGGTAGATGGTCCATCACCAGATGGAGAAGATGTACCACAAGATGTGTTGACGCTACTAGAGAAAGAAAACAGTTTACCTACAGGTAAGATACAAACAGCAAACAGGCAATACTCAATCTGATTAAAACACAGATCCTATTTCGTTTTATTTTTTTATAGTTCAAAATTTCGTTTTATTTGTCTTTACTACACTAGGATCAGGAAGAGTTGTTATATATATGATGTGAAGGATTAGTTGGTTAATCACGTCTGGCATCATAGGGTCAAAAGTCGCTCGTAGTAGAGACCATCGAAAGTATAAAAAAAAAATGAAATGAAATATAGATCTGTATTTAAATCAGATTGATTTTTATAAAGTTATTATGTAATCTTTTTTATGTGGACAGGCTGTTTATGATTGCTTAAAAATCTTTACTGACTTGCACGTGAAGTCTGCCCTTGATTGTATTTGATGGCTTGAAAATTTGTCCTGACTTGCACGTGGAGTCTGCCCTTAATTGTATTTGATGGCTTGAAAATTTGTCCTGACTTGCACGTGGAGTCTGTCCTTGGTTGTATTGTTCATGGTTTTATTTTGTCTGTTTTTTAAATTTATTTTAGAGGGAGTAGATAAAGGTGATGATGTACATATAACTATTGCTTCCCCGATGCCATCAAGTAGAGAAGAGGAAACACCTGGTCCTCACCCAGGTGAAATACCAGGTAGTGTGGTAGATTATCATACTGTTGGAGGTATCAGACATCCTAGTTCCCCAAAACCTGTTAAAAATGTCAAATCGTCTCCAAGAACTCCCAGAGGTGGAATAGTACCGAAGGGTAGTGTTAGTCCATTAGGAAATAAACCAAGTCCTAGGACGCCAAAAGGTACTGCTACTGTTAAACCTCTAAAGGCAAAGAGTCTATTGGTCAAGTCAGAAGCTCCTGCTACTGCTGAAATGGCTAGAGGTCGCCGACTACCACCCATATCAGAAAACTCATCAGGATCAAAATTAAAAGCAACGAAATCAGGAAAATGGAAGCCAGGACAGAAAGCATCTGTTGCCCCAGTGACCAAGAAGTCTGAAAATGATAAAGACCAGGTACATATTAATATTTTCATGTTTAAGTCACAGAGAAAGAGAGAGAGAGAGAGAGAAAACACGCCAGTTGACTCAATGACATCCCTTATGATACAGCGCACACGCGCTAACCATTCAGCCATCCAACCCCAAATTTATGTCACTTTTTGTAATCTTAATATTATGTGCTTCAATAATATTACTTGTATAGTTGTATGGATTTTCTCTGGGTCCTCTGAAGGCTCTGATTTCCTCCCACTGCTAAAGACCCCTATAAAATAGAACCATAAGTTAGTCCTGAAATGACCTACTCTGTGTCGAGTGGAGTTAAAACCCATTTCTCTCTCTCTCTCTCTCTCTGTCTCTCTCTCTCTCTCTCTGAAACCAATTATCACTGGTGCATTGTCTACTCTGAATTGTCTATTTTAATAAGGCTGCTGACATAAACATTATTGAACTTTAAACTTCTGTTCTTTGTAGTCATCTCTTCAGAGAAGAAACTCTGCAACTTCTATTACATCAAGAGAAAGTGTAGATTCTTCTACAGGTGCTAGACCAAAATCAAGATCGGTTTCATTTCGTCAAGATATCGAAGCTAAGAAAAAGGCCAAGAGATTAAGATCCCAGAATTCCAGAGATCCGGTATACATTTTATTCAATATGTTTCATTTATTCTACCATAAAAATTACTTGATATTTGATATTTAAACCCCATTTCTCTCTCTCTCTCTCTCTCTCTTAAATTTCGTCCTTATATAAAGGGTTGTGTTGTTTGTTTCCAGATGGAGGATGACGAGCATTATTTACCACCAAATATTGCACCAATTAAAATAACGAGAGTTGATATTCCAGCTTTATCACATCGAGCATCAGAATCCGACATGAAAATACAAGAAGTTGATTCATCTTCTGCTAATTACACAAAACAGTTAGTAAGTGAGACTCACCTAAGTAACTATACTAATTATAATATACAGGAAGATCACAGATCGACTTTTCCATCAAAAGAAACAGAATTTGTTTTTGATGTAGGCTCGGGTGCCTGGAATAAAGGAGGAGAGAATTTTGCAGGTTGTTGGGAGGAAACAGAGACGGAGGATTCCATCAGTCCATCTGCTTCCTATGAAACAGAGTCTGAATCTTTCACGGAAGCTTCTTTAGAAACTAATGATAATTTAACAGTCTCAAATTTAAGCCGCCATAATTCCATTCTATCGGAAGACAGTCCAATTTTTGTTGACACTTGGCTGGATGAGGTGGAAGACATAAAATCACCCACCATCTCCATGGAAACGGTTCCTCCCAATCCTGAATCTTGTGTTGATGGATATCTTCATTCATATGATTCAGACCTGAACATTGATCAAGAAAATCAATCTAATGAGCTGGCTGCTTCTTTTTCTAAGACGAAATCTCCTATAAAGAGAAGACATATTAAAAAGAAGCGACCTCTAAATTTTTGGGTATCTATGACTCAGCCCTCCATTCTTTATACAAGAGAATATATCAATAAAGTAAAACGCAAATTCTTAAAAGAAACATGTCCAAAAGATGTCAATATTCCAAGCTGGGGTTAACAGTTCAAAAATTGACCAAGAAGTGGGGAACAATGCCAGCATATTTTGGGAAATTCAATCTGATTAATAGAGATCTATATTTCGTTTCGTTTTTTTATACTTTCGATGGCCTACACTACATGAAGGTCTGACCAGTTGTCGTGGGAGGTTGCGTCAGGGGTCAAACGAGCGGCTTTTGACCCTATGACATCAGACTTTTGATTAATTAATCAGCATTGATGTTTCTACTGGGATACCCACAGTTCCGTGCAACACACACCAAGAACTCACTGTAACATTGGCTAATCCCTCACTTCATCCAGAACGCGGGTTATATAACAACTCTTCCAGATCCCAGTGTAGTAAAGACAAGTAAAACAAAATCTTAAACTATAAAAAACAAAGCAAAATAGTATCTGTGTTTTAATCAGATTGTGGGAAGTTAAAATTGTGATGATTTTTGAAAATGTTTGTGTATCTTTGTTCATGTTATGACAGTGTTTCATTGTTTTAATATTAATCATTTATATCACAATATCTATATGTGGTGACTTGTAATTTGCCCATTCCACATTTACAAACATTTGTTATTTGTCAGATTTACATTTATACCTTATTTTGTAATTTCTCAGTTTTACATTTAGATCTATATTTGTAATTTGTTTTGGGGGGTTGGATGGCCGAATGGTTAGCACGTGCGCACTGTATCATAAGATCTGTCATTGAGTCAACTGGCTTGGTTTTGATTCCCGGTTACTATGTGACAAGGAGTAGGGTCGCCTGTCCAACCTCGTGGGTTTTCTCCTGGTCCTTCGGTTTCATCCCACTGCTAATGACCCCTACACACAAGCGAACTATTAAATAAAATTGAACCATATGTTAGTCCCAAAATGACCTAGTTTGTGTTGAGTGGACATTAAACCCCATCTCTCTCTAGTAATTTGGCAGTTTTACATTTAGATCTATGTTTGTAATTTGTCAGTTTTAGTAATTGGTAACATATGTCGTTTTTACACTTAGACACGTTTGTAATTTATTGGTTGCATGATTTAGATACATGGAACTAAATAAATTGTATACACAACCACTAACTAATCAGAGTGTGAAATCATAAATAACAATTCTTTTTAAAGATACATTATGCAGGAGGTAAATCTGCCTATTGCAGGTCTTTCTTTAGGCCTGAAATGTTATCTAAATAATTAATTAGACATTAATTAACTTATCCAGACCATAATCAACTCTTGATGCCATCGGATATCTCTGATATTAAGTAGATTAGAACAGTTCAGCCATATTTTGATTTAATCTAACAATGGTGAATCGAGGCTAAGCTTCGAACAACCAGTGCGATGGTTGCAATTAATGCACACATATTGTCAAACCTTCAAAAGCTAATATCTTCACTCACAATGAAGCAATTTGAATGAAATTTTCAATAAATTCATTTTGCATTATCTACTTTTGAACTATTATAGTAGGAATGGCCAGCTCTTTATCTAAATCTTACATAATGTATCTTTAAGTTGCAGGCTTTTGAAATATGTGTACATGTTTACCACTTGTTATTTAAAATAAATTGTTATCTATATACGGCCATACATGTTTTAATGTAAACCAACCTGCAAGGATAAAATAGTCTTTTTAGAAACCATTCATTTTTTTTAAAAAAAAAGTCTAATTCAATAATATTCTCTGATATCAATTAAAGAAAGAAATAAAAAACAAATTTAAACATGTACAGAGTTTTCTATTAAAGTTTTAAAAGAATTCCTTGATTCCTTGCAGGTTTGGTCGACAGGTAAAGATGTAGATGATACCATGTCTGCTGTTAAAATAAAAAAAGTTTGGCTGGAACCAGAAGATCCAACAGAAGAAATATGGGCCAAAGTTTCCAGTTTATGGCGTATTGGACAAACGTGGATGGATAGAACTGTCAATTTATAACAGTGTGTTTGTCGTGTAATCTTTTCTAAAAAAAAAAATGTGTTTTCATATAAAGATTCATCAAAATAAAAAAAAGAAGAAATTTTGGACATCGAGGAATATGTTTAGAATAAAACATGGATCAGTGTGAGAATTGAGTGGTGCATGTGTATAGACAGCTAAGGAGAAGTGATATATGATGTTCTGATTGTTCTTACAACGTAAACAGGGGCAGATCCAAAGGGTGCCCCCCTCCTGCTCAACTACATACAAAATTTTTGAAACAACACTTTTTATGAGAAAAGTGTCACGGTCGTGTGCTTTATCCTTTATCATCAGATAGTGAGATTGGACTGGCATTCAAAGCGCAAGATAATGATATAGGCATATGTGATATCACAATTTTACATCAATGTCATCGGATTAGTTCATGTTAAATATTGACGTCAAACGGGGTATTTGGTTTCTCTCTTTAAAAAGCTTAGTGTGTATGTATATACGACAAATTTCCAAGGCCGGGGGGAGGAGAGACATCCCCCCCCTTAACTCCCCAAAGATACATTGTCTCCGGTACCGGGCAAACCCCTTCCTGCAAAAATTCCTGGATCTGCCCCTGGTAAATGTAATCATATGTAAAATATCATCATCATCGAACACAGTATTTGAGTTGAACTTGAATTTAAGATACCTGTATACAGCAACAATTCCTTAAAGGAGATGGCCCAACTATTTCTCTCCAATAAAAATAGATGAATAATGATGACAGGCTGCTAGGAGGCTTTCAAAATTTTCTAGATGACTCCGTTCAAATGCCATACTAAATTAAATATTGTGTTCACGACGATGGAACTATCGATTTGAAAGGGTTCAAACATGGCTATTTGGGACTAACATATGGTTCAATTTTATTTCAATAATTCGCTTGGGCGTAGGAGTCTTTAGCAGTGGGAGGAAACCGGAGGACCCGGAGAAAGTCCATGAGGTTGGACAGACGACCCTACTCCTGGTCACGTACAACCGGGGAATCGAAACCATGCCAGTTGACTCAATGACAGACCTTATGATACAGCATGCACACGCTATTCATTCAGCCATTCAACCCCCCACTTTAGATGGAACTATCAATACTAGAAAATATATATATCCACTGTTTATAACACATACCGTGTAGTTATTTATGCCAAATTTGTATAATAAATTTCTGTATAGTAAATAATTTATTTTACTCCTGGTCACGTACAACCGGGGAATCGAAACCATGCCAGTTGACTCAATGACAGACCTTATGATACAGCATGCACACGCTATTCATTCAGCCATTCAACCCCCCACTTTAGATGGAACTATCAATACTAGAAAATATATATATCCACTGTTTATAACACATACCGTGTAGTTATTTATGCCAAATTTGTATAATAAATTTCTGTATAGTAAATAATTTATTAAAATATTATTTTTGTGTATATAGAAAAATATTAAATTATAGTAATAAATTATTTTAATCTTGTTAGAATTGTTTATTGATTTTGTGGCAAGTATTAATTGGATTAAAATTATACTCCACTGGTAGGAAGGAATCAGTTACGAAGGGGTAGAAAAGAGTCAGTTACGAAGGGGTAGAAAGAAGTCAGTTTTCTGTCAATCAATGGATCAGACTTTTGTTTCCCTAAAACAACGCAAAACTGTTTGCGATAATTTCACTAAACTTGATTACTAATTTGTTGTTAAAGTAGGCTACTCAGTACGCACGCTCAGGTTTGACCCGTTTACACAACAAAAAAATTAACTATGCCGTGTCTGGCACGCCTAAAATTTATAATGTAAACGGGATTATAGTCACTTATTAAAGGGGCATTAAGGAAGATTAGATAAAGAGCTGGCAGTTCTCACTATAATAGTTAAAAACTAGATAATGTAAAGGGAATATGCTGAAAACTTGAGTCAAATTGCTGAATTTTAGGCCTAGCCTCAATCATCATAACTAAAGTCGGTATGATAAAAAAGCAAAGTCTCGTTCATCCAATTTTGCATTTATTCATCAATGATCTTGAAATGAAATGGGGTTTAACGCCCTACTGTTCTGCACCGAGCATACACCATACAATTTTGCCTGGGCAGCAGTACTACTCTTATATCGAATTCCAATTCTCAAGGGATCTTTTACATGCATGCCCATGTATACATGGGTCCTCAGTTTTTCATCCCATCCAAATGACTAGACAGCTGTCCTTGTCAGGCCCTCCTTCCTGCACCACGAACAAGGGGAAACCATGTCGGAAAATCCTGATGAACTGCTTGACCTGAGATGAAGATACAGATTATCATTATTAATCGAGTATTGTCCATGCCTTTCCCTCGATTAGAAGCAGAGTTATTGTGTTCCAAAGCATTGACAAATTGAATTGCTCATCACTTCTTAGCTTTAGCTTTTAGGGAAAATGCTCATCATCAAACTCAGACGAAACATTCACCTGAGGAACAACAACGCCAACATTCTAGCTGAACTAAAAGCCGAGTTGTTTCCTAAATAGTGTGACGGAGCCCATTTTCTTTGAAGATTTTCAAGTGGCGTTATAGGTGCCATATATAAGGTGTCAAATGGAAATAGAATTTAAACAATGTTTGGAGCAAAATGTGCAAATTAAACTTGAGGCAATCGGTTCCTAGACCCCAAAAGAATGCTTCTATTAAGGGCTTGGGATAGAATAGTAACAATTTTAAGAGCAAAACGTACTTGAATTTGAATACCGGTATTTTTTTATTCATCAAATACAATTAATTTGATTAATAAAATAGTTCTCCCTGAACATTATCACACCAACAAAAGCTTCAAAAATTGTGTTGAATAAGCAATGATAAATAAAGCTAATAATAACATCCTTCATCTAGTTGTATACCAACTCACATCTTAAAAAATCATATTCATCAGACTTAGAAATCTTAAATTCAATCAACAATACACTTTAAATAGTTGTTATTACATACATGTATTAGAACTTAAATAACCTGGTCACAATTCTATGGAATACAATTACTGCTTATTATTGAGCGACATCTCGACTAGGCTTCTCTAGGCTTGATACTGACTAGAGAAGCCTAGTGGAAACGTCGCTCAGTAATAAGCAGTTATTGTATTCCATAGAATTGTCACCTGTTTATTTAAGTTCATTTACTAAAAGCCATTGAAACGATGTATTAGAACTTGATTAATATTAAAAGTAGCTAAGATTCTAACTCAATATCATCCACAGTCTTCGACATTGAAAACATGAAAAATATTTGTTAATTTAAATCCACATTAATATTGTGATCTAACCGGGAAAAGATGAGCTTCTGATATCCAATATTTAAGACAAAATAAACATTTTACCATTGGTACACGAATCGTGTGCCATAATGCGTTTCAGTCCCATTTGTAACAAGGGCCTCGAAGAATGAGGCTTGACATATTCCACGAGTCATGTCAAAACGGTGACGTCATATTCTTATCTGGAGAGAATGCGCAATAAATACTATCGACATAGACTGGAATAACCAGATGCTAGGGGTTGCCATTCGATTGAGACTTCTGGCGTATTTCGCCGAACATAACTGAATTGAAATTAGAGTAAAAACGGAAACGATTGAATGTAAATTAGTTTATATACATTCATATTACATTATTATATGCATTGCGACCCGTTTGTGACGATTTCCAGGTCCCAAATATTAGCGACTTAGCTCCTTTAAACTACAGACTACGATATTATTTTAATCAGATATCCTCACTTCATCCGTTTATTCACATTAAATTAAGTTTAACTAATCAGAGCATTTATAACAAATTGTGATAAACCAATCAAAAACTATATTTGGGTTTGGTTTGATTTTCATCTGTTTGTCCATAACGAATGACCTAACTGGGACTGATGGTGTTTTGGGTCTACAAATGCGTTCAATATAAACAATCTCTGCAGACTGTTGAAAGGGTTTTTCCTTATACCCTAAACCTAAAGAAGAACCACAGCAAGTTTTAAACAATCTGGCCAAGAACACTGTTTTGTATTAATATTATGATCACAAGCTATCATAATTTTGAGACGGAGAGGCTGACAAGGAAAGCTGTCTAGTCGTTCGGAAGGGACGAAAAACCGAGGTCCCGTGTACACATTGGCGTGCACGTAAAAGATCCCTAGGCAGTTGGAATTTGATATAAGAGTAGGCCGTAGTGCCGCTGTCCGGGCAAAATTTCCCTCATAGCACACTGTATGGCGTATGCCCGTCTTCATTAGCCCAGGTTAGGAGCAGAACAGTAGGACGTTAAACTCCATTTCATTTCATTTCATTTCATCATAATTTTGAACATGAATTGAGAGAGAATTTGCGATCAAAAAAATCTGAATTTCGATAAAGTTGTAACCCCATGAACATTCCATGCAAATCTGAACAAAATATGTCCAAGATCCTGGACCTGTAGAATGTTTACAAGAAACAACAAGAAATGATATACGTTAAGGGCATATAGACCATCTTAATCTGATTAAAACACAGATACTATTTCGTTTCAATTTTAATAGTTCAAAATTTTGTTTTATTTGTCTGTACTACACTAGGATCTGGAAGAGTTGTTATATAACACACATTCTGGTTGATGTGAGGGATTAGTCAAAGAAATGGTCTGTAACGGCAAGTTTTTTGGCGTGAGATGCACGGAAATGTGGGTAACCCACTAGAAACGTAACGCTGATTGATTAAACAAATGTCTGATGTCATAGGGTCAAAAGCCACTCATATGACCTCTGACTAGACCTTCCACTACAACTTGTCAGATCTTCATGTAGTGAAGGCCATCGAAAGTATAAAGGAACGAAATATAGATCTGTATTTTAATCAGATTGTAGAAAAAGCAACAAAGATCTTGCCAAAGTATCCATTAGAAGATATGAGTAAGTTATATTTGAATAAAACAAAATATGATAAATGCGTCCCCTGTTAAAATCCACTGGTTTATATTGACTGGACAGTATGCCGGGATAATATTTATATATACAGGAAAGTTTTATACATAGAGCCAATCCATGTATGTTTAAAAAAGATAAGGCAATAAGTTAAAATTAAGTAGGTCTCCCATATACAGGTACATGTATTTTTTTTCCATCTCAATAGCCTACATATAGTTATACCGTACATACATCTACCAAAATATATAATATTTTTATGCAGCAGTTAAATACCTATACATACATGTATGTACTATTCTAAAGCAATATAATATAAGTAGATTTACATGTACATTGTGCAATAAGTTATATCTCATAATAGAGAATTCAAGCAAGCTGTTGCAAATTTTTTATATATATTATGTATTATTTCAACCATACATGAAGCAGTCCAAATAACTCATTGCATAATATTACGAAATGCTATTTTTAGAAAAGAATATTTATCAATTTCAGAAACCAGCATTTTAAGCAACAAAATTAATATTCATAATAAGACAACTTTATGGATTTACTAGTTCTTGGTTTATTGTAAACAACGTTTCAATACTCTTACAGGTATCTTTATCAAGCAGTAATCAATAATGAATAACAACCTTACATTTATAGAACATCAATGAGTAATCCATAAAGTTGTGTTATTATAATAGTATACCTTTAGTTGTAAATGTCATTTAAGGATAGTAACAAAATTATTAAATTAATGTTTTGTGTACCTTGAGAAAAATGTATAGAAATCTATGGAAGAAGTTATAACAATGCTTAATACTAACAGGCATGTTAAAAAAAGAAATAGAATTTAGAAAACAGAGATCATTGTTAGATTATGATTAGCAGATAAGACACATTTTATTAGGAAGTATTTGATTACCGGTATATATCACTTGACCTATATAAAGTCTTACAACATTTCAATACAGCAGTGCACATGGAAATCAGACTAAAGAAAATTCAGCTCTCCAAAGGATCATATTTATTGCAATGACAGGTACACCTCTATGGATGACCACCCTTCCACATTTACTGCAATAACAGGTACACCTCCATGGATGACCACCTTTCCACATACACAACTTATTGGGAAAATGGTCTCGCCTTTCATCAACAAATGAATATAATACGAGAGAAAGGGAGATAGGGTTTAACGTCAACTCGACACAAACTAGGTCATTTCGGGACTAACATATGGTTTAATCTTATTTCAATAATTTGTTTGCGCGTAGCGGTCTTTAGCAGTGGGAGGAAACTGGAGGACCCGTAGAAAACCCATGAGGTTGGACAGGCGACCCTAATCCTTGTCACGTGCAACTGGGGAATTGAAACCACGTCAGTTGACTCAATGACAGACCTTTTGATACAACAAGCAGGCGCTAACCATTCAGCCATCCACCCCCCGGGTACAATTTGGTGTTGATTAATGCATGATATCGTATGATACATGTACAAACGATAATCAGTTACTTAAAGAAAGAACTGATTCAACACTGTGACTCGGCATGGTACCAGGCCGCGATAAATTTCAAGAAATTAACCTGTTTACATTACCCTAAAATAACTAGTCTCGGAACTAAATGTGAAAAACTTCACTGAAAAGTTAATTTCAATCCCTATGCAAATTACCCGAATGAAATCGATTAGACGTTTGATTTAGTTTCAGCAGCCATTTTGACAGAACTGATGACATTAACCGTGCCGTGCCTGGCACCATGCCGGGACCACTTCACTTCAATGGGCCAAATTGCCACGGTACTCAGTACTGCACGCTTATGTTTGACCCGTTTACACAGGGTCTTACACAAAGGATATTAATATGATAAATAACTTTATATCACAAAAAAATCACATTTAACTATTTTAGATCAACACATATTGATTCCAATAGTTGAGACAGAAGTTCCTTCGTCTTTTTTAATTTTTTTTGCATCACTGTCAATAATCTATGAGAAAAGAAATATAGCACTTAATATACATCAGTCATTCTCAACCAGTGTGCCGTGACACAATGTAATGGCACAATAAGAAAAATCCGAAAAACCACGTGAACCCAATTGAATATTTACTATTGTCCACTGTATAAGTTCATAGCTGTGTCTTCTTTATTTAGTTGGAGTCATTCTATGTCTATGTCTAGTCTCTGTCTACCATGTTTTTATTTTGCAAAATTCAAATATTTTTCATATATATTTAGCCAAGTGTGCCGCTATTTTTTCATGTGTTCCAAGGTGTGCTGTAGTCAAGAAAAGGTTGAGAACCACTGTTATACATGTTGATCACGATGTAGTTATATCAATGAAGATTTAAATTGTAAGAAAATTAATAAATAAATAACATTATTACACTGGTTTACATACAATCTGATTAAAACACAGATCCTATTTCGTTTCATTTTTTATAGTTCAAAATTTTGTTTTACTTGTTTTCACAACACTAGGATCTGGAAGAGTTGTTATATAACAGGCGTTCTAGTTGATGTGAGGAATTGGCCAATGAAATGGTCTATTACAGCGAGTCTTGGCGTAAACTGTGGTAAACCCATAGAAACGTCAACGCTGATTGATAAATCAATGTCTGACGTCATAGGGTCAAAAGCCGCTCGTATAAACCCTGACGCTACCTTCCACTACAACTGGTCAGATCTTCATGTAGTAGAGGCTTTCAAAAGTATAAAAAACCGAAACGAAATATAGATCTGTATTTTAATCGGATTGGTTTACAGAATGAAAATGTAACCATTCACAGTGATTTCAGTTTAACATATTCCTTAACTCTAGCAGGTAATGGCAGCTCATCAATTTGATGAAGTTTTCGTACAGTGGCTAAATGTCCACGAATAACTTGCTTTGTCAGATGTAATAGTCGAGGAGGCTTTTCATGGGAAAATTTCCTCCAGAATTCAAATATTTCTCTAATGAGTGGCTCAACTGATGGGTAGGCTCTGCTGATATCTTCAGGTGTAAAGGTACTTAGATTCGTCCCTGACAACATCAATAATCTCACCATTCCTGCATAAGGTAAAGCAGAATCATCATCTTCATCCTCCTCCTCCGAAGGACTAGCTAATTTCTGACCAGAACTGGATTGACGAATGATTAAATTACTAGATTCATCCGATGTATTTGCATTTAAAAAATAAGTTAAGTCACTGAATATGTCATTATAAACTTGCAGTCGGTGTCGTGATAGAGAATAAAGTTTACTCAATGAAACAGGAGAAATCTTGGCATAAGCCAACTCACACATAGCTAGTTGCAAAGCTATAAAAAGCGGTATTCGGTAAATTTGGCGTGAGCCATAATCTGAACTCATTTGAACATGTTCGCTTGCAATATTTGGATCTGCACCAGCATTAAGAAGCGCTTCCAGAATTGCTATAGAATTGTACTTAAAAATCAACTGTTGTTCACTAGAAATAGCAGGGTTTGGTTCATTATTAGCCATGAGGTATTGAGCACAATGCAACATAGCCTGTAATGTCAGTATAAGTGCTGTGTTTCCATGGCTATCTTGCACGTTAATATGTTTCTTAGCATTATGTTGAAGAAGAATTTTCACAATTTCATAGTCTCCTCTCATTACAGACATGTGTAAAGGGGTGTATAAATTCCCACCACACTGAGTGCTTAATTGATTGGTAGCAGCATAATGTAATATCATTTCCATTGTATCAATATGTCCGAGCTCAGCACAATATAACAAAGTTGTATGACCCTGGTTGTCTTTAATATTTACATCACATCCAAGATTAAGCAACTTAGAAAGTAAACCATATCCTTCTGACCAACTAAAATGTTCGGATTTCATCGAGTCCAACACAGAATGAATTAAACGCCCAGTTTTTGTGGGTAAATTGGGGCTACATCCATTTTCAAGAAAAAGCTCAACAATTTCTGAATATCCCAGATTACATGCGAGTTCTACTGGACTTATCTTGGCATGTTTTTTATTTCTAACATCCAATGTTCCCCAACCTGTCTCTTCTTCATTATTAAACATCATTTTAATGATCAAAGCCTTGTCCCGCAACCGGATGGCATCTTCTAGTGTCAGTTCCGTAGTTTTGGTCTTCTTGTTGGATTTAGTGTTGCAGCCACAAGGAAGAAATTTAGCAGTCTTTGATTCCATTTTCTCAAACTTCACAGATGTTTTACGGAATCTTCCAAACTTGGAGCGTCGTTCTTTAACCTGGACTCTTTCCTGATCATCAGAGAGTAATGGTGTGAAGGATAAGACAGTTTGAGAGTATACACAGCCCATTTTACCTGTATATTTGCATATCCACCTGGTAATTGGATCTACATGTTATACATGTAAGTCCTATAGGCTTACCTGTAATAATAAAATAAGTACAAATTATAAAATAAATGAAATGAAATGGGGTTTAACGTCCTACTGTTCTGCTCCGACTGGGCTAATGAAGACGGGCATATGCTATACAGTGTACTATGAGGGAAATTTTGCCTGGGCAGTGGCACTATCTTATATCGAAATCTAACTACCAAGGGATCTTTTACATGCATGCCAATATATACATGGGCCGTTGGTTTTCCGTCCCATCCGAATGACTAGACAGCTGTCCCTGTCAGGTCCTCCGTCCTGCACAATTTCAGAAAACCCTGATGAACTTTCTCGACCTGCAGACTAGCGTGCCAGCGTCTTACCCACTTAGCCAATGTGGCTCCGTACAAATTATAAGTCAGTTACTAATTAATAATAACACTGTAGCCTAATATTCTTTAGCTTTGCATATTTTTCCAATGTAAATTTAAATGAATGATATTGATATATATAATATGTTATTAATCCCTGGCTGTATCATCTTGATTTTCCAGTCTGGATCCCCATTGACAATGGTGCAAGACAGAGGTCCATTTGGATTGTCAAATAGAACTGAGTTTTTGATATAGTCTACATTGCATTGGTGTGCAGTTAAAAGAACCCTTGACAGTTGAATTCGACGGTGGAAACTTTGTCTTAAAAAATAAAGAAATACCGGTACGTTAACTTCGCATGTAACACGACAAGGCCAAATGATAAACGTCATAAAATATAATCGCTTACTTGTTGGATGCCGAATAGTCGACACGTGAAGATTGACGCTAGCTCAATATCATGTGGAGTAAAATAATTATTCAGACGGTATTTTTATACCTGATTAATACAAGTTATATATATACATCTACTAACGACTCACTTTAATATTTTATTTTTCTAGCTGTCAGATTTCACTCTTCAGCACAGGAGTTGCAAATGGTTAAAAAAAAAAAGCCAAGTTCTTTATTTTCGAACTTAACTTTTAAAAAGAAATCACGAGACAGATACTCAAATGAATTTAACTTTGCATATCATTTAATATTAACAAATCATTTTCTTTATCATGAAAAACCCTAGCCTATTAGTTTAATAGCCCAAGAAATAAGTGTTGTTAATCTCAACAGCCTAAGGGAAATAACTCCAATTAATGAACCAAAACAAAGTTTTATTTCCCATTAAAAACTGGATTTTAGATTTTTTATTTATGAAATTCTTATGAATTGTCATTAAAATGACATTACAATTTTTATTATTCTTTGTTTTGTAATAGTTTTTTTTTTGTTTTTTTGCGGGGTGGAAGGGGGTCTCTATCTGAAATGTTGTAGTCGATATGTCATTTACAGAGAATTTCTAAAGTTTGCCTATTCTACTTTAAAACAATGCAAATTGACCATTTTAATAGTCTGTAACATCTGGGATGCACTAAATTCCATTGGCATTTCGATCATTGGTTGTTCAAGTTTTGGGTGGACCGTTGAATTACCACTACACCACGGGTTGTTCTGCATACATTTGTAGACCTGAAATCTATATTTGTAAGCCATGTGTTTCATCCCAACAAAGGGGGGTAGGATTGCCGAATGGTTAGCAATGGCCTGTCATTGAGTCAACTGGCATGGTTTCGAATCCCAAGTTGTAAGTGACAAGGAGTAGGGTCGCCTGTCTAACCTCGTGGGTTTTCTCCGGGTCCTCCAACTGCTAAAGACCCCTATGCGCCAGCGAATTATTGAAATAAAATTAAACCATATGTTAGTCCCGAAATGACCTGGTTTGTGTTGAGTGGACGTTAAACCCCATTTCTCTCTCTCTCTCTCTGGGTTTTTCAATGGCCTAGACAAAATAGAAGGTGATTATGACTGACACTATGACTGACCCTACTCCTCGTCACGTACAACTGGGAAATCAAAACCACGCCAGTTGACTAAATGACAGACCTAATGATAAAACGCGTACACCGCACATGCTAACCATTCGGCCATCCAACCCCCCTTGAGACCAGATAAGTTAAAGGGACAATAACACTCTTGCTGGCTTGAAAGCTCCAGAAAATAAATAATATCTCTATCTAAGTACTAGATGTGTAAGTGTCCTAACTGTTGTGTAAATTATCCATTACAGCCTGTTTTACTTGTCCAGAGGGTTCGAAAATATTTTTAAATCGAAGTTTCATTTGAAAAGGTTTACGTTAGACGTTTCAAACCATTATGTTGAATTTTTCAAAAATTTAAATAAGGTGTGTTAAGATGAAATTTGTATCATCAATTAATTGAAATATTGTAAAATAGTCGATTTGTTGACCAGAATAAAGATTGGGACATATTATTCTGTTACAACAAGAGTGGTATTGAGCCTTTAATGCTAGATACAGAATTTTAGATACAGATTATTAAAAGCAACTGATTCCTGGTAGATGACGTGGCATATTATACAATATAATTTAATTAAAATCCATGTTGATAATATTATAACTGATACCAAAAATAAAACATGAAAACTTTGGTTATTAATAAATTATTTATTCAATATACATTCATCATCAATGTATGATTGAAATTGGTTACACTTTTTACAATATTCACACCAATAATATCTTTTTCTTTTCACAGTAAATCAACATTTAAAATAACTATCAATCTGATTAAAACACAGATCTATATTTCATTTCGTTTTTTATACTTTTGATGGCCTGCATTACATGAAGATCTGACCAGTTGTAGTGGGAGGTCGTGTCAGGGGGCATACAAGTGACAGACTTTTGATTAACTAATCAGCATTGATGTTTCTACTGGAATACCCACAGTTCTGTGCAACGAATGCAAAGAACTCACCGTAACAGCCCGTTTCATTGGTTTATCCCTCACATCATCCAGAACACGGATTATAAAAAATGAAATGAAATAGGATCTTTGTTTTAATCAGATTGAACAATTATAATGTTATGTTAAAATTACTCATACCCGGTAGAAACATGAATTTTACCAACTCATAACGATGTCAACTGTATCTTTTATGTAAGATATTTGCTATGATTCCACACATCTGCAGATTACATGTACCTTTTTTAGTCTAGCATTCCATTCATTAAAAAATAATAAATGTTTTTAAAAATCGAAAATCTGAAAATTTCATTCTTAGACAATTTCATATTATAATATAAGTCTAACAATAACTACCAATAATATCAAAATTGGTGAGAGCTTTCTATGTTAAATATAATTACAGTAGAATCTGCATTAAACAGCCACCCAAGGGAATTTTCACAACTGACCGCTTAACGGGAGTGGCCTCTAATAAAATCTTGGTGCTTTTTGTGCTGACATAAATTAAATATTACGCTTGGATGCATTGGAAGCGAACATCAATACTTGCATCGGTAAATTTGACTGTCGATGAATCTTGCGCCGAACGAAAATTCTTTACTCAAATCTATCTTGGACATAACTTCTGTAAACTTGTCATTTTGTACCAACCTTCGATACTTCTGTCTACCATTGTGATGCATTCGATAATGAATTAATTTTATTTTATCAAAAAAGCACATGAACAAAAAACCATCGCTGATTTTATCACCTATTTACAGGGGGTGTAACTCTGTATGTAATATTATAGGAGGTGCTAAAACTTCTGTTTAACAACAAAGAGGCAATGGAAAAGAGATACTAGATGATTGTGACAAAACTCGGTACTTTTATTTTATTCAATCAGTATCAAATAATTTGTCGTTACGCATGAAAACAATGATCAGGCTAGTCGTTTAGTAAAACAAAAGATTAATTAACAGATAATCCCAGGTCGATTGTTTTTTATTTTTACATTTCTTTTTACCTGATCAGTTGGGGTCCAGTTAATTAACTACTACTCACGGGATTAGCGGGGGTGTTACAAAGAACGACAAGATGGTATCGTTCAACAATGGCCGTTGAATGGGCGATGTTTTGTTGAATTTATTAGTAAAATAGCGTCTGCTGGCAGAGGAGTGACAGTTGAATAAAGAGATGAAACAACAGATTTTTTATGGGGGGGGAATTTATTGTGACCGCTTACAAGGAGATGTCGCTGAATAGGAGTGGCTGCTCACACAGATTCTACTGTAATATGCCTTAAATACAAGTGATGGTGTCTTATATTAGGTTATATAATATGTTTAAATGGCAGGGCTCATTAATGAGAGTATTACAAATGCATAGATAATGGATGAATGAGTACAATTTAAAGATGGCTGTTCATATTATTCTAACCCTGAGATACAATATAGATAATATTACTCATATTTACCTTAAAATATAATAAACAGGTATTTAGGTTTTATATATTATATAATATACAGGTATTAGGTTTTATATATTATATAATATACAGGTATTTAGTTTTTATACATTATATAATATACAGGGCCCTGTTTCTCAAAATCTTAACTAAAGATAAAATCCAAATTTTAATAGATACTTCAATTTTGATTGGCCAAGCACTAAAAAATTACTAAAATTTGGATTTTATCTTAGTTAAAATTTCGTGAACCAGGCCACTGGTATTTAGGTTTTATACATTATGAGTTTTATATGTGTACATCATGTATTGCTCCACAAATGAAATATTTTGATGCTATTTTAGTTTCCATACCTATCTCAGTCTCAGTCAACTACTTCTAGTGATACATACAATCATTAAACTACATATACACAATCATTTATTAGAGATATGTAAACAGAATGATTAACTTGTATATACAAATCTTTTATTGTCGATCAGAAATATTTAAATACAACCTGCATAAAATATGCTAGCCATTACCAGAATTGTATTAAAGGAATTAGGTCAGTCTGATTAGGTGAAAAATAAAGCCTTGAACTGGGTCATCAAATGTGCTATTTTCGGTCTCTGAATAACATCGAAGCTTCTTAAAACCCATGCCTGGATTAGAACTTGTGCAATTTCTAATTGAAAGTCCAGTTCCTTACTAGTCCACTATGGCCCTAAGATGGCTATTATTTTTACCCAATAAAGTTAAATCATTTTAAATACATTTAGGCCTGTGTTTATCTGGGAGTTACCAGGGCCCAAGTTCACAAAGCTTTCTCAGTTATCACTGTTTATGAGAAATATCTTTGATCCAGAAACACAAAACTTTGCACATAGTTTCTTATTGATGTATTTGATACATTAAAACAACAAAAGTTTTATAAAGGGCTATATTTTAGTTAAAATAAAGCAAACAATTTTGAGTAAATTCTTAACTTAAGTCTGAGAATGCTTTGTGAACTCGGAGGCAGATTTAACATAACAAATACATGTAATCAACATGACAAACGAATATTTATTTCCATTAACTTGTGAAATTTTGTGACCATACTTTTTATCAGATGAAATATATAACTTTTTGACATGGTCTATTACATATAATCAATCGGATTAAAATACACATCTATATTCCGTTTCGTTTTTCTTATACTTTTGATGGCCGGTCGCGTCAGAGGTCATACAAGCGGCTTTTGACCCTATAACGTCAGACATTGATTAATCAACCAGCGTTGATGTTTCTAGTGGTTTACCCACAGTTCCGTCCATCGCACACCAAAAACTCGCTGTAATAGATCGTTTCATTGGCTAATCCCTCACATCATCCAGAATGCAGGTTATATAACAACTCTTCCAGATGTGTGTTGTAAAGACAAGTAAAATGAAATATTGAACTATAAAAACAAGATGAAATAGGATCTGTGTTTTAATCAGATTTGACATAAATGTATAATGGAATAGAATGGAGTACGTAGATTATGAGTAATTATCATCTTTCTGACTGTAGATCTTCTAAACCTAACTGACCAACATCCTTAGATACACCATTCACATGTCCATTACTTGACCGATGACTGGACACAAATTCTACTGAATTATTGAAAGATGCACCCCTGAAATAAACAAGCTGATTCCTCTTCCTAATATTTTATTATTAAATAAGGATTTCACAGGAAAGTTTAGTTTACAGTAAATGTAGTCTCTATCATCCAGAAAAATATTCTACGAAAGTTGGTCTTGATGCGTTGTCAACATTTGAGAATAATAATAGGCCATGAAATTGGCTAGATTATCCGGTCTTTTACTTTATCGTAAACAAAGTCCAAGGGAGGTAACTAGTCCTAAACTAAGATGTTGACGCCCATGAAATTAATTTAAGAAAGCCATTTCAGAAAATCCATTTGATTGCATTGTCAGTTCAATATCCAACACTTTTTTTTATTGTATAATTTCTTTCTTCATGGGCCATATCTTTTGGGTTTTTTTAATTAATCCTAATTCGTCGTCACGATTCATATCTGTTTATGTTAATGCAAGAATTATGGGATTTATTGCGGGAAGAGGCGCACTTCTTACTTGACTTGGCCAAAGATACTGGATAATCAACCATATAAAAAACCAAACTCCCGGTTACTCATGGGCAATGGACTTTTCGTCAAATATTGACAACGGTCCCAGTCCCTCTGTACATTGAAGACTAGGAGGTTCTGGGTGACCGAGACTACAGTAAATGCAACTCACAAACAAAGTTACCAATCAGACAATGAAATCTGATATTGAGATAATGACTCTGCCTCATTATAAGATATATATGTGAATCAATTACATTGTAGTAGGCTTATATTAATCTGCATAGAAGTTAAAAATTATAAGGTAGACTAACGTTATAATGTAGGTGTATTTCATTTTTTATCTGTCAACCAGTGCAGACTGAATAAAATGAAATGGGGTTTAACGTTCTCCTGTTCTGCTCTGACTGGGCTAATGAAGACGGGCATACGTCAAGCAGTGTGCTATGAGGGAAATTTTGCCCGGACAGCAGCACTTTGGCTTACTCTTATATTGAATTCCAACTGTCAAGGGACCTTGGTTTTTCGTCCCATCTGAACGACTAGTCAGCTGTCCTTGTCAGGCACTCCATCCTGCACCACTGACAAGGGGAAACCACGTCAGAAAATCGAACCAGTGCAGAAGCAGAGTATCAACCAATCAGTAAATTAATAAAATATGTAACCAGTTCTGACTCGAGGTGATACAGTTGAATTGGTTATGCTTATATACTATTCAAAAAAAGTAGGGGATATTTGATTTTGGGGGCATAATACTAAAATATGCAAATGACTACGAAAAAAGTCACTATAGAACCTAACAGAAGAAACATTTCCAGTTACATGTGACGCCCAAACGCACCAATAGCTACCGCATGGAATGCATGTGATGCTTGGGATCATCATGGGGGTCCAACCAAAGATTTGCACGACTCTGACTTTGAATGTTACAGTCATTGTGGCATTGAATTCCAGGGTGGAAACATCAGTTTAATTGTTTTAGTGACCAGAAAACAAATTTTGATATGCGTCGGCTTACACAAAATGAAAGGTTACGTGCCCTTGGCATGCTACAGATCGGCACAACACAGGCGGTTGTGGCGCGGACGATGAATGTTTCTCAGTCTGTCATAAGCAGGCTATGGTCCAGATACCGTGATACACAATCTGTACAGGACAGACCACGCTCAGGTCGACCAAGGGCGACAACTCAAGCCCAGGATCGATTTATCCGTACCTTGGCCTTGAGAAATCGTGTCATCACAGCAAATCAGATCAGCGCTCGTCTTCAAACAGACACTGGTGTGAGAGTGAGTGGCCAGACGATTCGGAATCGACTGCATAGGGGTCACCTTCGCGCCCGACGTCCTCGCGTGATCCTTTGTTTGAGAGATCATCACATTCAGGCAAGACGTCGTTGGTGTAGGGATCGTCAACACTGGGATAATCGACGCTGGAGCAATGTCATGTTTTCAGATGAGTCAAGGTTCACTGTTGATTTTTTGGACAGACGTAGGAGGGTGTGGCGTCGTCGAAACGAGCGCTTCCAAGACGTTAACGTCATCAGACATGATCGATTTGGGGGTGGTTCTGTTATGGTGTGGGGAGGCATCACTGTTGCTGGAAGAACGGCTTTACATGTTGTTGCAGGGCGTGTTACAGGCCAGTACTACCGGGACAACATCTTGGCAGATGTCACAGGGCCAGGATCGTTACAGGTTACCTCCAACAACAGAACATCACCACATTACCTTGGCCAGCACTGAGTCCCGACCTCTCCCCCATCGAGCATGTCTGTGACATGCTTGGACAGAGGTTACGTCAACGTCAACAACGTCCTGCCAATGTCCAAGAACTTGCTGCTGCGTTGCAACAGGAATGGGACAATCTGGACCAAAATGACCTTAGACGTCTCATTAGGAGTATGCCACGTCGGATCAATGCTTGTTTGGCAAACAGAGGAGGATTTACCCGTTACTGACTTGGTTGTGATGCTGTGGTAACTTTGCTGTTTGACCCCGGGTATCATTTTACCCTTATAATGGTCAGTCTGTGCCTTACTTAGTCTAACGATCATTTGGAATAAATCGATGAATGTGAACTTCATTTCATTTTGTCATTTGTTTCTTCGTCAGTTTCATTAGGTGACTTTAATAACACTTAAAAATCAAATAGTATAATATGGTTGTTGCTGTTTTTATTACTTACTTAGTAGAACGGGATAATTCTTTCTGACTCCGTGATAATTCTTGTAATAAACTTTGTCTTTCACTTTCCATTTGTCGAAATTTCACGGTCAACCGTGCCAGCTGAAATAAAAATTATAAAGGTAACCATTTGTTTTTATAGATAGTTCTTTTTACCACAGGAAAAATGAACATGTTGCAAATAATGAAAATAAAAACAGGTCATGTGGCCATTTTTTTAAGTGATGCTGTGCTGTAGGAGAAACAGAATATGGGCCCGAATATTGTTTACCTTTTTTGTTGCATCTGATGCTCTCATTTCACTTTCTCTAATTCTTTCTTCCATACGTCTAATATTTCTAGTAGCTTCAGCTAATGTTTTTCCTGCCTACAATATAGTTGTAACAATTGATCTGATTAAAACACAGATCCTATTTCGTTTTGTTTTACTTGTCTTTACTACACTAGGATGTGGAAGAGTTATTATATAACCCACATTCTGGATGATGCTAGGGATTAGCCAATGAAACGGTATCGAAAGTATAAAAAAACGAAATGAAATATAGATCTGTATTTTAATCCGATTGTTTCTATCTTAAATTAATAACAGTTATAAGTATTCTAAATTGTTGGTGTTGGATTCATTCAATTTTATCTAATGGCAAGAAAGTTTTTCTCTTGTCATTTAAAATGAATCCAGTATAAGCTTCATAATACATCAATTTTACATAGGCCTACATACATCTGTTGTTTTGTCTTGACTTTCTCTCAGTAATGCTGTAATTTCTTCATTTCTCTTCTGTTTATGATTCAAATCTTCACGTAAATCTTGTATTTTTGTTTCAAACTTTTTAGTAATAGTTTGACATTCTTCCTTCCATCTAAAATACAATTTGTATAAGATTTATACCGAAAGGTTGAGTTGATTTTATGATTAATTTTATGATACAATAATTTCTGTCATCTCAAAGCATGTTCTTTTCAAATACTATTGGGTTTTTTATTCTGTGACATGATAAACCAAATTAAATATATCTAGATGTAGTGGTAGGGGCAATAACTCAATTACAGCGCCTAAATCAGCAGACCTGGCAATGACAGAGAGAGAGAGAGAGAGAGAGAGAGATAGAGAGAGAGAGAGAGAGAGAGAGAGAGAGAGAGAGTATAACGTCCACTTGACACAAACTTGGTCATTTCAGGACCAACATATGGTTCTATTTCATATCAATAATTTGTTTGCGTGTAGGGGTCTTTGGCTGTCGGAAACCGGAGAAAACACAGGTTGGACAGGCAACCTTACTCCTTGTCACGTACAACTGGGGAATCGAAACCCAGCCATTCGGCCATTACTCCATCCCCCCCACACCGACTTAATGACAGACCTTATGATACAATACGCAGGTGCTAACCATTCGGTCATCCACCCCAGTACCCCCCGGTCAGACATAGCAATTTTATAAGTAGATTTCAATCCTATTTTTACAGATTAAGTTCACATTTTTTAATCATGATTTTCCCTGCTGAACGTAAGAACTATATTATTTAGATTACCAAGAATCAAAACTGTCAACATTTCTTTTAAATGTAAAATTCTATCAAAATAACTTTCCATTTTTATTTGAGAATGGAAAATATTATGAAATGTTTGAGATATATTAAAACTGTACCTAGCTGCCATTCTTTGCTGTGCTGTCAAAATTTTGCGTAGTTCTGACATGGCATGCCGATTTGTGTCCTCTGTGGATTGAACTTTGACCTCATAATCTCTTATTTTCATCTGCTTTTCTTGGTCAATAATTGCTAACTAGAAATTACAATAAATACTTAATTAAAGATTTTAACTATCATCTTTTTTTGGAAATTGTAAAAGTATAAATAAGGCTTCCTAAATCCTATTAATGCCAAAACTTATATTAATGACATTATTTCATTCATTTAAAAGTACTTGATAAATATTGGACTGACATTTTACCCTAATAGTAAGTGCGAGGGACTGCACCACACACAATTACACAAAACAAATCTATGGACAACACAATTCGCAGAAATTACAAACAAGCGTATATATCAGATTAAGGGAGAGAGAGAGAGAGACAGAGAAATGGGAGAGAAATGGGGTTGAATGTCCACTCGACAAAAACTAGGTCATTTCGGGACTAACACATGCTTCAATTCTATTTCAATAATTCGCTTGCACTTAGAGGTCTTTAGCCCTGGGAGGAAACTGGAGGACCCGGAGAAAACCGACGAGGTTGGACAGACGACCCTACTCCTTGTCATGTACAAGCGGGGATTCGAAATGTTTTTATGGTTTTAAAATAACTATGTGGCTCTATGGCGGTGTCTGGGAATATAACCAATCTGATTTCTGTTTATTTTAAAATATTACCAACCTCTTTATAATATTTTCTTTGAGCACTCTCTTTCTCTTGAATGGCTGACTGGACTTTCTTCTTTAAATCATCTATTTCATCTTGATATTTTAAACACTCTTCATTACTAGTTTGTAGATCCATTTCCATGGCAACCATTCTGTCTTTTAATTGAGTGAATTGGACTTCCATTTGTGATTTCAACTGTTCAGAACTATATACAGAAATAAAATGAATAGTGGAAAATTAAACATATATTATGTAAAAGCTAAATCTGCCTATTGCAGGTCTTTCTTCAGGCCTGAAATGTTATCTAAATTATTAATTAGACATTAATTAACTTATCCAGACCATATTCAACTCTCGATGCCATCGCTAGCCTGCAATATTTAGCGGATTGGAAAACATTTTTTTTAAATGGATAATAGAGACTTTCTTTTTTATCGTACCGATTTTAGTAATGATGATTAAGGCTAGCCTAAAATTCAAAAACTAAAATCTTGGTTCGGAGTGAACCAATTTGACTGAAATTTTCGGCATATTCCCTTTACGTTATCTAGTTTTTAACTATTATAGCAAGAACAGTCAACTCTTTATCTAACCTCTCATAATGCCTCTTTCAAGTTTGAAACTCCTTGTAAATTGTATACATGTTTTTCATTGCAATTTGGAAAGTCTTTCAATCTTTCTATCTATTTCATTTTCAATCTGTTTTACAGAGGTATTGTGAAGACTAATAGCTCTGTAAAAGATGACTGCCTTATCATGTGACGTCACATCACACGGCGTCAATCATTGGCTTAATGGCACGTGCATTGTTTACATAAGATGCTATTAGTCCAGGCAGAATGGTACCTTTTACTTATTTTACATACCCATTTACACTAAAATAGGAAATATTGTTTACCTACATATAATTGAAACACCTTTATTTATTTTCCTAATGCTTAAAAAAGAAATGTTCTAGAATTTGCAGAAGGAAAAAAGTTAATATTTGGGGCTTATTAAGTCGCATCGATGTCATCCCTATCAGTGATTGTAGCGGCCTAGCGAATATTCACTGCTGATCAGTATGTTTCATTTGATGCTGTGGATTCAAGCGTGATACAGTAAGACAAACAGTGCAACATTGATCCAGGAAAGACAAAATCATTTTTAGTCTCTCAGTATAAAAATTGGAGATTCCAAAAATATTTCAGTCAAAAGTCACAAGCTCAACAGCAAAGTTCTTACTTTAATTTTTCCCGTTTTAAAGTAGTCTGTAATGAATCTAGTTTTAACTCGGCATCATGTTTAGCTCTCTCAGCGGTAATAGCTCTCTGATTTAAATCTTGATATGACATATTTTCTTTAGAACCCTGGACCACACCTTCTTTATAGATCTAAAAATAAAAAAACATAAATACAATCGGCACCAAAAGAGAGAGGGAGAGAGAGAAAGAGAGAGAGAGAGATGGGCTTTAATGTCCACCAACACTTGCGTGTAGGGGTGTTAAGCAGTGGGAGGAAACCAGAGGACCCAGAGAAAACCCACGAGGTTGGACAGGGTACTCTACTCCTTGTCACTTACAAACAGGGAATCAAAAACACGCCAGTTGACTCAATGACAGACCTAATGATACAACGTGCTAACCATTTGGCCATCCAACCCCCTCCCTCACAGATATGATCTAGTTATTTAGTAAGCGAGCTATAAGACTGAAGGATGAATATCGAGGGTATAGAACATAATTGTGATAAGTCAATATATCAGGCATTGTGACTTATCACAATTATGTTCTAAACCCTCGATATGATGTAATATAATATATCAATAAATTATATCTAACCTTTTCTAACTCGGATTCTACTGTACTATATCAATAAATTATAATATCTAACCTTTTCTAACTCGGATTCTACTGTACTATATCAATAAATTATAATATCTAACTTTTTCTAACTCGGATTCTACTGTACTATATCAATAAATTATATCTAACCTTTTCTAACTCAGATTCTACTGATCTCTTTTCTCGTATTAATCTATCTAGTTGAGATTGTTTTTCAGCATTATCCTGTTAAAAAAACAAATTAGTTTTTAAGTTGAAATAATCGATACAATTGTAGCAGTTTAAATGGAATGGGATAAAGCAGCTTGTCATTCGAGACTAACATGTGGTTATTTTCATTTCTATGGTTACGTGAACAACTTGAGGAGACAAACTCCTATTCTTTCAATTCCGAATATCAACAGTTTTTGCACGCACACATGTACTAATGTGAACCTTGATTTTTTGTCTCATCTGAACAACTAGACACACTTTACTTGTCAGCCTCAAAAGTTCTTCTCAGTCGATGTTGGGAATCTAGATGAGAGAGAGAGAGAGAGATTAGGGGTTTAACGTCCACTTGACACAAAATAGATCATTTCGCAACTCACATCTGGTTAAATTTTTTTTTCAATAATTCGCTTGCACATAGGGGTCTTTAGCAGTGGGAGGAAACCAGAGGACCTGGAGAAAACCAACGAGGTTGGACAGGCGACCATATTCCTAGTCACGTACAACTGGGGACTCAAAACCACGCCAGTTGACTCAATGACAGACCGCGTGATACAAAGCACCCTTGCTAACGATTCGGCCATCCAACCCCTCACATTCTGGATGAGAGACCAGTGCTCTACCCCATGATAACCACGGCCCCAGTCGTATAAAAACAAAGAATACAGAATTAACTTTTGTTTCAATCAAATAACAAGCACAAATTTAACCCAAAATATAAATATACTTACCATTTCCATTGTGTGTAGTTCTTCTGTTAATTTACTAATTCTATCGTTACTTTGTTTACGTACCAGATCGACCTAAAATAAATTTAAAACTTCATTAGTGAGAAATCTGAGGTTCTAATAAAACATTGTATTACCTATATTGGTAACCAATGGGAAAACATTGTTACTTTGGATTTCAAAGAAAAAGAGTAACAGTGTCCGATAAGTGGTATCATAATTTTACTTCTAATCTTAAACTACAAAGAGATTATTTTTCTTTATAAAAAATTGTATGTATTCACTTTCCATCCAATATAATATACCTCACAATTCTTTTTAAGAATTTCTATGGATACACAGAGAAAGAGAGAGAGGGAGAGAGAGAGAGAGAGAGAGAGAGAGAGAGGGAGGGTTTAATGTCCACTAGGTCATTTCGGAACTATCATATTTTTTGGTTAAATTTCATTTTAACAATTCGCTTGCCCGTAGGGGTCTTTAGCAGTGGGAGGAAACCAGACGACCCAGAGAAAACCCATAAGGTTGGGCAGGCGACCCTACTCCTTGTCATGTACAACCGGGAAATCGAAACTACGCCAGTTGACTCAATGACAGATCTTGTGTCTATGGATGCAATGTATGAACCAACTTTTATATACATGTAAAACAATCGTATCTGTAAACTGCTGGAAGACAGAAGATAACAACTTAACAATATTAATATACGAAACAATGAAAATATAAAACCTACTTCTTGTCTAGTTCTAACCCCAGCTTCATTAATTAATTTATTAACGACTTCTTGTAACTGTTCTAATTCTTCATCTTTCTGACCACACAATATCTCAGCCTACAAAAACATCAAAATAAATCATTTAACTGGTTCAGTTATTATTCCTGATTTACGGGGCCCTTAAGTTATTGAAGTGGTATTCTGTTCCTCAAATAATATTTAATAAATGCAACATATCTGTCACAAAATTGATGCTTTTATTAGAATTCGGATGGGTCAGATATTAGTGCTCCTACAGTTAGTCAGGTAACCTGTAAACGGTTCGAATTGGACGGACAGATCAAATTGGACGGACGGTTCGAATTGAACGAATGAATGTGAAAGAAATCAGTCCTAGATACACAAGATTAAATAATACCCGGGTTACAGTGTGTAGTGTTTCCTTTTTTTTCGAATCGCAATTGTCACAGGTTATTTTCAAGGGGCAAATGAAATGAAATGGGGTTTAACGTCCTACTGGCTAATGAAGACAAGTTTCAAGGAGCAAGAAAATAAAAATATCAATAAAACCTGGTCTTTTTCTAGTATAGCATTTTCAGCCATTTGTATAGCATCTCTAACTTTCATAACAGCATCATGTTCTTTATCATCTGTACATAGTCTATCAAATAAAAATATTAAACATACATTTAGCAAGAGCTGAATCTACCTATTCCAGGTCTTTCTTTAGGCCTGAAATGTTATATATATTATTAATTAGACATTAATTAACTTATCTAGACCATATTGAACTCTCGATGCCATCGCTAGCCAGCGATATTTAGCAGATTGGAATACATATTTTGAAAAATAATTAAACTTAAAAATGGGTAACCGAGACTTTGTTTTTTATCATACCGACTTTACTAATGATGATGAAGGCTAGTCTAAAATTCAATAGCTAATATCTTGGTTTTAACGAGACCCAAACCAGGTCATTTTGGGACTAACATATAGTTCAATTTTATATCTATAATTGGCTTGGGTGTAGGGGTCTTTAGCAGTAGGGAGAACCCGGAGACAAAAACACGAGGTTGGACAGAGACCCTACTCCTTAACACGTAAAACCGGGGAATCGAAATAAGACCTTATGATACAATGCACACATGATAACCATTCGGCCATCGAACCCTGCCTATCTTGCTTGTACTTATTCAACTGTTTACAAAGTGACATAGAACAACATACATTGTATTTGTACTTACAATCGGTTTTGTAATTCACCAGCTCTATTTTCTAATATTTCTTTATCTTGTTGTAATTGTTCACATTTTTTAGTTGCTACTGATAGTCTGAAATAACCATTATAATCTTTATACAACAAATATTTACATTTAACTTTAATACTGTAAGTTGTTATTGGTTTTAACAGCTCAGTTGTAAATCGGTAAGGACAAGTCAAGGGGTTGGAGTCACAGAAATGAAAATATTTACTTCCCTTTATCATTGAATTTATGATGGTCTGGGGGAATAGTCAAAAACTTCACTTGGCACAAACACTATGCTGGTTTCCGCCTCTCCCTCCCACCACATACAAAAATTCCTGAATGCATGCTAGCAAAGGACAATTCTAATAATTTTATAGTGGTATGAAATGTAACAATCTATAATTTGATTTGTTTTTTTTATACTTTCAATGGCCTCTACAACATAAAGATCTGACCGGTTGTAGTGGAAGGTCACGTCAGAGGTCATACAAGTGGCTTTTGACCTTATGGCGTCAGACATTTAATTAACCAATCAGCGTCAATGTTTCTAGTGGGCTACCAACAGTCCATGCACCTCAAGCCAAAAACTCGGCATAACACATAATTTCATTAACTAATCCCTCACATCATCCACAACACGTCAATGATAACAACTCTTCCAGATCCTAGTGTAGTACCAGGGAGTACAGACAAATAAAACGAAATTTTGAACTATAAAAAACAAAATAGGATCTGTGTTTTAATAAGTTTGATGATAAACTGGGTTAGATCTTTTTTCGCCGACTGTCTTTGTACATTGTAGGAAAAATTACCCCAAAAGGACATATTGAAGCAATAAATTAGCCTTTCTATATACTGTCCATCTTTCTTATTCAAGGAACAACAAAGATTAGAAATGTAAGAGAAAAGTCATATTACAGTTTTTATGTTGTATTTATTTACTTAGCAAAATCATTGCAACGTGTAAAATACAGACATAAAATAATGTATTAACTTACTTTTGTCTCAAATCATCAATGGCTATTTTAAGTTTACTAGTTTGACCATCTGAAACACCTTCTTTAAATATGGCATCAGCTGTTTCTTGATCCTAAAATAGCAGAATAATTTGAATCGTAAAAATACTTTACATACAGAGTTATAGCCCATGAAAATCGGTTTCAGCAATGTGATCTATTACAATCGTTGTGACTTTAGTAGAAGCATTCAGATGCTATTTCCATGCAGCTCATTGCTGACATTAAAACCACAGAGATTACTGACCTTCCATGTTAATTGTTGTTGTAATTCTGCTACCGTTCGTCTTAGTTCTGTAACTTGTAGACTAGATGATGTTAATTCAGCCCGAGTTTGTCTGTAGATTACAACAAATAATATTATTGAGATTTACATCAAATCATTTATCAATCACTATTTCTCCTGAAATTATCTCAAGCATATTTCCGAATCTTGATTGGACTGCATTTTTATTTTTTTTAAAAAAGAAACAATAAGCAGTAGAAGATGACAACAACTCTCGTAAAGTAAGTCTAAAGTAGCTGGAGGCTAGTAATCGGAGGACATCTAAACTGGGATCTCAGCGATACACAAGGGGTTCAGGAAGAAGATAAAATTTGGAGAAAGGCAACCCCTTTAAACCAGAGAAGATAGACGAACTCCTGGGTGGTGATAAAACAAATTTATTGGTAGACCTTTCAGACTCAAGGTGTGCTTCTTGTCTCTCTACTCAGAAAAGAAAAAAAAAGAGACCTGAAGGTTATCGAACAATATCCACGTTACTATATATAGATGTATAATATTCTTCTCTTACCGTAATTCTGCTTGTAAAGTTTCTACTTCTGTATTAAAGTCAGATGCCGTCTGATGATACTGATGTTTAACCTATTCAAAATAAAACTACCTTCATTAAATTCAACAGATTAGAATAATTGTGCGGCTAAAATTGAAGGGATATTACTCTCAGCCAAATTATTCATACTCTTCTCCAACACATACATTTTTCTTGCATATTACAGTTTTTGCCAAAAATTACAGTTTTCCAAAGAAATTACATCACTTGCATTTGTAGAGACAGTTGTTGACAATAATAATGAACAGTATTAATTTACAGTGTGCTAAAATGGCTTGGGGCTCTGAAAGAATTTACTTTACTCAAATCTCCACACAAAATAGTTTTATCTTATTGTATGCTATTGTTGTGCATGTGATGACTTTTATTTCATGGTCCTGGGTAATATTTGATACATGTTACGGTCACATATTAATCTCTTATATCTGAGTGACTGAGAGAGTTTAATGTCAGTTCATTTCGGAACTAACACATGGTTCAATTATATTTCAATAATTCACTTGCACGTAGGGGTCTTTAGCAGAGGGAGGAAACAGGAGGACCCGGAGAAAATCCACGAGGTTGGACAGGCGACCCTACTCATTGTCATGTACAACCAGGGAATCAAAAGCACACCAAATGACTGAATGAAACACCTATGAAACAGCATGCAAGCACTAACCATTCTGCCATCCAACCCTGCCTGAGTGACATACAGTAAGATTATAAAACTACCTGATTAGCTTGTTGTTCTACCACTCTCCATTGATGACTTTCTTTTTCTAACTGTAACAACAACAAAAAATACATTTCACTGGTATAACTGTAACAAAACAAACACATTTCACTGGTATCAACTAGTTACAAGGCAATGAATATCTATAACCACTAGCAGAGGTCAGCTTAACTAAAAAAAACCCCAACATATTCCTAGTTACAAGGCAATCAAGTATCAGATTAACTAAAAAAAAAAAGGCAACGTATTCCTCAAATGGATGAAAAGTTTTACAAATTTTACTCTTAAAAAATTAGTATTCTATATTACACAGAATATAGAAACAGATTCTACCTCTAAAGATCTTTCTAATCTGTCTATTTCCCGACTCGCTCCTCTCCATCTTTCTTCTGCTAAATCTTTTTCCTACAAAATGTAAGGTAAGAAGACACGATCGTATTTGTACACTATTTGAAAATATTATCTGATTGTTTCATTGGGGAGTTGTTGTACTGGGGACATTGATTTTAAATCCCATTGGTCGAAAAAGTTCACCAAGATTTCCGATGTGGTTTCCCCATGTCAGTGGTGCAGAAGGAACAGCTGTCTAGTCATTAGGATGGGACAAAAACAAAACGAGGTTCCGAGTATACATTGGCATGCACGTAAAAGATCCCTTGACAGTTGGAATTAGATATAAGAGTAGGCCATAGTGCTGCTGCTCGGGTAAAATTTCCCTTATAGCGCACTGTATGGTGTATGCCCGTCTTCATTAGCCAAGTCGGAGCAGAACAGTAGGACGTTAAACCCCATCTCATTTCGATTTGAAATCCCAATAATGAAAATCTGATTAATTATATAATATTTTACCTGTATTGCTAATTGTAATTGTTGTTGTAGATTAATTAATAATTGATCACTGTCTGGTTGTCCATCAACTGTTACATGATTTAATTCATTACTGGATAATTGATTCTGTAATGTCTCTTTTAATTCTCTTACAAGTCTGTCAAACAGATAATAATTCAAAGACAATAATGATAAAATTATTGACACAATCATATTAGGTACCAGTGAAGGATAGATACACATAAAAGTACAATTATTCTAATCTAATTTGAGTATGCTTGGCAAAGAGGACTTCTTTTGTTTCTTTTGTCTGTCATTGAGTCAACTCGCATGGTTTCGATTTCCCGGTTGTACTTGACAAGGAGTAGGGTCGCCTGTCCATCCTCGTGGGTTTTCTCTGGTTTCCCCCCACTGATAAAGACCCCTACGCACAAGCGAATTATAGAAATAAAATTGAACCATATTCTAATCCCGAAATAACCTAGTTTGTGTCGAGTGGACGTTAACCTCATATTTCTCTCTGTCTGTTGTTTCCAGGGTGATATACTTGCATGGGACTAGCAGTAAGTGAGGTATGGGGATCTCACGATAATTTACTGACATTAATGGATCTTATTGCTACTGTCTATATAAGATATCTAGTCATCTGCCAAGATAGTAGGAAAAAAAACATCCTCTTACCTATCATTTTCTTCAACTAAATCCTCTGCTTTTCCTTTTAATTCTCTAAGTTCATTCTGAAAATATTAAAAATTTAAATTAATAACAATAGTTAAAATTAACATAATCTTAATTTAAACATACATTATGCAAGAGCTAAATAAATCTGCCTATTGCAGGTCTTTCTTTAGGCCTGAAATGTTATCTAAATAATTAGAGATTAATTAACTTAACCAGATCATAATCAACTCTCGATGCCATCGCTAGCCTGAGATATTTACCGGATTTGAATACATTTTGTGATGGATGATTTAATGTCAAAATGGATAATCGAGACTTTGTTTTTTATCGTACCGATTCTAGTAATGATGATCGAGGCTAGCTTTAAATTCAGAAGCTAATATCTCGGTTCAGAGTGGAGCAATTTGACTGAAATTTTCAGTATATTCTCTTTACGTTATCTATTTTTTAACTTTTATAGCGATAACCGTCAGCTCTTTATCTAATCTCTCATAATTCCCCTTTCATCACTAAACCTGAATACAGAAATGACTATTTTACGTTAATAGACTGTAATCGTATAATTAATCATATTTATGAAAATATACTCTTTTACTTCACCTTAAATAATGTATTTTCATCTTGAAGTTCTTTTATAATTTGGTCATATTCCTCAAGTAAAGGAGATAAGATACTGAAAGAAAAATCATCTGCATTATATTTTACATAAGTAATTGTGATTGTTGTCCTATGCTATTGTATCTGGTGAAAACTATCTAATAATAAGTTGTTCAAGTAGCTGTAATGTCTTTTACCCACACTTGTAAATCAGGATGATAGTGTTACTCGTAAAGGGGGTGGGATAGCTGAATGTTTAGTGTGTGCACGTTTTATCATAAGGTCTGTGATTGAGTCAACTGGTGTGGTTTCAATTCCCCAGTTGTACGTGACAAGGAGTAGGGTCGCCTGTCCAACCTCGTAGGTTTTCTTCGGGTCCTCCGGTTTCCTCTCACTGCCACGCGCAAGCGAATTATTGAAACAAAATTGAACCATATGTTACTCCTGAAATGACCTAGTTTGTGTCGAGTGGACGTTAAACCCTCTCTCTCTTTCTTACTCGTAAAACTGTTAGTTGTATTGATCATTATATTACCTTTGGTCTGCCAGCCATGGTGTCGAAGTTGACTTTTCAGTGAAAGACTGCAAAAATAATTAAAGGAAAAATCCTGTCATTGGAGATTATTTAGATTTTATTCCTTATCAGTGCAGAACCTGAACAACAAATCATTTCCCCTTTAATATACTGGGCTGATGTTGAAGAAGGGAGGTCGGATTCATTGACGACAATGTCATCATCACACTTTCTTTTGTTATTTTGAGATGTTTTGAATTTCAACATTTTGAAATGATACGAAGAATGCTAACATTTCTGATATATATATCATTTGTAGTGTTAACATGATTAACTCCAGTAATCAAGTGAAGACATCAAAGTAAAGTATTTAATTTGTTTGATTTTATGATTTAATTAAAATAAAAAATACTCTAAATTCACTCAAATGATATCAGATACCGATACTTGTAATATTAGTAATATATTGCGCTAACCATAAAAGTTTACAAGTTTAATAAAAAAAAATACTTTGAATCTATCACACCTGGTCTAATGATGTTTTATATTTTCTCTGGTATTTTGCTAATTCTGCATTGAGTCTTTGAACTGGAAAATACAAATATTTAATATTATTTAATTAACAAAAGTACAGTAATATAAAATCTAAAATCCTTTAATTCGGTTGCAATGCACGATACCACATCATGATGATCGATTCGGCTGAAATTTGGTGGTGTGAGACCATCGCTAGTCTCCTTTACCACCCCCAGAAAATTTTAATTCTGTATGACCACAGGAGGTATTAAGTGTACAAAAGTGCATTAGCACCAGATTGTGGACGGCGCCCTACATTTAGCATATTAATTAATATTATTACTATTTACTAAGTAGAGTTGTACATGATAGTACTACTAGTACTAGTAGGTTTAAATGTTTAATTTTGACTTGTAGTGTAGCACTACGGTACTTCTTTTAAAAGGTGTGGCCTAAACATTAAAAACCACTAAAATATAAAATATTTATTCATTTAGTTCTTCAGGCCCAGGCCAATAATTACAAGTCAATAATTTGTATTATCTTATCAATTTTATCACCCGTTTCCGTTAATTTATCCGCCTGAACACGCTTACTAAACTGGCGCTGAAAGAATGAAGTTGCTTTTAAATATTCACCTTGATCCCGTAAAAATGATATTTCGTGAGATCCCATTTCCTAATTGAAAGGAATACCTAATCAATGAAAGTTACTTTCAAGAAAACCAGAGATTATCGGGCATTTTTTTAAAGATTGTTGATAAAAATTGTTAACTGTCAAAAATTTTCGGCCATATTGTTTATAATGGCAATCCCGCAGATTGCGAACGGGATTTTAGTCCCGTTAAACCAGTCATAGTAGACTGAAGAAACAAAGAACGTTGCACAGTAGACTTGGTCATCAGCCGGAATTTTAAATAGAAAATGTGACAATAAAAATTATAACCATATTATATATAGGTTTATAAGCTTCACAGATAATGGTAATAATTCAGATTTGAAATTTGTGATAACATATTTATTTTCTCTTTTTTTCTTGGAGGAAGATAAAAGATGCCCGTATTAATAAAAGTCACATGACTGGACAAGATGGAGGAGGTGGATAATATTATTATTCACTCTTTACGATCAATTGGCTGGTAACATTTAATTCTTGTTCATTTATCAGCCTGATCATTTAATACGTCAGTTGTTAGGCCATCTGTATGTTTTTCTTATGATTCAATATTTCGTTTGAAAAACTGTGTAATTCAACCGTTCTTCAGTAGGCATATGTCTCTCCTCCTCACCAGCAGACTTGTCAGTTGTTTGCTATTTTCATTTCTATCCATCCTCTTTATTCGAAACTCGCCTTAACATCATTGTCATCTGATTTTTTTTATTTATTTGATATCCCTAAAGATCTGAACAATAAAAGATTTTATTATACTGGTTACCAAGCCGGTTAATAAACTCAATTAACTACCTGTTAAGACTGTCCTTGTGTCCAACAACATGATTCATTCGATTAAGATTTTGATATGAAATGGCCAGGTTTAATGTTCTTTTATTCTGCACCAGCAAGGCTTATGAAGACAGGAAGCCTATATACCATCATCTTCAACAGAAGGCTTGATCTCGCTTAAACTACATACATCTCATCAAGGCCTTCACGTAATACCCTGCATATTTCGGCACTAATTTCGATTGGGTATTCACCCAGCTTGTGAGCCTTTCAGATTCCTCGATGATCTCGAATACCAGGTGTCACGCTTTCCCACTAAAATGTCTACCTGTGATAATCAAGTTGCAAAGTTCAAAGTTCATTCAATGTCAAGGTTTTGGTGGAGGTCGCTATATATAGTTGATTCGTCTGTCTTAGAGAGAAAACATACCTATAAGTTCGGGAATTGCAAAGTAATCTAGCAACGTCCAGATGTTCTAAAACTCGCAGTAGTTACTTCAAGGAACATGATAAACCATGTAGTATGGAATGAGTGAAATTTGTCTGGAAAGCAGCGTTTCTTTGAATTGTATTCCAACTGTCAAGGGTTCTTTAATGTGCACGCCTAGTCACCCACGTGTACAATAGACCTAATCTCGAATTACTAGACACTGTTTCTTGCTAGGCCCTTCTTCCTGTCAAACCTTTCTTCCTGGAAAACCAGAAAATCCTGAGGAACTTTCTTGATCTAACACGGGACCTCTCGATCGGTTAGTCAGTCTGCCCCTTACTCACTCAGCCACAGTTACTCTCTCTAAGGTTTTGAATTTATTCAGTGAATTTGGCAGTTGAGAGATCCATCAAAGGACTAGACAGCTGTCCATGTCAGGCCCTCCGTCCTGCACCACTGACAAGGGGAAACCACGTTGGAATATCCTGATGAACATTCTTGGCCAATGCAGGGATCAAACACGCGACCTCCAGGCTAGCAAGCCAGCATCTTACCTGACATTTTGATTCTGATATGAGGAAAGCTAATTTAAGTCCAAGGATTGAAACTAAAAGTGATTTTTTTTTTTAAATTTCAGTACCTTGTATGTAGATGTCATCAGTAAATTTTACGATGCTAAATAAATTTATTTTCTTTTTAACAGTGAATTAGATGATGATTTGTCAAATTTAAAACAGTTTTCAACAGAAGTTATTGTTGCCACAATAGTCAAGTGTATTAAATTTATTAAAAATGACGTGGAACTACCCAGCACTCTTCCACCTGGCATGTCTGCAAGATTTAGAATTGGTGCAAGTCTGGCCAATCATATACAGGTACAGAATAATATATTAATGATGTGCTGATTCTGGATTATAATGACTTATGATAATTATTTATGTCACTGACTGAGTTATAATTATAAACCTATAACGGTAAATCTCTTTCATTTTTGTGGTATATTATTCTATGCCCGGAATAACTTGCGGTCTGGAAGTCGGGGGTGGCTTTGAATATATACAGGAAAAATTGGGGTTATTCTTCTGAAAGTTTTTCTTTAAACCTGTAACATGTTATTCTTCCAGGGTAGGGTTTTTTTTCATAAGAAAACATGACATAAGGTTTTTCTTACGGGAATTCTGGGATATTCTCATTTTACTTACATGTACACATAGACAGTTTATAAGCAAGATAAAGTCCTTGACATCGATCATCGATTATGTTGGGGAAGAAAGACTGCAGAAAAATCTTGAATTTTCCATGGTTTTGATATTAAATCAAAAATTAATATTACTCCCCTGGTCTGATATTGATGCATAATTATTCTTAGAAGGTTTTGTTTCTTGATGATCAGGCAATTAAAAGTATTATAATCAATCCATTCAAATCGGCAAAAAAACGAAAAAAATCATAATTTATTGTTCAAATTTGATGAAAATAAAAAACGAAGGAGTAAAATATCAAAGATGGGCCTTCCATCATTGATAGATACATGTACATGCAACATTTTCCAAAAGTTTCATATTCTTTCGTCAAAGATAGGCCTTTCGTCATTGATAGACACATGTACATGCAAAATTTTCCAAAAGTTTCATATTCTTTCGTGGAAGGCTCCTATACATGGTTAGGGTTTGAAAAAGAGTGTTTTTAGCTATTTTCCTGTGTGAGTCAATTTACAAGAAACTGACAAAGATACGCCTTTTAATAATTTTTATTTAAACAATACCCATTGATACATTATGTATGTGATAGTAACAACTTCTAATATAGTGTAGTAACATTTCTACACTGTATCTATATATTGATTTATTTTGCACAAGTATCACTTTTTGACATTCAAGGTGCTCTATACACAGTTGACGGTACTTGTTCTGTAACATTTGATGGTAAATTCTTAATCTATATAACATTCTCTAACAAACCTCACAGAATACAGACTGACTACAAGGAATAAAATCAGATCAAGTCATATAATAGTAGTTTCAAAACTTGCGAAAGGGTACCTCGATTCAAAAGGCCATATCTCAGTCAATATTAATACTAGAGTCATATAACTTTGCAGTTTTACATAAGTCCGTATGTACTATAACATCTAATTTTATTCATAATTTTCTGAGGTGGTCATTTTAGAACTTTCTGGGAATTTGGTCCACTTGACATGGAATCACCCATTAAATTTCAACAAGCATTTATGTTAATCCAACTTGTTGTTTTCTTGTATCATGCACTTTCAACATCCACGATATGTTTGTATTTGATTATTACAGAATATGTTTGTATTTGATTATACAGGATATGTTTGTATTGATTATTACAGGATATGGGTTATAATGGTGAAATAGGTTACCAGACATTTCTCTACTCTAATGAAACAGAAATAAGAAAAGTTTTTATGTTTTTGGTTGAGAAACTACCAAAAGATACAACACAGACATCAGATGAACCGTTAGGTAATAAACACAATTTACAATCAATTCAATATTTGAAAATGTAAAGAAAAGGGTAGTTTTTGTACAGATATGTATGGAAACATTCAGAGTTATGGAGAAATGAAATGGGGATTAATGTTTAATTGACACAAACTAGGATATTTCGGGATTAACCCGGAAAAACCCCATGAGGTTGGACAGGCAACCCTACTCCTTGTCATGTACAACCGGGGAATCGAAACCCCGCCAGTTGACTCATTGACATACCTCATGATACAACGCGCACGCACTAACCATTTTGCCATCCAAACCCCCTTCAGAATTACGGAGAAATGAAATGAAATGAAATTTAACGTCCTGTTATGCTCCGACTGGCCAGAGTTATGGAGATCCGTAAGAGGAGTCAGATGAAATAAAACATGATTACTATGACGAAGACTGGTGGGTCATTCCATGTCAGGTGGACCAGTGCCTGTTTGTATGTACTATAACATATATTTTTTTCATACTGTTCTGAGAGGGTCACCTGGACAACTTTCTTACAATTTGGTCCACTTGACACGGAATGACCCTGGTATTATGACATAAATGAATCTGTTACCATGTAGATCTTGACCGCAATGAATCAACCTAAACAATATGTAATCATATTTCCAGGAGCCTCGGTGCTATTACAGAGAGCCATTGCTGCCAAATTACATCAACAAATGACATCACCATGGACACCACATTATCTAAAAGATAGAGGTATAACATGGAGAGGTAAACCCCCAAGTTGGCAGAGGGAGGTAAGATGAGAAAACTATGGGTATAAAACCTAACCAACAGTGTATAAACAAATATGCACATTGTATAAGCCAATATGCACAGTACGTGTATAAGCCAATATGCACTGTGTATAATTAAACCAATATGCACAGTGCATAATTAAACCAATATGCACAGTGCATAATTAAACCAATATGCACAGTGTATAATTAAACCAATATGTACAGTGTATAATTAAACCAATATGCACAGTGTATAATTAAACCAATATGTACAGTGTATAATTAAACCAATATGCACAGTGTATAATTAAACCAATATGCACAGTGTATAAACCAATATGTACAGTGTATAAACCAATATGCACAGTGTATAATTAAACCAATATGCACATTGTATAATTAAACCAATATGTACAGTTTATAATTAAACCAATATGCACAGTTTACTGTTTCTGTTATGTCCTTTTTTGTAAATCATTTAATTTTTTTTCATTTCGAATGAAGCCTGTACCATAACAGGCCCGGGACTGTATAGCGCAGTGGATGCTTATGGCTGGCTCCCGGATCCATTCACTTGATTTGATATTTGTTTATTTTTTGCAATGTCTATATATGGTCTTCTCCACAGGTTTATCTTGTAGGTTTTTGTTTTGTATGTAGTGTGGTCCTCCTGCACTTACTAAAACAGTAGGAGAAATAAACCTTTTCATAAATAAGTAAGGTGCAAGATATAATAAATATGAATTTTACCTATAATGGAGAGTCCAGTCATTGGCATTTGTTTACATATTATTCAGTATCAAAAATCAAAACCTGATATACAAATTATTTTCGTCACCATGGTAACTGTCAGTCACTGTGTCTAAATTAAACCATGTGGTCCTGCTATAATGGACACTCTCCATATTCTTCAAAGTGATTGAATTGAATAGCACATGCAGCTCTTTGTTTCTAAACCGGAAATAATTTGTGTTTAAGATTGTGAATTGCGGAAACTATTTTAATATTAGATAATAAATCAAATATATACAGAAATGGCAACGGTTGAAATTCTCCTTTCAGCTTTTATTACCTCAGAACATGTTAATTAGTAAATTTGATAGAGCTTTCTCTGCTTTCTGCTCTATCAGTTCTAATTGAATATTTTCAGGGTGCTGCATGTATATATAGTTATCGTTCTCAACATTTATCTAGACCTGAAGGTTTAACAGATTTAACCAGAAAAATACCCAAAGGTTGGTCATTTTACTTTCCCTCATTTTAGCAGTCTCATTAAAATACAGATTTATATTTCGTTTCGTTTTTTTTTTATACTTTCGATTGCCTCCACTACCTGAAGATCTGTCCAGTTATAGTGGAAGATCGCGTCAATGGTCATACGAGCGGCTTTTGACCTTATGACATCAGACATTTGATTAATCAATCAGAGATGATGTTTCTTGTGGGTTACCCACATTTCCGTGCACCTCGCTGTTTCATTGGCTAATCCCTCACTTCAACTAGAACACGGGTTATATAACAACTCTTCCAGATCCTAGTGTAGTAAAGACAAGTAAAATGAAATTTTGAACTATAGAAAATGAAACAAAAATAGAGTCTGTGTTTTAACCAGATTGTCATTTAAAGAATATTGAAAGAATCAGGACATTATTCAGTGAATGAGACGCTGATTTAGCTATGGAGATTTAATGGGTAGTAGAGTGAAAACTGTCTTGATAATCTATGCTTGAATGTCATATTCATTATAACTGTTTAAAATCTCCAGAAATATTTTATATTAGGGCTAGTAATGTTCTACAAAAGCCAATAAAGAAAAGTTGACTAGCTTATGCTATTATGGTTAAAGGACAATATTGGTGTCTGTGATTATCACATTATGTAGTTGTTTGTAGTTGACAAAATCATTGTTTCTTTGATTGGTATTAAAAATGCTGTTGTATTATTTTACCGGTATAGTTAATTATCTACCAGTGAGTTGTTACCGTTTTCTTTATGAAGTTGTTTGTAGTTGACAAAATCATTGTTTCTTTGATTGGTATTAAAATTGCTATTGTATTATTTTACTGATAGATCTAAATCTCTACAATCTGGGTATTGTCATGACGCGTGGAGTGGGCGGGGCAACAGACGCTATCGTTTGATTGTCAGTTGTTTGCATAACTTGGAGTAAACTGGAATTGTTGTTTCTCTTTTACCGGTAGTCAGGATTTAGGTCGCGAGTAGCTGATCATGATATATTATTTATACAGGTATTATTTAATTTGTTTATCATCAAAACCGATTCATTTATCACACACAATTACTCACGAATTTAACACGATGTAATAGACGGCCATGTTTGTTGTGGGCGGGACTTGAATGACAATTTCACTACCGTACGAGCAACAGAATTACAGCTGAAAGTTATGCAATAATGCAATTGCATGTTATAATTAATATAAACAAATGTAACAAAAGCAATTTATTTCATAAAGAAATATAATTATATAAAGCTTGATACGGCTAAATATCGGTAATTATTATAACTGTAAACAATTGAGTTTGACCTATTTACTGGAGATCGCAGGTGGATTTGAGTCACATATGCTATGGCACGAGTTTCACACGCGCTGGGAAAGGGTGCGCCTAAACCACGCATATTTTTTTTTTCCTGAAACACCTCTGCCAAAGTTCCAAATATAATTTTAACACAGAGATCATTACTACGATAGATGCGTTATGAATATTTAAAAAAACGGACATGATGAAAGCAAAAGGAAAACACGAGTTATCCTTCTATATAACTGACTAAAGTGACGAGTGATAACAGATAAACAGGCAGATTTCTGCTCACTAATAATTCCTTCGAAGACCAAAAGTTGTTATATGAGACTGTGAGAGGATATCTGACAAATCAAAAAAAAAATAATTGTCTCGCTAGATATTGTCCTTTAATAATATATAAGTGTTTTTACAATGGATAATGATATATACTACAAAGTATCTTGGTAAGGACTTAAAAAGTTTGCTGCCCAGTGGCAAAATCAGATGTAAATAGCTGATATTTGTATTATAGTGATTATAAATTTTTGGATAGATTGATTAAAATTAATTTTTGACATATTTACAAATCTCTTTAGGGGTTCTAAAAACTTAGATTTGGTACCAGATAATGATAGAATGCAAGGATATATTAAGAAAGAGAGAGATAGAGATAGGGTTTAACCGTCAACTCAACACAAACTTGGTCATTTCGGGACTAACACATGGTTCAATTTTATTTCAATAATTCGCGTGTGTGTAGGGTGTCTTTAGCAGTGGGAGGAAACCGGAGGACCTGATGAAGGACTGCGACGTTGGACAAGTTACCCTACTCCTTGTCACGTACAACCGGGGAATCGAAACTACGCCAGTTGACTCAATGACAGACCTTATGATACAATGCACATGTGTTAACCATTCGTCCATCCAACCCCCCTGGATATATTAAGATAAAAGAAAGAAAACTTATCCTGAACTTATGAAATTGATATCTTTTTCTCTTTTTCAGAAATCCGAAACTATTACTCAACTAGTCTTCCATTTGTTACGAATCAATGTCGCCATCACAGAGATACATTGGCATCCGTTATAGAATCTAATACAGCAGAGGTTGCTAAGCAACAAGAATGGGAAAATGAATGGAATCATTCTGGTCTGGCTTCCCGATTATCAAAACAGGTTGGTGTGAATGTTCAATCCAAGGAGTTTCTTTCAGGAAATAATTAGTCTCCACTTGATTTAGACATGCATTAAAAAACTAAATAAAATGGAACAAAAATATTATATTAAATTTGGTATCATATTTTGTGATATGGAGATACAAGTTGATCTTCTAATTGAATGATCATTTGATTTCAGGAATTTATTGACAAAAAGAAATCAAAAATACAGAAAATGATTGCAGATCGATTACGTCAAGATGCTAAAAGAGAAACATCGGGCACGTCTTCTCTGTCAGATTTACAGCAAGTCATGGCAGCCATTAGCAGTCGGGCTAAAACAGATGCAAGAACAAAAGGATCAAGATTTGCTCATTCTGAAAAATTATTATTCTCTAAGGTAATTTTGATTCCAAGATTGTATATGGTAGGGCGTGGCAGATGTGATCTGCCTAACATTGTGGCATTTTGTTCGAGGTCACCAATCTGCTTTCCAAGTTATAGTACCATTTGTGTAATTCAAATAATCAAATGACTATATTGTTATGGATATTAGTCCCAAAATAACAAAGCAAAGTTCAACACTGTATATCTTATTAAAAGATAAACTTGCTGATCAAAATTCACATCCTATATGGAGAAAGAACCTCAGAAAATATGCCTACGATAAATTCTATACTATTCAAAAAAAGTAGGGGATATTTGATTTTGGGGGCATAATACTAAAATATGTAAATGACTACGAAAAAAGTCACTATAGAACCTAACAGAAGAAACATTTCCAGTTACATGTGACGCCCAAACGCACCAATAGCTACCGCATGGAATGCATGTGATGCTTGGGATCATCATGGGGGTCCAACCCAAGATTTGCACGACTCTGACTTTGAATGTTACAGTCATTGTGGCATTGAATTCCAGGGTGGAAACATCAGTTTAATTGTTTTAGTGACCAGAAAACAAATTTTGATATGCGTCGGCTTACCCAAAATGAAAGGTTACGTGCCCTTGGCATGCTACAGATCGGCACAACACAGGCGGTTGTGGCGCGGACGATGAATGTTTCTCAGTCTGTCATAAGCAGGCTATGGTCCAGATACCGTGATACACAATCTGTACAGGACAGACCACGCTCAGGTCGACCAAGGGCGACAACTCAAGCCCAGGATCGATTTATCCGTACCTTGGCCTTGAGAAATCGTGTCATCACAGCAAATCAGATCAGCGCTCGTCTTCAAACAGACACTGGTGTGAGAGTGAGTGGCCAGATGATTCGGAATCGACTGCATAGGGGTCACCTTCGCGCCCGACGTCCTCGCGTGATCCCTTGTTTGAGAGATCATCACATTCAGGCAAGACGTCGTTGGTGTAGGGATCGTCAACACTGGGATAATCGACACTGGAGCAATGTGATGTTTTCAGATGAGTCAAGGTTCACTGTTGATTTTTTGGACAGACGTAGGAGGGTGTGGTGTCGTCGAAACGAGCGCTTCAAAGACGTTAACGTCATCAGACATGATCGATTTGGGGGTGGTTCTGTTATGGTGTGGGGAGGCATCACTGTTGCTGGAAGAACGGCTTTACATGTTGTTGCAGGGCGTGTTACAGGCCAGTACTACCGGGACAACATCTTGGCAGTCCATGTTGTGCTGTTCGCACGACGTCATGGCCACCGTTTCATCTTCCAGGATGACAACGCAAGATGTCACAGGGCCAGGATCGTTACAGGTTACCTCCAACAACAGAACATCACCTCATTACCTTGGCCAGCACTGAGTCCCGACCTCTCCCCATCGAGCATGTCTGGGACATGCTTGGACAGAGGTTACGTCAACGTCAACAACGTCCTGCCAATGTCCAAGAACTTGCTGCTGCGTTGCAACAGGAATGGGACAATCTGGACCAAAATGACCGTAGACGTCTCATTAGGAGTATGCCACGTCGGATCAATGCTTGTTTGGCAAACAGAGGAGGATTTACCCGTTACTGACTTGGTTGTGATGCTGTGGTAACTTTGCTGTTTGACCCCGGGTATCATTTTACCCTTATAATGGTCAGTCTGTGCCTTACTTAGTCTAACGATCATTTGGAATAAATCGATGAATGTGAACTTCATTTCATTTTGTCATTTGTTTCTTCGTCAGTTTCATTAGGTGACTTTAATAACACTTAAAAATCAAATATCCCCTACTTTTTTTGAATAGTATATATTGAAATAGACCTATGTTTTCGTACCTCATAGATGACTTAGCTAGTTATACCATATATAATGTTATGGCTGACTGTGATTTCTTGTTTAATCAACTTTATTGTTTTCATATAGGATGAGGATGCTAGTTTAGCCCAGATGAGTGGAGAAATACCCACCAAAGATACAGAAGAGGTCAGTTAATGTTTTTAAAATTTATTCTACCACAACCTACTGAAATAAGCAGAAAGTTGACATTGAAAAAACTTCATGATGCCTTAATTGATGTCTCTAATTTTCAAAATATTAATATATGTTCTGATACATTTCTCTTTCAAGTCTTCTAATTTATGAATATAAAACCTGGCAAACCTTTTAGTTATCCAAACTCAAACAAAAATGTTTTGGAAAATAAAGCTCCAGGAAATTGGAGAGAGAGAGGGGTCTTTAGCAGTGGGAGGAAACCGGAGGACCAGGAGACAACCCACAAGGTTGGACGGGCAACCCTACTCCTTGTCACATACAACCGGGGAATCGAAACTCGAAACCACGCTAGCTGACTCAATGACAGACCCTATGATACGACGCGCACATGCTAACCATTCGAACATCCCCCCCACCACCCCCGATTCTTTGGAAAAAAGGGGATCACAGTGGCTAAGTGGGTAACATAATAATCATGTTTTATTTCAACTGACTCGCTAGCCTGGTGGTCGGGTGTTTGATCCCTGCATTGGCTGAAAAGTTCATCCAGATTTTCTGGTGTGGTTCCCCCTTGTCAGTGATGCAGGATCGAGGGCCTGACAAGGACGGCTGTCTAGTCGTTCAGATGGGATGGAAAATTGAGGTCCCGTGTATACAATGGCGTGCATGTAAAAGATCCCTTGACAGTTGGAATTCGATATAAGAGTGGGCTATAGTGCCGCTGTCCGAGCAAAATTTCCCTCATCGCACACTGTATGGCGTATGCCCGTCTTCATCAGCCCAGTTCGGAGCAGAACAGTAGGACGTTAAGCCCCATTTCATTTCATTTCATTTCTTTGGAAAGATTCAAACTGGTTTAATGATAACTGGTTTAGATTTTTTTTGCAGACTGTCTTTGTTGCAAAAATTACCCCAAAAGGAAATATTGAAGCGATAAATTATCCTGTCAATATATTGTCCATCTTTCTTATTCAAGGAACAAGAAAGAAAGAGAGAAGAAGAAATGCAATCATTAAGGGATGAATTAGGTGAATTAACATCCAAGTTAGAATCATTAGAATTAGAAATAAAGAAATATAGTGCTACTCAACAACAGCTTGAAGAAGCTATAAATACAGAAAATAGACAAATTGATGATAAAGAAAGTTCGTTTAATGTTAAAAAGAAAACAATGGATTTATTACCAGATGCTGAGAATAATATTCTTAAATTACAAGTAAGTAATATCACAAGTCTCGAGTAAACTACAGTGGCTCAGTGACCAAGGCACTGGCTCGTGCCACAGTGGCTCAGTGTGTGCGACCTGTTCCAAGAAAATGTGCTTTGGGATATGTTTATTCTTGTTTAGTAATATAATATATCTATATCTATATCCTGTTTGGTTTTCAGAGAAAAATCAGATGTTATAGAAATTATTAATTAGACCTTTAGATGGCTTGGATACAGTTTGATTTACACAGCCGTTCATTAAATAATTAAATCAATAAATGGCTGACCAAGCTAATGTTTACCGTTAGTCACTGACGTCACTACCGGAGACTGTCGACTGAAATTTTCAATATTTTCTTTTTTTATCATCTATTTTTGAATTATTATAGCAAGAATGGCCAACTCTTATGTTTAATGTTTATTTGATAACTTGTATTTTTTAGGGTGTTGTTGAAACAAGTACACAGCGTTTAGTAACTCTAGCTAATAAATGGGAGACCCATCGAGCTCCTCTTATACAACAGTATAGAGAACTTAAAACTCTCACATCACAGAAAGAGGTGGGTTACAAATTCACACTAATATTAAATATACCAGAAAAATTCATTTTAAAAAATCACCCATAAGTAACAAATTTGCTCCCCAATCAAAGTGTCAAACTTTTATTGGTTCAGAACAAAAGGTCTACCTGCTTGTTTGGATGGTATTTGGAGTTCGATTAAAGGTATTCTGAATAATCTGGTTAAAACACAGATCCTATTTCGTTTCGTTTTTTATAGTTCAAAATTTCGTTTACTTGTCTTTACTACACTATGATCTGGAAGAGTTGTTATATAACCAATGTTCTGGTTGATATGAGGGATTAGCCAATGAAACGGTCTGTTGCAGCGAGTTCTTGATCTGCAATGCATGGGAGAAACATCAATGCTGATTGGTTAATCAAATGTCTGATGTCATAGGGTCAGAAGCCGCTCGTATGACCCCTGACACAATTTCCCACTACAACTGGTCAGATCTTCATGTAGTAGAGGCCGTCGAAAGTATAAAAAACGAAACGAAATATAAATCTGTATTTTAATCAGAAAGTATTCTGAAAAACTGCTGTCTGAGCAAAATTCTCATTCTCAGAATTGAAATGAAAAATACCATATGTTAGTCTCAAAATAACCAACCTTTAGTGCTGACAAGACATAAAACCCCACTTTCATTCAGTATCATATCATATTCCTGAAGCAATAGCCCAAGAAATCCCTCTCTAGCTATTTCCATTGCTATTGTTATACTAAAAACTTGAGTTTTTCACAAAGTGTGTCAAACGAAACATTGCCAGGAGTATGGTATCATATCTGCTTTTCTAAACTTAAGCATTTTTTTTTCAGTCGGAAGCAGAGAAGAAATTAGCTGAAATCCGCGTGTTTCGTGACAAAATGAAAGAAGTGGCTGATGAAGTCAGAAATAAAGAAGATTTACAAAAACAATTAGTAAGCTGTTGTAACTGTTTTTATTTCTATACATCTCAAAAGCTCACTGATATAACACTGTCTTTCATCTCGTCACTTTCACAAGCTTTAACGGTCAAAATGTAAACAGAACGCAAACTTTTGTAAACTTTTGTATTAATGACATAAATTTAAATACCATACGGAAATTGAATATGAAAAAATAACAATTTGCACCTATTTTTTTATTACGTACGGATTTGAATATTTTGTTGACACATGATTTTTTTTAATTGTGGTCTGACACTGCCTCCTTAAATAACGATAAGAGTTCTGCCCCTTTATTTTCGATAAAATGTCAGAAGAAAAATGTGGACATATAAAAAAGAAGTGAAATGTGATTGTATTATTTATTGTAGCAATCAGAATATGAACGAATGACCAAAGATGTAAACAGATCAGCATATACCAGGAAAATACTCGAAATAGTGGCAAATATTAAAAAACAAAAACAGGAAATAGATAAGGTATGTTTCAGATTTATCTGTTGTTAAATTGGCAGGAAAAGGATGTGTAGCCAATAATTGTGGGCCATATTGCACCACAGATCAAGGGTCGTCAGTTGTGCTCCCCTCCCCCCCCCCCCCCTTATATCACTGGACAGTGTGAAATCCTCCAAAGCTACATACTGTTCCCCAACATGTGAATAGCTCCATGAATTGTAGGACCGTATGGTAATTCTTGGGGGGTGACCCAACAGATATAAGGGTAACTTGATCAATTTGGGGTGGAGCACTGGTTTCAGGCATTCCAAGTACTAAAGGGTTAAAGATCATTGACCGTAGGTTAAAGGGGAGAGAGAGATGGGGTTTAAGGTCCACTTGACACAAACTAGGTCATTTTGGAACGAACACATGATTCAATTTTTTTTTAATAATTTGCTTGCACATAGGGGTCTTTAGCAGTGGGAGGAAAGCGGAGGACCCGGAGAAAACACATGAGGTTGGACAGGCGACCTACCCCTTGTCACGTACAACCAGGGAATCGAAAGCAGACCAGTTGACTCAATGACATACCTTATGATACAAGGCACACAAGCTAACCATTCCGCCATCCAACTCCCCTATAGGTTAAAGGATTAAAGATCATTGACCATAGGTTAAGGGTTAAAGGTCATTGACCATAGGTTAAAGATCAGTGACCATAGGTTAAGGGTTAAAGATCATTGACCATAGGTCAAAGGGTTAGAGGTCATTGACCATAGGTTAAAGGGTTAAAGGTCATTGATCATAGGTTAACAGAGTTAAATAAACTACCCTGTTTGTCCCAAAATCAACCAGTTGTGTTAAACAGTTGTTAAACCCATGTCTCTCCTTTTCTTGCATGGCTGCATGGTAGGGTGACCCACCATAAATAAATATCTCCATATATCTCGACAATTACGCCACAATATTTATATATATGCCAAGCCTTAAATCAGTTTCACACAATTATAGTCACTAAATAAACGATCATGTTGTACTTAATAAGCTATGACCATTAATCATGTATAAATAATAGACTGAAAACTGGTTCCAAGAGTCGTCCATAACATCCAGACACTTTTGAGTAAAAGATAGGTTACGTGCCCTTGTTTTGAAATTAGTCTCGCTTAACCAGTCTATCGACCATTCTACGTCTGATTGACAGGTCGGTATAATCAAGACTACTTTTTTACGAAACGTAACAGAACGCTAGAACAAGAAATTGAATTTAGAAATAAGCACGTTAGGTAGCTCAACAATCGTTTTAAGAAGCTTGTAAAAGTAAAATGAAACTACTGCTAGTATCATGTTCCTGCCTAACCCGAGTGATTCAGAGATATTATTTGTACTAAACCAAAAGATGCTGCTCTTAACGGTACAGTTAATGATAAAGCGATTTAAAAAATGAAACGAACGTAATTTCTAAATCTGCTGTAATAACCAAGAAGCTTAATTTAACTGCTATTCAAAATCGTCAACAATACATTTTTTACGGCTGTAATAGTTGATAGATTTGTAGAGAATTGCACGTGCCATGGCTATTTATAGTATCATACTGTCAGAAAGTTGGTCTCGGCACGGCGAATGTGCACGCTTCAGTAGTAGTCTCGAACTATCAGCGGTGGACTGTATTTCTGTGAGTACATGGGTCACCCTATGCATGGTACCGGTACACTTAAAGTGAAAATATATGTCCCTATACCAGAGTCTGGTTATTGTGGAGTGGGTGTATAATATCAGAATATAGTATTCAATATTTTCCAGGTTTTAGTAGATACTAAGTCAATACAGAAAGAAATTAATTCACTATCTGGGAAATTAGACAGAACATTTACAGTCACAGATGAACTTATTTTTAGAGTAAGTATAGATTTAACATACAATAAATATAGATGTAAATATATATAATGAAATTTGTGAAGTTTTAAGATAAACATCTGTTGCATTAAAACAATGTTACAGATTAAGAGGACTTGAATTTCTACGGTAAAAATATCTAGAAAAAACAATAGATGGTGTTTAAAGTAAAATAGTCTAGCCATCTTGTTAAGTATACTTTATTTACATTGAATAAAAACATGAAGTATGATGGAGACAAACTATGTGACACACATGAAGATAAAACAAAGAATGACTGCAGCATGTACCGCAGTGTATGTGCAGATCGAAATGAAATGAAATGAAATGGGGTTTAATGTCCTACTGTTCTGCTCCTATGCTGGGCTAATGAAGACGGGCATACACCATACAGTGTGCTATGAGGGAAATTTTGCCCGGGCAGCGGCACTATCGCCTACTCTTATATAGAATTCCAACTGCCAAGGGATCTTTTACGTACATTCCAAAGTATACAAGGGACCTCGGTTTTCCGTCTCATCCGAGGGACTAGACAGCTGTCCGTGTCAGGCCATCCGTCCTGCATCACTGACAAGGGGGAACCACGCCGGAAAATCTGGATTAACTTTCTCGGCCAATGCAGGGATCGAACACCCGACCTCCAGGCTAGCGAGCCAGCATCTTACCCACTTAGCCAAGGGGTCCCCGTGCAGATCGAGACCTGTCTCATCAGTGTTCATGTCTAGTGATACACACCCAGAGATGGTTAACTAGCAGACGATAAAAGTCAATGTTTATATTTCAACTGATGGTACTGGTTATAAAACTGGTACCAAGAAATTAAATTACATTGTGTGTGAGAAAAACCTAATAGCAAAAATTTGAACCAAGTTTAACTTGTATCCATCACATTTAAGTAAAATTGGTGTAAAGCAATTTGATGCTGCAATAGTTATCAAGACTAACAGAAGTATAACAGAATTCAATTCTATGTTACTGATTGCATTCACTATTCAGCTGCTGTTTTTCACTCTTTTGAATGCCTTGTTTCAAACCTGTACTCTCAGACAATAAACTGATTTAATAGATAAAAGTTGTTTTAATTTCTAGGATGCAAAGAAAGATGAAGCAGTAAAGAAGGCCTATAGATTCTTAGCAGCATTACATGAGGTTTGATCACATTTTTATTCGCCCACATTTTCATATGGACGTATATTGTCGTCGCGTCCGACCGTCCGTCCACAATTTTGACGAACTCGAAATATAGATTTATCTCCAAAAGATCTTGGTTCCTTTCGATATCGGCATGTATCGGATCGAAACTTCATGGCTTATGGCCCCTGATTGTACAAAAAATCATGTTTTTAGCTTGTGGACACTCTAGAGGTCACACATTTCATATGATTTTGTTGAAACGTGAAATATATGTTTATAACTCAACGATCTTGGTTCCTGTCAATATTCGCGCATATCAGACTGTAACTTCCTGGATTATGGCCCCTAATTGAACGACAAATGACGTTTTTAGTGTGTGGTCCCTCTAGAGGTCACAATTATTATTCGATTTTACAAAAACGTTTAAGTATATCACCGTCGCACCATTATGATGATTGAATTCGAATTTTGTGAAAATCGGACTGAAACTGCTGGATGGCTGCTCCCTGTACAGAAATAGTGTTAAAGTTGTGTAAGCTTAATTGTGTTAATATTGTAATAAAAAATAGTGAAATATTGATCATTGTAGTTCAAGAAAATGAATTAAATGCATATGTTGTTATTATGAAATGTTATTAGAGCTGTCTATTAATATTGTTATTATAGAACTGTGAATTATTGCTGTTATTATAGAACTGTGATTATAGAACTGTCTATTATTGTTGTTATTATAGAACTGTGAATTATTGCTGTTTATTATTATTATTATTGTTATTATAGAACTGTGAATTATTGCTGTTTATTAGTATTATTGTTATTGTTATTATTATAGAACTGTGAATTATTGCTGTTTATTGTTATTGTTATTATAGAACTGTGAATTATTAATTAGTACAGTAGAAGAAACTGGTGTTATTATGAGAGAGATCAGAGATTTAGAAGATCAAGTAAGTTGTAGAATTTTAATCTCCTGTCTTCAACAATAATTATAATAGTATTTAGATTCGCCGTAACAGACAGTTTCATTGGCTAATCCCTCACATCATCCAGAATGTGGGTTATACAACAACTCGTCTAGATGCTAGTGTAGTAAAGACAAGTAAAACAAAATTTTGAACTATAAAAAACGAAACGAAAATAGGATCTGTGTTATAATCAGATTGCAACCAAGTTGAAATTCAGAGATGCACAATGATTTTTTACAGAATTATTATTCCTGTGATTAAAACATTGTAAATTCTCTACACTTTATGAGATTTGTTTAAAACTTTGTGGTATTGTTTGGCTGTAAGGAGGGACCCTACTCTTTCTGATTTGTTAATTTAAGCGAAGTGGCAGGGGCACGTTTAGACATTTTATATTGGTGTTTAGTTATTGAACACATTAAATAAACATGTGAGATTGTCCATATACAGGGTGGTTGGATGGCCGAATGGTGAGCATGTGCACGCTGTATCATAAGGTCTGTCATTGAGTCAAATGGCGTGGTTTCGATTCCCCGGTTGTACGTGACAAGGAGTAGGGTCGATTGTCCAACCTTGTGGGTTTTCTCCAGCTCCTCCGGTTTCTTCCCACTGCTAAAGACCCCTACGTGCAAGTGAATTATTGAAATAAAATTGAACCATATGTTAGTCCCAAAATAACCCAGTTTGCGTCGAGTGGACGTTAAACCCCATTTCTCTCTCTCTGTCCATATATAAATTGAGATTTTTTTTCAAGATACATTGTAATGAACAAAGAATGTTTAATTTCAGATTGAGAATGAAAGTGGAAAGAAAGTACTGGCTAATCTAGAAAAAATAACTCAAGATTATCAAGAGATGAAGAAGGAGAATTCAGTGTTAATGAGTAAATTAAAACAAAAGCAATAATATATTGTTCAAACTGTTTATTTTAGTTGTGTAAAAGAAATGATTTATAGATTATCAACGATGTGAGACATTGCTGGAGAAATAATTGATGGGCATATTAACAGACCTGGAAATAACGGTTTTAGATGTACCAGCCAAAATGTTAGGCACTAATGAAGATGGCCTAGTTTGTGTTGAGTGGATGTAAAACCCCATTTCTCTCTGTCTCTGTATGGTTTATATCGGTGTTCACAAAGCGCATATAAGACTTATAAACACATTGATCAATCATTTTTCTATACGACTCTATTCAACGAAGGTATAAATCTCACAATGCTGGAAATAAATTATGTTTAACAAATTTCTTAAAATAAAACTGTCCATTATTTAGTTTATAGAATTTATACTTACTAAAGAGAAAGCGCCCTTACAATTATTTCTTCATTAATGAATCAACCATCAGAGGTTAAAGGACAATATTTGTGTCAGTCATTATCCAAATATAATTTTAACACAGAGATCATTGCTACGATAGATGCGTTATGAAGATTTAAAAAAACAGAAATCACGAAAGCAAAAGGAAAACTCAAGTTTTGGTCTTCGAAGGAATTATTAGTGAGCAGAAATCTGCCTGTTTATCTGTTATCACGCGTCACTTCAGTCAGTGATATAGAAGGATAACTCGTGTTTTCCTTTTGCTTTTGTGTGTTAAAATTATACTGAGGGCCATTGAAGACGCATCACTTAGTTTTTCGTATAACAAAATGATCCTGTAAACATATCTTATTTATTTTGCTTCTTATTGTGAACAATATTCAAATGGGAACACATCAATAACAACACAATTGTACACTTATGGATGTTTAATCTGTAATCAACAGTACAAAGTCAGAGGGGTCAAAACCAAAAGTACGACACAGATGTCAGTAGCGCGTGTGTCCTCCACGGGCTCTTACGCACACTGAGCAGTGACGTCGCATGGAATTAACCAATGTTTGAAAGAAGGCCTGGGGCAAATTGTTCCATTCTTGGACAAGAGCAGCTTCTAAAGCAGCAATGGTATGCATCTGTGGTCTCCGATACAGACGGCGTCCAATCTCATCCCAGACATGTTCTATCGGTGCCATGTCCGGAGACATGGCTGGCCAGTCCAAGACATTGATGTTGTTAGCAGCCAGGTAGTCCAAACTAAAACGGGCGGTATGCGGACATGCATTATCCTGTTGGAAGTGCTGAAGTTGTGGGTGCGCTCGAAACATCGGAACAACAATTGGTGGCAAGACATCATCACGGTAGGCTACAGCATTAACGCGACCCCTGCAAATGTGTAGGGCGGTCCGGTGATGAAATGTGAAGCCAACCCACACCATTACACTTCCCCCACCCCATCGATTTGTTTTGAAGACGCAGCAGTCTGCAAGACGTTCCCCAAGACGTCTCCACACACGTTGATGGCCATCAGCGTGATTAAGATGAAAGCGACTCTCATCACTGAAGAGCACACTTTGCCAGTCTACTCTTCTCCATGTCTGGTGTCCTTGAGCCCATATCAAACACCGCTGACAGTTATGATCCCTGAGGATAGCTCCAACATAAGGTCGTCGTGCACGGAGTCCTACTTCTCTTAGACGACGTCTTTTAACGGTGTTGGCACTTACTGGTCCCTGTCTTCCGACGACTGCTGCACCTGTTCGGTTCCCTGGGCGGAATCTGTCATGCAGATGAGTGACCTGGATGTAGCGGTCTTGAGCCTGGGTTGTAACGCGTTGTGGACCAGGACGTTGACAGTCACGTGTTGATCCAGTAACTCGAACACGTTCCACCAACCTTACAATAGTGGACTGATGACAATTGAAGGGTCTGGCAATAGCACGTGTAGACATGCCAGCCCGGGACATTCCCATGGCTTCATTCCGCTGATTTTCAGCAAGTCTCGGCATCTCTAGCTCGATTCCTTCACACGTCCAACAACAAATTACGACAGATTGACGTTTCACAGTTCATGTTCTGCACATTAAGTTGAAAACATGCTTTTAAAGGGCTCACACACAATGCTGCACGTGAATATTGGGTTTTTCACGTGCATCTAGTGCAATTTTTTTTTTGTGCACACTGGCCGATTTTTTTTGCGTTTGGGAGCATTGTGTGAAACAATAGTTCATAGTATTGCATAATATTATACATACAAAACCACCTAGTAATAAAATATTTGGGAAAAAAAGTGATGCAAATTCCATGGCGCTCAGTATATATTCGGAATGTGTTGAACTGGTTCTATGACATCAATATTGTCCTTTAAGAAAGGAAGAAATTTGTAGTTGAATGTTGACTGTCAGAAAGAGTGTGTTTATTATTGAGATTTAATAGAAAGAATGTGCATGTTGTCCGTTATATTAAAAACATATATATATATATATTCATATGTATAAATATGCACACCAATCATTTCTTCTAATATATAAAGTTATTTATTTATATATATTTTATAATCAACCTGTAGGCCAACATTTATCTTTATAGTTTATAATATTAAATCACTGTTGAATGTTTGTCAATCTTAAAACAAGATACAACTCAACTGGCAACAACTCAGCCCATCTTTTCCCGATTTAGCTCCTTAGAAATGGAACTGAATTCCCAATTCATAGTTGTTATGATATGTTGTTTTGGAAAAACAAATTGTTATGAATAAAACTGACCTGTACATTTTTCATTCCAATGAAACTAACCATGTCATTTTGCTGGAACTCGACTAGTCTGGAATCATTTTTCCCTAACTGTAGAATTATCATGAAATTGCCGATTATTTTTTTTTATTTATACAACTTATAAAGCTCATAATGTTGCATATGTGATAGATTCGATTGGGGGTGGGGTGGGGGCAGATAGCCGAATAGTTAATACATTGAATCATAAGGTCTGTCATTTAGGCAACTGGCATGGTTTCACCGGCAATACGTGACAAGGATTAGGGTCGCCTGCCCAACCTCAAGGGTTTTCTCCAGGCCCTCCGGTTTCCTCCCACTGCTAAAGACCCCCTACACGCAAGCGAATTATTGAAATAAAATTGAACCATGTGTTCCGAAATGACCTACTTTGTTAAACCCATTTTTCTCTCTGTCTCTCTCTAGACTGGATGAATAGTACAAGTTATTAGAAAAATGTAAAGATGTAATATGAATTATAGACAATATCAAAATAAAAGTAAAATAATATGCCTTCTTCTTATTATTGGGAGTAGTTCTGGCTAAATCTATTTGTTAACGCCAGCTGAGATGTAAATACGGTTATGACATGTGATTGTTGACGAGATTGTAGCTTAGGGTTAGTTTAAGTGCTAGGTCCAGGTTTAGAGTTGGGATTAGAGCTAGCCTTACTTACATCTTGTGACTTATGACGAAAAATTGAGCTGGTCTTATAATTTAGCACTACCCGAGATAATGATAAAATGATCATGTGACCTACTCCCACGAAAACAGACGTTTGTCGCACAACATCATTTTGTACTTTATTTTGTTGCTGTGAACAACCAAAAATTTAAAAAGAATTGCATTTTTGGAAAGCTTGGGCTGTGGACTAAATTATTCTCTTTCTCAAATTATTGGAGGTCGCATGTTCAATCCCTGCATTGGTGTTCTGCTCCGACAGGGCTAATGAAGACGGACACACGCCATACAGTGTGCTATTAGGTAAATTCTTATCCGGGCAGCAACACTATAGCCTACTTTTATATCAAATTTCAACTGCCAAGGGATCTTTTATGTGCACACCAAAATGCATACACAGGACCTCAGTGTTTCATCCCATCCGAACAACTAGACAGCTGCCCTTATCAGGCCCTCCATCCTGCACCACTGACAAGGGGAAAACGCACCGGAAAATCCCAATGAACTTTCTCGGGTCAATGCCGGTATCGAACAACCTCCAGGCTAGCGAGCCAGCATCCTGATTACAAGTTGTGAACTTGGGACATTTTGATGAAGTCATCAAGTATGAAACATGACTTCCTAGTGATAAGGAATGTGATATTCAAATGGGGGAAGTTCCGGGTAACACCTGTTTACAGGTTATATAAGAGGTAACCAATCAATCAAGAATGTGAATGAGTTTGGCACATTGTCCTTTTGTTCAGTAAATACAGCAATAGAGAGAGAGAGAGAGAGTTTAAAGTCCACTCGACACAGACTAGATCATTTCAGGACTAACATATGGTTTAATTTTATTTCAATAATCCACTTGCGTGTTAGAAGTCTTTAGCTGTGGGAGGAAACTGGAGGACCCTGAGAAAACCTATGAGGTTGAACAGGGGACCCTATTCCTTGTCACGTACAACCGGGGAATCGAAATCACAAATCACGTCAGCAATATAGAGCACCATAGTAAGAAAACAAATATATCTGATTAAATAATGAATATTTATTCTTTTATATTAACATAATTTATGTAGATAATTGTAAACAATAAAGTAGTATATCATTCATTATCTTTTAATACATTTAATTGTAAGGTTTCTCATAATTCTGGTATGTAAAAATACTTCCAGAGATACAGCATGGTATCTTTACCGATGCCCAAAAGAAAAGTAACATCTTTCATTAATAATTAAATCTCGGAATTAACAAGACATTACCTTGTAACAAAAATCTTTTTTCTATAAAAGGTGATTTGACTCTTACAGTTATATATTGGTCTTTTTCATTTGGATGAGATATAGGTGGTTTAACCCTGGATCAAAATACCTTGCAAACCATGGCTGAGATATAGGTGGTTTAACCTTGGACCAAAATACCTTGCCATAAAGTCTAAGATTGTTTTGAATATGATATATATATTTTCTGGATGAGAGTGATAACACCTCTTTAATAACAGCACTAACATTTGATTAACAGCGCTAACATGTATACAAACCATCTATGGAAAATAAAGTAGCAATAATTTAGCTTCATGTATTCAATACAAGACTTAACATTCTTTATGCAGGATAATTACAACAGTTTTGATATATTTTTGTGATATATGTGAACCATTTGATTTTTAACAATGTTACCAAGAATGAAATTGTTTATAACTACATGTAATGTAGGCAGAAGAGAAAATGTGATCACCCTAGTTTTCAAATTTTTGAATAATTTCTATTTGTGTCAATTTTTTGATGGCTGACAAATTTAGTAAATTGATACAATTTAAGTGTTTAAATATCTGGAAATAAATAAATGACAATTCTAACACCCTTTTTTATTAACAATAAACTGATCTAAAACTGGCTTAGTCATATAGAGTAATACCGATCTTCAAGGAAGAGTTCAATATATAAAGGGGATAACAGGACAGAATAAAGACAGTGGGGGGTCTGAAATACCTGTACATCAAACATGCAGGTATTCTAAGATACACTTCTACATATCTAATTTCTTTTTTAGATTCATTAACTCAGGGATTCTCAACCCTTTTTTGCCAACGGCACACCTTGGAACACACAAAAAATAACGGCACACCTGGCTAAATATATATGAAAAATATCTGAATTTTGCAAAATAAAAAAAATGGCAAGTCAGACGGCATACAACCGTAGACACAGACTAAAGCCATAGAAACATAGATTGACTCAAACTAAATACAGAAAAACACAGCTATGAACCACTTCGGATCACGTGGTTTTTTTTTGCATTTTCTTAGTGTGCCGTTAAAAATTTCGCTGCACACTTAAGAAGATCTTGCGATACACTTGTTGAGAATCACTGCATTAACTTAAAAGCTTGATTCCATCAAGTATTGTTTATACTTGATTATCAGGTACATGTATTGTTTATACTTGATTATCAGGTATTGTTTATACTTGATTATCAGGTATTGTTTATTCTTGATTATCACGTATTGTTTATTCTTGATTATCAAGTATTGTTTATTCTTGATTATCAGGTATTGCAGCATTCATGATATTATGCGTGTAATACAATCTGATTAAAATACAGATCTATATTTCGTTTCGTTTTATTATACTTTCGATGGCCTATACTATTTAATACATGATAATCTCAAAGTTTGTAGTGGGAGGTGGCATCAGAGGTCATACAAGCGGCTTTTGACCCTATGACATCAGACGATGATTAATCAACCAGCGTTGACGCTTCTAGTGGTTCAACCACAGTTCCGTGCATCCATCATAACAGACCGTTTCATTAGCTAATCCCTCCCATTAACCTGAACGCAGGTTATATAACAACTCTTCCAGATCCTAGTGTAGTAAAGAAAAGTGAAACGAAATTTTGAACTATAAAAAACGAAACAAAATAGGATCTGTGTTTTAATCAGATTGCGTTTAATGACGATAGTAACTAGTTTTACTTACAATGGCAAGAGATTATGTAACATACTGCTTTGTAATAATCTATAATAGTGCTTATTTGTCTAGGATTCAAGTAATGAAAACTGGCCTTCTGTCTTATAATCTGTTTAAGGGGAAAGTGTTTTAATATTTTGACATATAATTATTTCCAGATCTGTTAATTGATTTAATCATATAATTTATTAATTTTATCTAAAGATGTTATTTAACCGGTTTCATATTCCATAAACCATCATTTAAGAAATGAAGATTATCAACTCCTATACCTTTATTTTTGGTTAATCTGAAAAAGAATCAAAAGAGCAGTTTTCAAATTCATGTATTCCTAACCAAATCATCTAACAGAGTTTAGATGGTTCATAAATTACATGCTTCATTACTACTTGTGGACGAGAGAGAGAGAGAGAGAGAGAGAGAAATGGGGTTAACATCCACTGACACAAACTAGGTCATTTCGGGACTAACATATGGTTCAATTTTATTTCAATAATTCACACACGCATAGGGGTCTTTAGCAGTGGGAGGAAACCGGAGGGCCCAGAGAAAACCCACATGGTTGGACAGACTACCCTACTCAATGATCAATCACTCAATGACAGACCTAATGATACAACTCGGACGCGCAAACCATTCAGCCATCCAAACTCCCTGTTTATAAGTGTTAAAATATCTGGGAGAGGGTTTCGTCCACAACAGCTCTTTTAACTGTATAATGTTATAAAGAAATGAAATGTTAATTAACGTCCTACTCCTACTGGACTAATGAAGATGGGCATACGTCATAGTGTGCTAAGAGGGAATTTTTGCTCGGGCAGCGGCACTATCGCCCACTCTTATATCGAATTCTAACTGCCATGGGATCTTTACTTGCATGCCAATGTATACACGGGACCTCGTTTTTCATCCCATCCGAACGACTAGTTTATTGTTATAAATTACTTACATATCTTCTGTGGACATCTTTGTCATACCTACAGCTAAAGCATGTTCTTTACCTTCGGCCATTATAGCCTGATAATAGGTTAAGAAATGTTGGTTTACAGATAAAAGTCTTCTGATAAGATACATGTAAGCAACACTTGTAATAAACCATTAATCTAGGTGAGAAATAGAGACCACATAATTCGTTATTTCAACCATTCAGCCATGGTTTGGAGCTCACATTAATTTGTCCTCTGTGGAAAGGCTACTATTGACAAAAACAATCCCATCAAAGCCACTTTTAGAAAGAATTATTAACAAATATAATGCTATATCTGATTTTTCTTCTTTATATACCATGCTTCAACATTCGGATCTCAAAGACAATTTGGATTAGTTTGTTGCTAAAGCCTTCAATGCTGAATTTGAAAAAGGCAGAAACCAAATGGCCATTTGATGGATTAGCTTCATCTTTTTTTTTGTATGTATCCTGCACCTACTATTAGAATATAGCTTTCTCTATTCCCTTAATATTTGTAAAACTCATCTCCCTCAATTCTGATAAATTTCATTGAAAAAGGATACAACTACTTTATTGGCGTCTAATTTTGTCATTTTAGCTCCAGGAGATGTGAGGCCTGGACACATTATATTAGCTCCACTTAATACAAATCTTATAGCTCCTTTATCTACCTGCATGTGGGGTAATATAAAAGGGTCTGAAATTAAAATAAAATATAAATAAATGACAGGCCCTCAGGAAATGAAATGAAATTAAATGGGGTTAAACGTCCTACTGTTCTGCTCCTATACTGGGCTAATGAAGACGGGCATACGCCATACAGTGTGCTATGAGGGAAACTTTGCCTGGGCAGCGGCACTATCGCCTACTCTTATATCGAATACCAAATGCCAGGGGATCTTTTACGTGCATTCAAATATATACACGGGACCTCGGTTTTTTGTCTCATCCAAAGGACTAGACAGCTGTCCTTGTCAGGCCCTCCGTCCTGCATCACTGACAAGGGGAAACCACGCCAGAAAATCTGGATGAACTTTCTCGGCCAATGCAGGGATCGAACACCCGACCTCCAGGCTAGCGAGCCAGCGTCTTACCCACTTAGCCACGTGATCCCCAGGCCCTCAGGAAGATATTTACAGTTACCAAAACCTAAAAAATAATATCTTCTGTCATTGACATTTAGTAATGGAACATATTAACACAAGGTACAATTTTATGGATAGACAATTACTGAGATTAATACTAATTGGTTTCCCATTAATGGTGTTAATACATCGATCTTTATAAATAATAGGGTTCTCCTCCTACCTAGAAATTGACACAAATGGGTTGCGACGCATATAATGATGTAATATGAATGTATATAAACTAATTTACATTTAATCGTTTCCGTTTTTACTCTAATTTCAAATCAGTTATGTTGGACAAAACAAACCAGAAGTGTTAATCATATGGCAATCTCTAGCATCTGGTTATTCCAGTCTAAACCAATAGTATTTATTGTGCATGCTCTCCAGATAGGAATATGGCATTGCCATTTGACATAACTTGTGGAATATGCAAAGCCTCGTTCTTCGAGTCCCTTGTTACAAATGGCACTGAAACATATTATGGTACACGATTCGTGTACCAATGGTAAAATTTTCATTTGTAAGGTTCATTTTGTCTTAAATTTTGGATATCAGAAGCCCATCTTTTCCCGGTAAGATCACAACATCAATTTTGATTTAAATTGACAAATAATTTGTGTTTTCAATGTCGAAAACTTTGGTTGATATTGAGTTAGAGACTTAGCTACTTTAACATTCAAACTTGGTCTATACTTACATTTATGAAGAAGACGTAAAGAAGGACAATAAGGGCCATCCCTCTGTCTATAAAATATCAAATCTCCATTCTGTGCAGCTAGTATTTCTATATGATCATGACTGAAATAATGATTGTACACTTATCATCTGTTTCTATTCAATATTAAAATATAACAAACTTTTTGTTAACAGTCAACACTGTAACCAGGGTATCATTTAATCTTGTGTATTTAGCACTAATTTCTTTCACATTCATTCAATATCAAAGATTTGTTTAAAAATTCGTAAAATCATTAAAATCACCAAAAATCATCTAATGTGTACTTGTGTCCCAGTTTAAGGCGACCATTCAATTTTAATAACGAGTGTCCAATTTTATACAAGCGTTTAATTTTTCACTGTTAAAAAATAAACAACACAAATGAATATTGATATATAATGATTAATTTTTTAACAGTAATCAGGAAATTAAAGATTTGATATTAAATGAATGTGAATGAAATTAGTGCTACATGTAGATACAAAAGATTAAATGATACCCGGGTTATAGTGCAACAGTTTCAATCCAAAAAAACAAAATTAAAAATAGAAAATCAACCAACTTTTGTCCCATCATAACAGATCAATACAATTATTCAATACTTAAATCTAATTGTTTAGTGCCTTTAAACTTAATTTTTAAGATTTCATTGCACAGATTTGCTCTCAGCCAATATAAAGGCTGCATACTTCAAACATAGGTTTTCTAGAATAAGTCCTGAGGAGGATCTCATAGATTTACCCAAAAGAGTTGTCTTTCTTGCATTGATCTTCCATTTATTTCCATTTTATTCAGATCTTTATATAGATTAAATTTTAGGGAATATTTATCACAGGTGGTTTTGAGTAATTAAAGTTGCTATGGGTAAATCTATCGACAGGGCCAGAGGATGCTTACACTGTTTTCTTATTTCCATCCCAGGGTTTTGGGTTAGCTAGCATTATGATTATTTCCATCCCAGGTGTTTGGGTTAGCTAGCATTATGATTATTTTCATCCCAGGTGTTTGGGTTATCTAGCATTATGATTATTTCCATCCCAGGGGTTTGGGTTAGCTAGCATTATGATTATTTCCATCCCAGGGGTTTGGGTTAGCTAGCATTATGACTATTTCCATCCCAGGGATTTGGGTTAGCTAGCATTATGATTATTTCCATCCCAGGGATTTGGGTTAGCTAGCATTATGATTATTTCCATCCCAGGGGTTTGGGTTAGCTAACATTATGATTAATTACATCCCATGGGTTTGGATTACCTAGCATTATGATTAATTACATCCCATGGGTTTGGATTAGCTAGCATTATGATTAATTACATCCCATGGGTTTGGATTAGCTAGCATACCATATGATTATGAAAATTGCCAGCCAACGAACAAACACGGTACCTACCACTTGACTATTTTAATAGCTTCTTTTTTGGCTATAATTTGGTCTAGACAAGATTCAATATGTGGAAACTGTTCTAACAGTGAATTGCGAATGGCTTTTACTACTGATGATTTAGCATTATTTACACCCGATATCGACTCTTTATCTTCAAATCTGAAAAAATAATAATAATACAAACAAATCAATCTTTACCAGCAGGATGATTTGGCTACCAATACCGAATACTACCAAATACCTATTGATTACGAGATGAGGTGCCACGGTGGCTAAGTGGGGTAGACTCTGTCTAGACTGGAGGTTGCGTGTTCGATCCCTGCATTGGCCGAGAAAGTTCGAGATTTTCTGATGTGGTTTCCCCTTGTCAGTTGTACAGGACGGAGGGTCTGACAAGGACAGCTGTTTAGTAGTTCAGATGGTATGGAAAACCAAGGTCCGGTGTATACATTGGCGTGCATGTAAAAGATCCCATGGCAGTTGGAATTTGATATAAGACTAAGAGTAGGCCATAGTGTCGCTGCCCGGGCAAAATTTCCCTCATTGCACACTGTAAGGCGTATTCCCGTCTTCATTAATCATTATCTCTGTCGGAGCAGAACAGTAGGATGTTAAACCCCATTTCATTTCACTTCAATTACAAGTCCACTTCTGAAAGCTGACGGCATGATAATAAACATTGGTTACATTAGTTCAGCTCTGAACGTAGGTCTCATTACACTCGACCTCTACGTTCAGGGTCTCTTCTATTGAAACTTTGTCGACAAGATTTTGTTTCCCAGTCAATTTTACTGGGCAACTTTTTACTGCTGAACGGTCGCATGTCAGTCCCTGTGAACGCCTGAACAATATATAAATGAACATCTTAGTGAGAAAATAAGACCTTGCATAATATATGATATAACAAAAACTCTTTCTGTAACAAAGTGTCATACATCCACAACAAATGCACTATAATTTGCATAAAAAATTATACATGTATGTGTAGTCCTATTGTCGATGTATCCAGATATTGTGGTATTATTTGTTTGTTTTTTTTTAATGTTGTAGTAATGAGAGATATTGGCTGTCACATTTAACAACAGAAATTAATAATTTAATTCAATTAGCCTAATCTACTCTTCCTGTGAAACTATAATTAAATATTCAATTCAATGTTTGGTCACTGTACGTAGAAATGTAAAGTTAAAAAAAAAAGTACAACACTATAATCTACTGAACAACAATTGTAAAAAATCATAGCAAACATTATTTTACAATCTTTCACTTACTTCTTAAACATTGTTATTAATTAAATATGTCGATAATGTACAAAATATGAGTCCCAAAGTTTTCACGCCGAACCCTGTTGCCTGAAACAGGAATTCAATGTCGTAATTGCATAATTAGAGTTACCTCCCATGGACCAATAGAAGTGTAGGGACCACACTACACCATAGATTTACACGTAGATACATAGGGTTTAACGGCCTACTTTTCTACTCCATAAGGGCCAATGAAGACGGGTAGGGCTTAAATGTCACGCAGTACGACCTACTCGTATTTCTTATTCCAAAGGTCAAGCTAGGGCCCTTTTATGAGCACACCAATATTTACACGGAGCATCTGTTTACTATGCCACCCGAAGGACTAGACGCTGTTTTTTCCGAGCCCCCGCCCCAGCCAAAACAGGAATGGGATCTGGAAATGGAGATAAAGCAGAATACAATTCCACTGCCTGGTGAGAATTATTTAAAATAATCTTTCTAACTGTCATTTATTGTTGTCCATCTGAAATCAGACCAAATTTGACTGTATATATATATAGTAAAGTAAGTGCAGGATTGGGGCTTTTTTGATAGTAAAATGCTTATGACAACCCAAGTCCCTCATTTCGTTGAAATGAAATGAAAGGAAATGGGGTTTAACGTCCTACATTTGTGCATCGACTGGGTTCATCAATCTGTAAAACGTTTTATTTCACGCTAAAATACATAGATGCATAGGCGTTTGGATGCTAGGTATCAACCCGAAAGTGGTCCATTACAATTTAAAATCAACAAATTAATCAATCAGGCTGTTGTCGTTGCATTCACATGGCTCCACAAATTTAACTGATGAAACAAATAGGCTATGCCCGAAACACATGTCGCGCATCAGAGCAGAGTGGCGCTAGACACTGATTAAACACTGATATTAAATTACACTGATTTTAAATGCTTTATCCATTAAAATTGATAATACCATTATTGATCGATGACCGAAAACGGTCATACAATGCGGAATGGCTCCAACCAAAAAGTCATGGAATTGGAGTAAAACAGTGCCGGACTGGTGAAAATTGACAACCGCAAACCCATTTTCAAGTTAAAAGATGAATTACACGGTTCTCGGTATAATGAGGTCAAACTCATAAGGTTCTTTCCTTGTAGTACACTTCTTTTTTTGTGTTGTTTGTCAGTCATTTTTTTCCCTATCTTTTCTTTATCCTGTCCTGTGTCCTGCCCTCTCCCTCCTTCTTTCTTTTCTTTCCTCCCCTTCTCCCTTCTTTCTCTTGTCTTTTTTTCTTTTTTCTTTCTCTTTTTTCTTTTTTCTTTATAGGCTTAGGTGGACAGGTGGACAGGTGGACAGACAGGTGGACAGGTGGGCCCAGTCCGGCACTGGAGTAAAATGCAATCTGATTAAAATACAGATCTATATTTCGTTTCGCTTTTCATACTTTCGATGGCCTCTACTACATGAAAATCTGTCCAGTTGTAGTGGAAGGTCGTGTCAGGGGTCATACGACCGGCTTTTGACCCTCGCCAAAAACTCGCCGTAAAAGACTGCTTAATTGGGTAATCCCTCACCTCATCCAGATCCAGTGGCGGCGCCAGCCGCCGGTGGTTGGAGGGGCAAATCTGGGGCAAAGTCCAAGGTTAAGGGGGCAAAGGTACGAGCTACAACTACGGGGGGGGGGGGGCTCCCTCAGAAATTTTAGAAAAACAGGCTGCCGGAAATGCAGCCTGGCAGTATTTCAGGCACAGATCGTTGAGATAAAGTGTCAAACGACCGAACCTCGACGAAGTCCACTCACGAGCGCCAAAGTAGGGAATTCTTACGGAGGGTATGGGGGGCCTCCCCCAGAAAATTTTGAAAAAAAGACTGCCGGAAATTCTGTCTGACAGTATTCAGGCACCGGTTGTCGAGATAAATAGAGCTGATGAGATACCGTCTGTCACCTGATCACTAGTCTATCTGACCCCAGAGATAAATAGAGCTGATCAGATACCGTCTGTCACCTGATCACTAGTCTATCCGACCCCAGAGATAAATAGAGCTGATGAGATACAGTCTGTCACCTGATCATTAGTTTATCCGACCCCAGAGATAAATAGAGCTGATCAGATACCGTCTGTCACCTGATCACTAGTCTATCCGACCCCAGAGATAAATAGAGCTGATGAGATACCGTCTGTCACCTGATCACTAGTCTATCCGACCCCAGAGAGGAAAGTGTCAATTGAACGGACTTGCGAACCTCAACGAAATGCAGACTGGCAGTATTTCAGGCACTGATCGTCGAGATAAATAGAGCTTACCAGATACCGCCTGTCGCCAAATCACTAGTTTATCCGACTAGAGAGGAAAGTGTCAAACGGACGGAGTGAGTGAATCAAAGTGAATGAATATTTTCGCCACGATAGACTGCCGGAAATGCAGCCGGGCAGTATTTCAGACATAGAGCTGACCAGATACTGTTCGTCGCCAAATCACCAGCTTATCCGAACAGAGAGGGAAATGTCAAACGAACGGAGTGAGTGTATCAAGTGAATGCATATTCTCGCCGCTTTGAACCTACATGTATATACCCAAAAACTTTGAGGATCGTAAAAAACACTTCTCAAGTGGTTCACGTGTTATTGTTTATAGTAGGTTTACAGCAGGATGGACTTGGTAAGAAATCACTCAGACTCTACAACATGCAAGTCGATGACTGAGTGGGGATGTGGGATTTAATCACCGTAGAAGTTAATGATTATCGAAACGTATCACAAATAATTTTTTTTTTCTTTTCTAGAATTATTGAGGGGGCAAACAGAGGGCAGACCAGATTTATGAGGGGGTAAATGCCCCCCCCCCCCCTTGACGCCGCCACTGTCCAGATCGCGGGTTATATAACAACTCTTCCAGATCCTATTGGAGCAAAGACATGTAAAACGAAATTTTGAACTATAAAAAACGAAACGAAATAGGATCTGTGTTTTAATCAGATTGGAGCAAAGATGATCAGATGCCAACTGGCGGTTATGGGCAACCTGCGAGTTTACGGGATCGGTGACTAGTATAGTCGTAGGGGTTGAAACGTAAAGGAGCTGACAGAAAGACACAGGTGGAGTTTAGTCTGTGGCTTAGTTTTGGACTCGACCTACCCGGGCCGAACATCACCAGGAGTGACAGATGCTACTTCTTCCTCGATTCGATGACTGGTGGTGCACGACCGTTCGTGGCCTGTGAAGTGAAAACGAGTTACCAGACAATAAACAATGTGAAGGGTATGAAATGATTTATTGATTCTGTTGCTCAGGCTCTGGAAGGTCATCTTCACGTCAATATACTGAAATATGCTACTGGAATCTGGTCTGCTCTAGTCATATTAATATGACACTGGAGATGCATCTCGCCCGTTTTCTTATAAAACACGGGGAGTTGGATGGCCGAATGGTTAACACGCGCGCGCTGTATCATACGGTCTGTCATTGAGTCAACTGGCGGAGTTTCGATTTCCCGGTTGTACGTGACAAGGAGTAGGGTCGCCGTGGGTTTTCTCCGGGTCCTCCGGTTTCCTCCCACTGCTAAAGACCCCTACGCGCAAGCGAATTATTGAAATAAAAATTAAACCATATGTTAGTCCCTAAATGACCTAGTTTGTGTCGAGTGGACGTTAAACCCCATTTCTCTCTCTCTCTCTCTCTTATAAAACTTGATGTGGGTTCTGCGTTTCTACACCAACCGGGATAATGAAGGCTGCAGTAGGGGGGGGGGGGGATTATGCCTGGGCAGCGGCTGTAGTAATATTGGTAGAATTTTTGCTCTTTAAATTAATAATAGCATTATATTAACTATGGCTCACACATTCAAATTGAATGAGTGATGGGTATATATATAAAAACAGTGATAATTTCATACACATTTAATTCCGGATTAATAACAAAGTCTGACACTTCTACTGTCCATATAGGGTGGTTCTTGACGTCATTAGGCTTAGTAACCAGTCAGTATAATTATGTGATATTTGTCCAGTTCATACTTGACAGAGTTGTCTGAAGGACACTGTAAATGTTATAAGACTGATTTAGGTCCTATAGACTTTAGAAAGCCGCTGGATTCTTAGATAGCAGGATCATTAAGATTCGGGGGAGGCCGCTGAAGTTCAGGAGACACCATCTGGATTGAGTGTGTGTAAGTTAGTTGTATTTTACGTCCGCTTCCACCGAGGTGATATCGCAGACAGTGGATTGAGTAGACCCCGTTGATTTGTAGAAGAGCCATACGATGTAGTGTGTTCCGTCAGTAAACTCGGTGTGCGAGTTAGGGGTTGAGAGAAAGACATGTTAATTTTTTAGTATAGTAATGTAACCTATGCTTGTAACCTATGTATCCAGTGCTTGACATAAAAATGTAGAAACAAACTGTTGCATTTTTTTTCACGTGGCATATTTTATAGTTGAACTAATTTTATGTCATCAGGAAAGACCGTGTTGCGCGCATGTCCCGATGTCGCTGTTTCACCAACGGTTCGTGGGTGTAAAGAGCCATTGCGTACATATATAATTGGTTCCTCGTCTTCATGCGATATCTTATGTATATCTCTACGGGCATGTTTTTCAATCTTTTTAGTTTATTCTTTGAATTTTGATGTGTTATATACGGGATTACTCGCAATAATTAGGAGCCAAGTCTCTTACTCAATATCATCCAGAGTCTTCGACGTTGAAAACACGAATTATTTGTCAATTTAAATCAACATTGATGTTGTGATCTTACCGGGAAAAGATGAGTTTCTGATATCCAATATTTAAGACAAAATAAACATTTTACCATTGGTACACGAATCACCATAATGCATTTCAGCGCAGGACTCGAAAACGAGGCTAGACATTTTCCACAAGTCATGTCAAACGGTAACGCCATATTCTTATCTAGAGAGCATGTGCAACAAATACTATAGGTGTAGACTGGAATAACCAGCCGTTAGAGATTGCCATTCGATTGAGACTTCTGATGTATTAGAATTTACAGTAAAAACAGAAACGAATGAATGTAAATCAGTTTGTATACATTCATATTACATTATTATATACGTTGCGACCCATTTGTTTCAATTTGTAGGTCCCAAATATTAGTGAT